AACACATGGAAAAATACAGTTAACAATACGTTCATTGGACTGAAGTAGCCACAGAAGAAGATAGGAAAAGATTGGTTACAGCCGATAATTTGGGCGTAATCCGATCAACAGCAACTGGCCTTTTCCGATATTTGTAAGAAAACTCGGTTGATATTGATAAGCTACACGCGGAGACGGGAAAACAAGTCAAGTGAGTTTAAAACAGCAGTCAACGAAACATGCATGCGAAGATGAAACTGCTATCAGTATATTTTTTGAAATGTTTTACACACGTACACTGAGGATAAATGATTATTTGCTTTTTGATTTATCTATATTGTTCTTGTGAAAATCTCAATGGTTTCTGTTGATACTGCTGATTTTTGGTTTGTTTTTTAAATACCACATTAGTACATTACTGAATATGCAATGAATATAAATACACTTCATTCGCCATCTGTCAAAATTAGTCACTTTAACGTTGTAGAAGTAAAGGTAAATTCTGTCTTCTAACTGACGAAGTACCAAAGTATGAGCTACATGGAATTATCAATTAGTCTTAGTGTAGACCTTGTAATATGAATGATTTCATTGCAAAATGCTTTGACCACGAGATGTTAAGCCTCTGTTCGTTTGAAAGTTCTTTTCTATTTAACTATTTGAATAGTTAAACTGTGAAATTTGCTCATTCTCTATATATCTGTTTCATATTTTCTTATATTTGTAGATTCCACAAGGATGAAGTTGTGAAAATCCCTTTACCACCTGTGTCATTCACTTCAATTACTCTTACTAGTTTGTCATTACTCATGTGTCATGGTGATTCATGGCCAAGAATGTTCATTTGTAGTTTTGATTCTTTGTGGATGTCAGTTGTTTGTTCATATAATAATGATGGGCCCCATTGTTATATGAGCCCACCTAAAGGTGGCCAGCTGATACTCACAAAAATCAACTCTGCACTAAGCATTCTTTGAGTGATGATATAACTGGGGTACTGGAGTGATCCCCATTCCTTCGCTTAAAGTTACCACCAGAGTGCATTATAAATTGTAATCAATTGAAATGGCAATACAGGATATCAGTAGCTGCTTTATTGGTTAATGATACCGATAACTTCGTGGATGGAATGCTATAAACATATTGAATGGACATCGCATAAGGGCATATCTACGTAAGAAAATTCACAGAATATAATCTACGAAGATGGAAAACAAGCGAGTGGAAAAACACGTTCCATGTCTGGTGGTTTGTAAGTTGAGTAGATAAGTGTTAAAATTGACTTGCATGAGTACCTGCATGAGATAGTAAAGAAAGAATCCCGATGGTCTATTTTTATAATTTGAATCTTAATAATGAATAACACCCAAACTAAAAAAAATGTCAATATAAAATGTCTCTTGCTTTGAGATAATAGCTGGCTTTCACTCGCTACTTTTTACTAATTTTAGTTAACGTTTGTAAGAAAATTTCAATGCTGCAATTAGGGTTCATTAGATTTCTAAGATAAAAATGTTACAATAAGTTTTAAAAAAATACACGTAAAAACCGCGCGGTGAAAAAAAAAGAAGAGACCGACTAAGTCGCCTGGATTAGACGACCAGGACAGCACTTGGATATCAGGTATTAAAGTTTTGTTCTTTTCAATATATTTCATGTCTGTTTTTATTCATTCAACATGCTGACATTTATAATGTGTTTTTATAGAGTAGCTATGTCTGTATGCCTTCTAACTGGACAATGAATGTACAGACCCAGTCGGAAAGAATCACCAAGAATCAAGCGTCCTTATTAAGAGATTCATATTTGCGACTTCAGCAATGCATAATGTTCACCACTAGTACAGCGCATTTTTAAATTTAACCTTGAAACTTTCCGTAAAACATAATTTCTTATTTGTTAAATTTTCTGTCCAAAAACGTGAAAGCCAGCTATTAATGAAGGTCTCTTTTATCTAAGTCAAGACGTCACTTAGGTTATTTCATTTTTCATTGTTTTTGGTAGGTGCATGGTCTGGTCGTAGGTACTGAATGTTTTTTTCGTATGATTTATATATGGCTGCTTTTAGTTTTCATTTTTCGTCTATTTATTAAAATTTCAGTTAACACTCTGCGATCTTTCATTTTTTGTTCTATAAGTTTGCGTTTCTTTTGTTGTAACACAAAATATTTGTCGTGTGGATAGTGTAGTCAGCCTGCTTTTTATCGCTCTGTAAATTTAAATTTTCATACGACTGTAACGCACGATCTGACTACACTGCATGTTAAAGTAGATCATCGGGATTCAGGATCATTGAAAACAACAAAAATATGAAACATCTTAAAACTACAAAAATTTTAGGAAATTTTTCTAAATTTTCGCTCTTTTCTTTCATTTGAGGGTTTTTTACCGGATCCACCGGTTTTCCCTCCCATTTCGTTTTGTTTTGAAAAAAAAACAGTGTCCACATTTGGGGCCAAGTGATGTCATTTGTCATAACATTATTTATCGTAGTTATCATGGATATTCACGTTTCTTTTTCTTTTCTCGGCCTTCGGGTATATCTCCCGAAACACTGTGTTTATTAAATAGCATACATTCTAAAAAATAGGTACATGTGAAATGCGTACATGTTGGTAGCCTTCAAGTTTATAGAAATGCGTGCATGTTGGTAGCCTTCAAGTTTATAGAAATGCGTAAAATGTTGGTAGCCTTCAAGTTTATAGAAATGCGTGCATGTTGGTAGCCTCAAGTTTATAGAAATGCGTGCATATTGGTAGCCTTCAAGTTTATAGAAATGCGTGCATGTTGGTAGCCTTCAAGTTTATAGAAATGCGTAAATGTTGGTAGCCTTCAAGTTTATAGAAATGCGTGCATGTTGGTAGCCTTCAAGTTTATAGAAATGCGTACATGTTGGTAGCCTTCAAGTTTATAGAAATGCGTACATGTTGGTAGCCTTCAAGTTTATAGAAATGCGTACATGTTGGTAGCCTTCATGTTTATAGAAATGCGTGCATGTTGGTAGCCTTCAAGTTTATAGAAATGCGTACATGTTGGTAGCCTTCAAGTTTATAGAAATGCGTGCATGTTGGTAGCCTTCATGTTTACAGAAATGCGTACATTTAGGTAGCCTTCAAGTTTATAGAAATGCGTACATGTTGGTAGCCTTCAAGTTTATAGAAATGCGTACATGTTGGCAGCCTTCAAGTTCATAGCTACTGAGTGAAGTAGATCTAATCAACATAGTTAAAATAAAATTGTATTAAATATTATTTATGTTAAACTTGTTCAAGATTTGAATATGCTGTTTAGTTATATGACCAAGTAATTTCCTAACCCCAGAATCCAATATTTGCAGCTAAGTAATTGCAACTGCGGTAATCCGATACTGCAATCGTTGAAGATCGAAGGTGCAGAATTCCAGAATACCTCAAACATTTTCTTGTCTTATGAAGAAGAAAAGCCCACACCAAAGAAAATTTCTAAAATGCTTGATGCATCTCCACAAAATGACAACGAGCACGTAATGGTAGACCACTTGACCAAATTAAATCTCCTGAAAGTGACGTCATTGCATGTCTACAGTTTACTACTGGTCATACTGGAGGCAGTGTGGTTCTGCCATAAATGAAGTTGAAGATCACATTCACCGACTTAAATGGTCAACCGTCGGTCTTATGCTTATACTTGTGGTCCTTTACTTGAAGTTCCAAGCACTTGCCTATCAGTAATACAATTGACTAGTTGAAGAGTTTTCATCCATTCTTTGCGAGAAAAGTTCATGGACATGCGATATCGTCTAGTGGGACAATAATATCTTTGCATCTAAATATTATATGACATTCCAATCTTATATTTGTTGTTTGTGGTTAAATCCATAATATAAGTGGCATTGTTAGCAAAAAATGTTTAATCATGCCCATAATCATCATGAGGCGCCAACACTTATTTTCAAAATTTAGACCATCAATTACCCACAAAACGATGACAATTATCCAAGCAGTTAATTTTCAAGTAGCCCTTGGAATATACGAAAAAGATGCTTTTAAAAAGCAATATTCTGTTTAAATTAACAAAGCTGTGAAGATTAAGTCTTTTCCTTTGGAGTATTGTTTATAAAAAAGTAGAAAACTAACATGGACACAAGAAATATTCGCAGGTAAAATTGAGAATGCAATTTGTCACAATACAAGACTAAGGCTATTGACAGCACAATAAACAACATGAGCAAACTTGAAACATGTAACCATTTTATAGGTTGTCTTGATAACATAATCAAATTTTAAAACTGGTGGATGATTCATTTTTGTAAATATTCAGGTTGATAAGACAACGGATGTTTCCAACAAAGAGCAGTTAAGTACTTATGATTGTTTGCATAGAAAAAAAGTGAAACATCATTGATTTGTATATGGAACTAGCAACAGAATTGCAACTGGTTATCAGCATTAAAAAAAAGTATGTTGAATAAGCATAGAAAACTCAAAGGCACTTATTGAACAAATTGATGATGCAGCTGAAATAGCAGTTGCAGTTGTATTGCAACAACTAACAGCTACAAATCAAAGCCAACTTCAATGTTACTCCCCATATTATTCATGTGAATATTACTTTCTGCTTTTCAGTGGAAACATCAGTTGTCTCATCAACCCGTAGTCTAACTCCTTCAAAATTTTATCTTGTATGATGTGATCAAGTCAAGAAATCAACTCATTTTACGTATCTCGTGACATAATAGTACAACATGCATCCCATCACTCTTGAGCTGAGAAAATCCATTTTAGCAAAGCTCTTCAGAAAACTTTTCAATTTATTAATAAATTGTGAGAGAAATTATTCTTTCCATAATTTCATAGTAGCACAATAGTCATAAGTCATTTAAAGTATGCGACAAATTCTTTAAGGCAAACATGTTTCGGCATACTTTATGCCATATTTTATGCAAGAAGTGAATAGGAAGTTTACATGGATACAAAGTAACACCATCATCTTATCACGAGGAATCTCCCCCCTGATACCTTAACGTATAAAATTATAACCGGTGGGGACATATTTATTTTAAGTAAAGTATGGCTCCTATCGCTACAAATTCAGAGCAGGTAAACATATCAGTTTATTCACTTTTTCTGTTTATATTTCAATAGAATTTAGTTAAAACAGAAAGAGTGAAAGTTGACTCGATCACTTCTATACATTGTGCGAGGAATTGTGGAAATTGAGTAATTTTTTCATTAAAAGTTTGTGGTGCTGTTGCTTGTTGCCTATGGTAGATAAACAAAGCAATTTAACGGAATTACGTTTCATTGTGCCACAGCCTATAGTAGTGTGTATCTTAGTAATCTCTTTGTTCCTAAACAAAAAATGCGTAAAGATCGATGTAGATAACACATACTAAGTTCCTTGATTAATGTAGTTTTGTTTTTTGACTTTAATATTTGATTATGGAAGCGAACGGAGGACAGTTATGGTCAGAATAACACTATCGTTTTTAATGCATCAAAGAAAGAGCTCTTTACTCCAGCCAGTGGCTTTAGAAATCTTGTGAGGAAACTCAGAAATAATTGGAAAGTTATCATGTATGTTTGTGATACCTGTTTCAGAAAGGTTTAAGACAAATATGATGTGAAAACACTGATTAAATGATGTATTTTTACAGTAATAAGGATGAAATAACCTTGGAGAGATTGTTGTATGCCAATCTGTTTGTTCTTGCTGGACCAAGAGAAAAAATATCAGCAAGTGAAGTAAGTTTGGAGGATATGTATGTGTGCAAGTGTTATTGGGTTTTTCACTTGCTGCACATCAGCATTTTACTTAAACAATTTCTCATCACAAATCGCATTTTCTATTTTGCTTGACAGTTTTTGTGTGATGTTCATATCATTCTTGAAAACATTTCATATCTTAAACGTTTATTCTTCAGTAGAAATACCGCTAAACATGCTAGATATTGCAGACAGCTGAAATAAAATTTGTGGTACTTCATGCATATGTTTTTCTATAAATAAACCACCACAATTTCACATTTAGCCACTGTAACTAATTCAACGAAAAGATCACTTGCATGTAGGCTTGTATGTATAATAGTGTATAATTTGACAATCATTACAATGTAATAAAATACATGTATTTGTCCCCTCCTTCATACTTAGCCCCCTCATTATATAAGGACTAAATGCCCATGAAAACAGCTTGCAAACTTATAAAAGCTCAATGCTTGTAAGCAAAGGTTAACAATATGCATTTCGAAGCAAAGCAAGCATTGTGTCTTGAAACATTAATTAATTTTTTAATCTTTTGTTATACATATTAACATCTTGTAGTTTGAAGCAATGAAATCATATCTCGAGAAAGGTGGAAGTATCCTTGTTTTATTGGGAGAGGGTGGTGAGGTACACTTTAGTACAAATATCAATTTTTTACTTGAAGATTTTGGAATCATGGTTAATTGTGGTGAGGATATAAGATTGGTTTTTGTGATTTTAATCATCATTTCATGTGATCATCATTTCAATTTATAAAACATGTTATTTATAGATTCAGTTATACGTACATCTTATTATAAATACTTCCATCCAAAAGAAGTGTATATTTCAAATGGAGTTTTAAACAGGTACAGATGTCATCATCGTCATCATATCTTTTCGCGCCAGGGCAATCCAAACTCGGGCTGGAAGTTTGGAAGTATTGCGCGTGTTGTAGCAATCAGTCGAAGTCAGGGACGGCACGTGAAGCCTTGCTACTTGTCCCCGGTACAGATGTGAATTTATGGGAATATGTATTGTCTATAATGGATTCCTAGGAGTACATACTGTTCACTGCTGCATGTCCAAATAGTCTCATGTTAAAGTATTTTCTTGGATCAAATATAATTCATTTTCTTATGAGCTTTATTCATCAAAGTAGAGTATGTTTGAGACAGGTATCTTTTGAATATGAATTTTTTGATGTTTAAGAGAGATAAATAATGCTGCTGGTGTAAACATATTCCTGGTGATCTTGATAGTGACCTCTCCACATTCACTCAGTAAGTTCTTTCACTGTTACTATAAATCTTTCATCTTCATGATAGAAAAAGGATTGTATTTATTTTTATATATACCTAAGGGGGAGGGGGTTATTTTCATACATTTTTGCAGCATTGTCAGCAGCAGAAATTTTACAGTATAGTTAGCTTTTGAGGATGAACCTACTGACGCTAGCTATTATTTAGTTGCTGTAACAATTTATTTACTGAAATTTTACTTTGAAATTTGAATTGTTTGCTTTCTTATAGATCATTAAATTTTGTCTATCCATTTGGTGCGACGCTACATGTTGTAAAACCAGCGATTCCTGTGTTATCGACTGGGACAGTTTCATTGCCAGTAAATCGTCCGGTTTGTGCATTTCATTCTTCAAAGGCATGTGTATCATACTGTATTTCATTCTTATGTTTAAAATAAAATGCCAATTTTTACTTCGCGTCTCGGAAGTAATGGCAAAACAGAAATTGTTGAAAGTTTTTTCAATATATATGATTGAATAGATTAAATACAGCAGAGGTTTATAAACGTAACAAAAAGTTCCCGTCAATCGGAGAACATAGATGATGACGGTACAATGTTAAACTGTAAAACTGTATATGAAATGGTTGTTATTAATGTCATAACGTAGGATAATAATTTTGTGTTAGATGGTTGTTATTGACGTCATAACGTAGGATAATAATTTTGTGTTAGATGGTTGTTATTGACGTCATAACATCGTACAGTTTTTATTAAGTGAGATTTTATTTCGGCGATATTTTGTTTCTGTAGCGTTCCGGTGGAAAACTTGCAGTGATTGGTTCAGTTCACATTTTCACGATCAATATTTTTGATTAAGAAGAAAATACTAAAGTTCAAGTGAGACTTTTACATTAGATTTGGAAATAAAAATTTCAACTGAACATTCCTCTCAACGTTTTCTTTCTGATCCTTTTTTTAGGATGTCGTTTTTCAATGGTTGACGTCTGATGTGGTTTCGTCTTAACATCATTGATGCTGAAGATCCAGAGTTTGTTACAATATAAACAATCCGTAGGTTTTGTGTTCAACTGCTAAGATCTATACACATTTTATGAAAGAAAAAGTTGATAAAAAACCACGAGCTACAAAGTGAGAAATGATTCAAACATTTGACACATCAAAATTAGCTGAGAGTCCTAAAGTCTGTCTTCATGAAGGAGAGGAGGTAAATTATTGAAAAGAAAACTTTTACTCTCAAGAAATTTCTGTACAGAACCACAGTGTAGTGTATTTTATTCTGTCATCAACCATAGAGAAGTGTATGTTGCACTGTCATCAACCACAGAGAAGTGTATGTTGCACTGTCATCAACCATTGAGAAGTGTATGTTATACTGTCATCAACCCTAGAGAAGTGTATGTTACACTGTCATAAACCATAGAGAAGTGTATGTTACACTGTCATCAACCATTGAGAAGTGTATGTTATACTGTCATCAACTATAAAGAAGTGTATGTTACACTGTCATCAACTATAGAGAAGTGTATGTTCTACTGTCATCAACCATAGAGAAGTGTATGTTATACTGTCATCAACCATAGAGAAGTGTATGTTATAGTGTCATCAACCATTGAGAAGTGTATGTTACACTGTCATCAACCATTGACAAGTGAATGTTACACCGTCATCAATTATAGAGAAGTGTATGTTCTACCGTCATCAACCATAGAGAAGTGTATGTTATACTGCCATCAACCATTGAGAAGTGTATGTTATACTGTCATCAACTATAGAGAAGTGTATGTTATACTGTCATAAACCATAGAGAAGTGAATGTTACACTGTCATCAACTATAGAGAAGTGTATGTTATACTGTCATCAACCATAGAGAAGTGTATGTTCTACTGTCATCAACCATAGAGAAGTGTATGTTCGACTGTCATCAACCATTGAGAAGTGTATGTTCTACTGTCATCCATAGAGAAGTGTATGTTATACTGTCATAAACCATAGAGAGTGTATGTTACACTGTCATCAACCATGGAGAAGTGTATGTTATACTGTCATCAACCATTGAGAAGTGTATGTTGCACTGTCATCAACTATAGAGAAGTGTATGTTATACTGTCATCAACCATTGAGAAGTGTATGTTATACTGTCATCAACTATAGAGAAGTGTATGTTATACTGTCATCAACCATAGAGAAGTGTATGTTGCACTGTCATCAACTATAGAGAAGTGTATGTTATACTGTCATCAACCATTGAGAAGTGTATGTTATACTGTCATCAACCCTAGAGAAGTGTATGTTACACTGTCATAAACCATAGAGTGTGTATGTTACACTGTCATCAACCATTGAGAAGTGTATGTTATACTGTCATCAACTATAAAGAAGTGTATGTTACACTGTCATCAACTATAGAGAAGTGTATGTTCTACTGTCATCAACCATAGAGAAGTGTATGTTATACGTCATCAACCATAGAGAAGTGTATGTTATAGTGTCATCAACCATTGAGAAGTGTATGTTACACTGTCATCAACCATTGACAAGTGAATGTTACACTGTCATCAATTATAGAGAAGTGTATGTTCTACCGTCATCAACCATAGAGAAGTGTATGTTATACTGCCATCAACCATTGAGAAGTGTATGTTATACTGTCATCAACTATAGAAGTGTATGTTATACTGTCATAAACCATAGAGAAGTGAATGTTACACTGTCATCAACTATAGAGAAGTGTATGTTATACTGTCATCAACCATTGAGAAGTGTATGTTCTACTGTCATCAACCATAGAGAAGTGTATGTTCTACTGTCATCAACCATTGAGAAGTGTATGTTCTACTGTCATCCATAGAGAAGTGTATGTTATACTGTCATAAACCATAGAGAAGTGTATGTTACACTGTCATCAACCATAGAGAAGTGTATGTTATACTGTCATCAACCATTGAGAAGTGTATGTTGCACTGTCATCAACTATAGAGAAGTGTATGTTATACTGTCATCAACCATTGAGAAATGTATGTTATACTGTCATCAACTATAGAGAAGTGTATGTTATACTGTCATCAACCATAGAGAAGTGTATGTTGCACTGTCATCAACTAGAGAAGTGTATGTTATACTGTCATCAACCATTGAGAAGTGTATGTTATACTGTCATCAACTATAGAGAAGTGTATGTTATACTGTCATCAACCATTGAGAAGTGTATGTTCTACTGTCATCAACCATAGAGAAGTGTATGTTATAGTGTCATCAACCATTAAGAAGTGTATGTTATACTGTCATGAACTATAGAGAAGTGTATGTTATACTGTCATAAACCATAGAGAAGTGTATGTTACACTGTCATCAACTATAGAGAAGTGTATGTTGTACTGTCATCAACCATTGAGAAGTGTATGTTACACTGTCATCAACCATAGAGAAGTGTATGTTCTATTGTCATCAACCATTGAGAAGTGTATGTTCTACTGTCATCAACTATAGAGAAGTGTATGTTATACTGTCATCAACCATTGAGAAGTGTATGTTGCACTGTCATCAACTATAGAGAAGTGTATGTTATACTGTCATCAACCATTGAGAAGTGTATGTTGCACTGTCATCAACTATAGAGAAGTGTATGTTATACTGTCATCAACCATTGAGAAGTGTATGTTATACTGTCATCAACTATAGAGAAGTGTATGTTATACTGTCATCAACCATAGAGAAGTGTATGTTGCACTGTCATCAACTATAGAGAAGTGTATGTTATACTGTCATCAACCATTGAGAAGTGTATGTTATACTGTCATCAACTTTAGAGAAGTGTATGTTATACTGTCATCAACCATTGAGAAGTGTATGTTCTACTGTCATCAACCATAGAGAAGTGTATGTTCTACTGTCATCAACCATTGAGAAGTGTATGTTCTACTGTCATCAACCATAGAGAAGTGTATGTTATACTGTCATAAACCATAGAGAAGTTTATGTTTTACTGTTATCAACTATAGAGAAGTGTATGTTATACTGTCATCAACCATTGAGAAGTGTATGTTCTATTGTCATCAACCATAGAGAAGTGTATGTTATAGTGTCATCAACCATTGAGAAGTGTATGTTACACTGTCATCAACCATAGAGAAGTGTATGTTCTACTGTCATCAACATGGTAAACTTCTTAGGTAAACATGCTGTTGTAGCTTTAAGACAATCCCTGAATTTTATTCATGACTATCTGTGATTTCTTATAGGAGTTGTGATGAAATGCACGTGAAATACGAGGCTCTACAGTTGATTCCTCCCCAGTTTGAGACGCCGTTCCCTCCTTTACAAACAGCACTATGTTGTCACATAATCTCACCACAACTGACCTAAACTTAAATTGTAGGTCGAGAGGAGAAGCATGTATTTTTAATTTTTTTATTTCATGATTTCAGGTATTCCCGCCGACTTTTCGTGAATTGTCTGGTCCACCAATGGAACTTTTTGATTTAGATGATCATTTTTCATCAGAAAAAGTCAGAATTGCTCAAATCACCAACAAATGTACGAAGGAACTGAATGTACAACACGTCAATAATCTCTTTTACTTAGGTGTCCAACACACTACCTGCATAAATGACCAAGTCTAACCGTTTATAAGAATATTTATTCACTCCCTGATTATGTCAAGATTGTGACGTATGTGTAGTGTGAAGTGTCCTTCGACATTACTGACACAAACGATATTTTTGTGGATATTTGAATACAGTTTCGTTAGACTTTTTAGGTCTTTCAGATGACGACAGGGCAGTTCCTCGTGGCGTGGATGAACAGCAAAACTGAGGTATTTTTTTTAATTTGTGCGGTTGTAGATGATCAGTAATGTCGGCAATGAAATTTATTTACGCACTTCGTACAAAATATGTTTTTATATATTATGCATGTAAATTTACTTTTCATAATTTGGAAAGGTTGTCGTTTAAATAGATTCGTGCTCAGCTACAATTTTTTTCTATGAAAATTAGATTGTCCCCCCGCTTTCTAATTTTAATTAGAATCTTAGCCAATTGTGAAGTTGTTTCAAAGTAGTTTGCCACCTACTTCGAACTGCTGAGCACAAAGTAATTTCGCTAACTTGCAATGACTGTTCGTGCGTATATTTTGAAAATACTATAATTTATACACATAACTCCCAAAGACAAAATAAACCAAACTTTTAATGACTATACTTAACGCATTTAAGTCCAAAAACTTATTTCAAGCACCTAATTCCCAAAGACTGTTCATGCGTTCGTTTCTCCTCTCCGCGTGGCATCTTATGAACCGTATTTTCTTACAATTAGTGGAAAAAGGCCTGTTGCTGCTGATTTCATTTTGTCCATCTTAACTTTAATTTTATTTGCACAATCACTAATGTCTATAGTGTTGTTTTATCTCATTTGAACAACATCTGCTTTCCACGACGCCTTGAAGTGAATAGTATTTTTATGCATGAAGTTAAGCACGTCATTAAGAGTATTTGTTGCACATAATTGCTCAACATTAATTGTTCGTATTTGAACAAATTACTGGATATCCATCAAATCTAATTTTGAAAAATTGTAATTCTTATTGTCTATTTGAAAGGTGAAATGCTCCTAAGGACCCAATCACCGTAAAAAATTTTAGTCATGACCTCATTCCACCTAAGCACGTGTACTTTGATCCCGTTTCAATAAAGCAGCACTTGTTCCGCAGGTGTATAGTAAAACTCCTTTTTCGCTAATATTACGCTGAAAATAAGAAATGAAACAGGTCAACCATCGATCGAGAAATCGTGTTAAACGTGATGAACAAACATGTTGAATTATTCCTTGCCCAATTCCTATTTTCATTCAAATAAAATCAAAATAGCATGTATACTTTCGATAAAAACGGTGGTCAGCTCGTACTCGAAGCTGTTCTATCCATATATATTACTTTTTGATGAAAATTTAGCGACTGCTTCCCACTTGTAATGCGATAATGATAATAATGATAGGACAATTGTGTGCAAAATAATAATGTGATCAAGCAAGAAAATTGGCATTACCAACTAACTATTCTTGACTTTTGAGATGTACCAAACAATGCTAAACGCCCACGTCGGCTGGTGCCAACAATAACACTGATAAAATATTCTTTGTATCATACCACCAACATGGCTGAATTGCAAGTCAAGAATACATCAAAATTTATATGGATATCACGGGTAATTTTCGTGCATGTCAGCATTTATGTCTGAGTTTATATTTGTTTTTGTCTTCTTTTCTTCATTTGTATGTAGAAAAAATAAAACAATAAAAGACACTGGAACGTAAATTGATTTTAAACGTGCCTGATTGCTTGCATCCTTGTGATTTTCCGTATCATGGCTTGTGAAAGATGATGCAAGGTATATATTTAGATCACATGGACGAATAGCTTTAGTCAGTTGAGTTTGAAAATTGAGCGATGCAATCAGAACTTTGAAAAGATCAAAGGCTTATTATCGTGGTCAAATACTAGTTCATTTCTGCAAGTAACTGATACTTCAGTACATCGTCAGTAAAGAGACATAATTTACTTTTCTTTCTACAATGTTAAAGTGAGTAATTTTCCGTTGTTAACATTTCTTTAACCGTCGTCATGACTAAAATTTTCATGGTGATTGGTTCCATGGCAGCATGTCACCTATCATAAAGACAATAAGTAATCCTTCAATGTGTTTTGTTTTAAAAATAAGATTTGATAGATCTCCGGTGGTTTGTTCAAGTAGGAATAATGAATGTTAAACAATCACGTGGAACAAATACATGCTTAGCACCATGCATAAAAATGCTATTCACTTCAAGTTTACCACAAATAAACCACGAGGCGTCGTAGAAAGAAGAAGTTGTCGAAATGAAATGGAAGAAGACTATACACATAGGCGACAAGTATAAGGATTTGTAATTGTGCAAAGCAAAATAAAGTTTGTTGCCTTCAACTGTCATCGATAACAAGTTACCGAAAGACGTATCATTTGATTGCAGATGTATTTGAACGTGGTAAGAAAATCAAGACCGCCAGCCAACATCTGTGAATGCGGCAGAACAAGAATTGGAATCTATGACAATGAAGAAACTTTTTTAACACATGGAAAATTAGGTTAACAATACGTTCATTGGACTGAAGTAGCTACAGAAAAAGATTGGTTATAGCCGATAATTTGGACATAATCCGATCAACAGCAACTGGCCTTTTCCTTCAATATTTGTAAGAAAATTCGGTTGATATTGATAAGATACACGCGGAGAAGGAGAAACCAAGTCAAGTGAGTTTAAAATAGTTGGCAACGAAACATGCATGCGAAGATGGAACTACCATCAGTATATTTTTTTGAAATGTTTTACACACGTACACTGAGGATAAATGATTATTTTCTTTTTGATTTATCTATATTGTTCTTGTGAAAATCTCAATGGTTTCTGTTAATACTGCTGATTTTTGGTTTGTTTTTCCAATGCCATGTTAGTCATTACTGAATATGCAATGAATATAAATACACTTAATTCGTCATCTGTCAAAATTAGTCACTTTAACGTTGTAGAAATAAAGGTAAATTTGGTTTTCTCACGGACGAAGTACCAAAGTATGTGCTACAAAAATTATCAACTAGTCTTAGTGTAGACCTTGTAATATGAAAGGTTTCATTGCAAAATGCTTTGACCACGATGTTAAGCCTTTGTTTGTTTGAAAGTTCTTTTCTGTTTAACTATTTGAATAGTTAAATTGTGAAATTTGCTCATTCTTTATATTTCTGTTTCATATTTTCTTATATTTTAGATCCCACATGGAAGGAGTTGTGAAAGTCCCTTTACCACCTGTGTCATTGACTTCAATTACTCTTACTAGTTTGTCATTACTAGTAAGAGTAATTGAAGTCCATGACACAGGTGATTCATGGCCAAGAATGTTCATTTGTAGTTTGGATTCTTTGTGGATGTCAGTTGTTTCTTCATATAATGATGATGGGCCCCATTGTTATATGAGGCCACCTAAAGGTGGTCAGCTGATACTCACAAAAGATCAACTCTGCACTAAGCATTCTTTGAGTGACGATATAACTGGGGTATTGGAGTGATCCCCATTCCTTCGCTTAAAGTTACCACAAAAGTGCATTATGAATTGTAATCAATTGAAATGGCAATACATGATATCAGTAGCTGCTTTATTGGTTAATCATGCCGGTAACTTCGTGTATGGAATACTATAAACATATTGAATGGACATCGCATAAGGGCATATCTAAGTAAGAAAATTCACAGAATATAATCTACGAAGATGGAAAACAAGCGAGTGGAAAAACACGTTCCATGTCTGGTGGTTTGTAAGTTGAGTAGATAAGTGTTAAATTTGACGTGCATGATTAACTGCATGAGATAGTAAAGAAAGCATCCCGATGGTCTATTTTTATACTTTGAATCTTAATAATGAATAACACCCAAACTAAAAAAAATGTCAATAAAAGATGTCTCTTGCTTTGAGATAATAGCTGGCTTTCACTCCCTACTTTTTACCAATTTTATTTAACGTTTATGAAGAAAATTTTGATGCTGCAAGTAGGGTTCACTAGATTTCTAAGATAAAAATGTTACAATAAGTTTTAAAAAAATACACGTTAAAAAAGCGCGGTGAAAAAAAACGATACCGACTAAGTCGCCTGGATTAGACGACCAGGACAGCGTTTGGATATCAGGTATTAAAGTTTTGTTCTCAATGTATTTCATGTCTGTTTTTATTCATTCAACATGCTGACATTTTTTGTGTTTTTTATAGAGTAGATATGTCTGTATGCCTTCTAACTGGACAATGAATGTACTGACCCAGTCGGACCGAGTCACCAAGAAACAAGCGTCCTTATTGAGAGAATCACATTTGCGACTTCAGCAATGCATAATGTTAACCAGTATAGCGCGTTTTCTAATTCAACATTGAAACTTTCCGTAAAGCATAATTTCTCATTTGTCAAATTTTCTGTCCAAAAACGTGAAAGCCAGCTATTAATGAAGGTCTCTTTTATGTAAGTCATGACGTCACTTAGGTCATTTTATTTTTCATTGTTATTGGCAGGTGAATGGTCCGGTCGTAGGTACTGAATGTTTTTTTCATATGATTTACATATGGCTGCTTTTAGTTTTCATTTTTCGTCTATTTATTAAAATTTCAGTTAACACTCTGCGCTTTTTCATTTTTTGTTCTCCTATCTACTAAAGTTTGCGTTTCTTTTGTTGCAACACAAAATCTTTGCTGTGTGGATAGCGTAGTCAGCCTGCTTTTGTCGCTCTGTAAATTTAAATTTTTATACGACTGTAACGCACGATCTGACTACACTGCAAGTTAAAGTAGATCATCGGGATTCAGGATCATTAAAAACATCAACAGTATGAAACATCTTAAAACTACAAAAATTTGAGGAAATTTTCTAAATTTTTGCTCGTTTCTTTCATTTGAGGGTTTTTTTACCGGAGCAACTGGTTTTCCCTCCCATTTCGTTTTGTTTTGAAATAAAACAGTGTCCACATTTGGGGCCAAGTGATGTCATTTGTCATAACATTATTTGCTGTAGCTATCATGAATATTCACGTTTCTTTTCCTTTTCTCGGCCTTCGGGTGTATCTCCCGAAACACTGTGCTTATTAAATACAATGGCAACATTCTAAAAATAGGTGCGAAATGCGTACATGTCGGGAACCTTCAAGTGTATAGCTACTGAATGAAGGTACATGTGAAACGCGTACATGTTGGTAGCCTTCATGTTTATAGCTATTGAATGAAGGTACATGTGAAACGCGTACATGTTGGTAGCCTTCATGTTTATAGCTACTGAATGAAGGTACATGTGAAACGCGTACATGTTGGTAGCCTTCATGTTTATAGCTATTGAATGAAGGTACATGTGAAACGCGTACATGTTGGTAGCCTTCATGTTTATAGCTACTGAATGAAGGTACATGTGAAATGCGTACATGTTGGTAGCCTTCATGTTTATAGCTACTGAATGAAGGTACATGTGAAACGCGTACATGTTGGTAGCCTTCATGTTTATAGCTCCTGAATGAAGGTACATGTGAAACGCGTACATGTAGGTAGTCTTAAAGTTAGGGTGAGCTCATTTAATTGACTTTAAATTTAGGGTGAGCTCATTTATTTGACTTTAAAGTTAGGGTGAGCTCATTTATTTGACTTAAAGTTAGGGTGAGCTCATTTAATTGACTTTAAAGTTAGGGTGAGCTCATTTATTTGACTTTAAAGTTAGGGTGAGCTCATTTATTTGACTTTAAAGTTAGGGTGAGCTCATTTATTTGACTTTAAAGTTAGGGTGAGCTCATTTATTTGACTTTAAAGTTAGGGTGAGCTCATTTAATTGACTTTAAAGTTAGGGTGAGCTCATTTATTTGACTTTAAAGTTAGGGTGAGCTCATTTATTTGACTTTAAAGTTAGGGTGAGCTCATTTATTTGACTTTAAAGTTAGGGTGAGCTCATTTATTTGACTTTAAAGTTAGGGTGAGCTCATTTATTTGACTTTAAAGTTAGGGTGCGCTCATTTATTTGACTTTAAAGTTAGGGTGCGCTCATTTATTTGACTTTAAAGTTAACGGGCTCTTCCTTAAATGCTAGAAGATGGGAATGGTCGCGCAATGTCATGCGATATCCTTGTTCATGAACAACAAGCTACAGAATTCCAATCAAACTTCAACTTAAACGTAAATCTCATTGAATTTTAGAATTATAACATACAGCAATGACATATGTTTCACACTTGAAGAGCATAATTTGAGTTAATACACCATACTTGAAGTTAACTGTCATTAAAACACAATAAGACAAAATGTCTTTTTAAAGATGGCCTTTGTCAAATGTTCGGAAAGCTGGTTCAATCAATGAAAAGACTTGACATAAATGAAAAGGAGATCGAAGGAATTATGTCAGAAATATTTGCAGTTAAGAACTGACACCACAAAAAATACAGTATAAATCTCTGTTATATCATGAAAATACAATATACAAAAATATAAATTTGGGAAATATTCGTTTTTATCCACCGGGAACGAGATATTTTTTACGACATACATCAAACTCTTCTTGAGAGTAAAATGTGATGGCACAATAATATTCAAATCTAGAAAATGGATCCGGTTGATAATGGACTTGTCGTGAAGCAATGAATCCATTGAAGTAACTATCATTAAACTGATTAATTATGTTATCACTAAGATGCTTTATTCTTTTGCCGTTAATTACATTATCATCATCACCTTTTGCAGGATATCTCGAGGAGAATTTATAGTCTAGTTGCCACACAGGATTGTCGAATTCTAAACATTGGTATAATAACATTTGTAACATCTGCATGTATAAGAACAAACTTATACGAACAAAGAATTCTCACCAGTTGCCATTACAAGATTCATGTACCACTGCTCATAATCCGTGATGGCCAAAGCATTTGAGTCAAGATGGACTATGCGAAAACTGGGATTATTTTTATAGACAGGAGTAACAGCAGGAATAAGCAAAATATAGGAAGAGTTTCTAAATGACAAACTGTCTGTGTTTTTTTGAAGAAAACGAAAATCATCTTTGTGAAAATGTGCATAAATTTGACCTAGAAAGAAAAGCCCAATTGGAAATATTCACTCGATATAAAACTTTAAAACATTAAAAATTCTCATCGATTTACATGTACTAACTACTATATTATAAATTGTAAGCTACTTCTTGAAATTTTAATAACTGCTAATGCTTACAGTGTATCGAAAACGCCTTTCGAAAATCTTTTCACTCTCTTTTTTATTAGCTTATAAGAGCTTAGGATACGCTTTTAATAAAACAACAGTACTTACCTATCACAATGTCACTAAAATCGTTCGCGACGAGATTCATGTATATTTCTGTATAATTACTTAACCACAACGATTTTCCAGAATAAGAGTCGATGCTAAAGTAAAAAGGAGTATTCAATGTAATTAGCCTTTTATAATTTGTTGTGTAAAATCAACTGTTCACTTTATGAACTGAGTTTCTGATCATGAATTTGTAACAAATTCGAAATATAACTATTCAAATAAAAATTGCCTTGTTTCCTTCTCAAATAATGAGTTAAACATGAACATTTTATTCGGAGTATGCTTCATTTTGTTCCACATAAAATTGTTACTATAAATCTGATTATAGTGCGCTGTATATACTAAACGAGAGGAATCGAGCACAGCCTGTGTGTTTCACCATTGTACTGTAACACAAATTGTGACCTGTGGCATGCTTGGAAAAATTTCGCTATGAGGGGGGGAGGCTTGGCTAATCGCTTTTCACTCAAAACGCGCCATAAAAATATTGCTCTTTAGAAAGGAAGACAAACATCTGAGTTGCGCACCGAAAGTGTGAGTTGTGCTTGGGGAATCAGGGGCATGCTACTCCAGTAAATTTTTAAATTAACAAATACTACTAAAACCTTATTTCATGGATTTGGGGGAGTGAAATAATATTAACGGTATAATTTCAAAAGCGCTTTTCCAACACAAATTCAAACTTGGACACTCCTTATTCATTTCAGCACCACCAAAACTCAACAATAGGGTAGGGGCACTGCCCATGCCCCCTCTTTAAGTACGTATATTGTAGTCAAAGAACTACATAAATATTTAAAATCAGAAGGCCAAGACTTTTGTGGAAAGCTATTTTCCAGATTTTGACATATTTATGCCTGAAAAAATTTTGTTTTGTTAATCTGTAACCTTGCATTGCGTGTGTCACCTTTTTAAGCCATGTAGTTAACTTTCATTAAATATAAATCCTAATTATATAAATGTTAAAGTACTTCATAAATACTCACCCAGGAGGAATGTGACTTGTTATTATTATCTTTAGTCCAGTTCTTCTTGCATGGTTTAACTGCATTTCAATCCACTTTAATTGTTCATTAGCTCTTTCCTGAAAGTATTTATCGTGTTTCCATGTACTTTTAGTCCAATACATTGAATTCAACACCAATAATAATATTTTACCATCTAAAGAAAAATTGATTTAACATTGGCTTTATTTCATGTTTTAATGTCATAATAAATTTGACTGGATCTATTTGATTCAGCCCTGATGTACCTGCAATAGAAACCCTGTAATATCCTCCATACAAAAAAGTCTGACGGAGTTGATCGACATCTGTTGTGTTTTTCTTCACATTACAATAAGTGCACAAAATTGCATCTTGCCAAATATTCAATACATCTGAATACCAAGTGTCATTTTCACCTGGCATGACATAATGTCCAGGTAAATCATTGTTACCAATACTTGGAAAATATGGAATGTTTGGAAATGCTGATTGAACTGCACTTGTAGTGATATTCAATATAGCCAATATTTCAGCTCTACGGTTTATGTTTATCCTGTGAGCACAAGAGTCACCTAAAACACAAAAGTAAATTTAGTTAAGTCTTCTAAAAATCTTATTATTATGAATTAAAAATAAACCTGCCTGACATCATTATGAAATCTATGTGTGTCAACTCTTGGGCATGTTCAGTCATAACACGTAGAGTTTCCTCCAATAAACTGATAGGAGAGTCACATCCAATCCTTCCTAAAGGTGCATTATATGTACTTGGCTTGTTAGCATTGCGACAAAAACTGTCTTTGCCAGCAACAGGTGTGTACCAAGGATCAAGATGGATATCAGAGAATAACATGAATGATGTTAAACTTCTATTTTCAACTGGTTCATTGGTGGAATGGTATGAATTGTTCTTTTCATACTTCAGATAGAAAACATATGTCATTCCAACAATAAAACATAGTCCAAGAGTTATTGTCAGCAAAAGTATAGCAAGTACTGTCCATCGGGAACATTTTTCACTTTTTGCATTACACTAAACAAAAATTGAAAAAATTACTCATCCAAGCTGTTGTGTTTTCTTAACTTATGGTATAAAATTGGCATCAACTTCAAATTATTTATGCTAATCACACATAGAAAGTTATGTTGACAAAAGGTGCATGACCATTTACTAAGATTATTAATATAATAAATAGCACAAAAATTCTGTCAAAATATGCAACTTGAAACACAAATTAAAAGTCAAAATTAGAAATCAAGTTTTGAAGTCGTTGATTATCACAATTTCTAAAAACATGGCTCGTTACCTCTCCAATAAGAGTATAATCAACCATGTCTCTATACTTCGAAATAAACAGGAGTAATAACCAAATTTCAAGAAATTGATTATCAGGAGTGTGCTACCTACGACATATGAGAGTTTTCACCGGAACTAGTACATAATATTTTTATCACGTGCGGAGCATGTGTTCCCGAGTGTCGGAAATTTTGAAACTGAAGAAAAGTTAGAAAACCATTACGTATTTGAGCAGAAAGAACATTTGGGCACCTCCTCCAGAGACTTGTAATCGATTTCTTACATGGATGAACATTGTTATGTTGCAGTTGACGTCGGCACAACTAGTGTACGGGCTGCAGTCATCAGTAAAACGGGAAAATTATTGACGTTTTCATCTCAGGATATTGAAATATGGAAACCTTCATGTGACATGTACGAACAATCATCTGAAAATGTATGGTCTTGTTTATGTGCAGCAGTTCAGGTAGACGCATGGCTAATGATTTTTAAATAATGGATGTTTTTAGGGATAAATTGTTGAATGGATGGATTGTTGTTGGATGGATGGTTATATGGATTGATGGTTGTATGGATGGATGGTTGTATGGATGGATAGTTGTATGGACAGATTGTTGTATGGATGGATGGATGGTTGTATGGATGGATGGTTGTATGGATGGATGTTTATATGGATAGATGGTTGTATGGATGGATAGTTGTATGGACAGATTGTTGTATGGATGGATGGTTGTATGGATGGATGGTGTATGGATGGATGATTGTAACATGAATGGTAGGTTATATGGATGGATTGTGTATGAATGGATAGTTGTGTTGATGGATGGTTATATGGATGGATGGTTGTATGGATGGATGGTTGTATGTATGGATGGTGTATGGATGGATGGTGTATGGATGGATGGTTGTAACATGAATGGTAGGTTATATGGATGGATTGTGTATGAATGGATAGTTGTGTTGATGGATGGTTATATGGATGGATGGTTGTATGGATGGATGGTTGTATGTATGGATGGATGTATGGATGGATGGTTGTATGGATGGATGGATGGTTGTATGGATGGATGGTGTATGGATGGATGGTGTATGGATGGATGGTTGTAACATGAATGGTAGGTTATATGGATGGATGGTGTATGAATGGATGGTTGTGTTGATGGATGGTTATATGGATGGATGGTTGTATGGACAGATGGCTGTTTAGGTGGATATTTGTATGACTTGATGGTTTTATGAATTGATTGGTTCTATGCATAGATAGTTCTATGGATACATAGATGTTATTGTATAAGTAAGTTTGTAACCACAACCCAATTTTTGTTTTGCAATATTGATGAATGATGATTGTGTGGATGTTATATATACAGATGGATGGTTGCATAAATGGCTGTTGTATCATGCTCTGACTAGAACATGTGCTATTGTGCCATTGAACATCACAGGCCTATTTGTATTTGTAGTTGTATTTTGCTTAAATTGTTGTTCATAACATTTTATAAATCCTTCAATGCTTTCCACTGCAGAAAACAACAAAATCTATGTTGAAAATGCAAGTAATGCATTTTAGAGACTACTAAGTCTAAATTTTCAATTTTAATGGCGAGTGTAGTTTTCAGCCCCCTTCCAGTGGTTGAAATTGCTAGGCCCCTAAATTTGTAGCTTGTGGAGTCTGTGTTACATGGATGATTAATTTGTTATGTGTTGATGTTTCTATGTTGATTTAAAAAGTAATACAGTCTAAATTAGTAAAATTTATGTATAATTTAGAAAGCCTGCATCTCAGTCAATAAAGATAAAATTTTTGGTATTGGATTTGATGCAACTTGCTCTCTAGTTGTTTTGGACAAATACGGTAAACCAATATCAGTATCTGCAAATGAAACAACAAATCAAAACATTATTTTGTGGATGGATCATAGAGCTGTGAAAGAGGCTGAAATCATCAATAATACTCATCATCATTTGTTGAATTATGTTGGTGGGAAAATATCTCCAGAAATGCAAGCTCCCAAAATTTTATGGTTAAAGAACAATCTTGACTGTGAGAGATGGCGTAATATATCGTTGTTTTTTGATCTTCCTGATTTCCTAACATACAAAGCTACTGGTTATACATCAAGGTCATTTTCTTCGTTATACTTTCTATGATGCATTGAGATTTTTCTTTATAGTAGAATTTCAATAAAGAATCTGCTCTTATTTTGAAGGTCTCTTTGCTCTGTTGCTTGCAAGTTTAACTATTTTGTTGAACCATTTCACAAACTGAATAACGGTAAATGATAAGTTTTTATGTATGTTACCATATTTTAATCGAAAAGCAAAGAAATTAATTGCAATTCGAGATGTTTCGTACATTTTAGATAGTTCGGGGTGGATTCCTTCTTTTTGGGAAAGTATTGGTTTAGAAGAGTTCGTTTGTGATGACTTTGAAAGATTGGGTAGATAAATTTCTATTGTGTTGTATGTCGATGTACGATGACATATGATTTTAAAATCCGTTGTTAAAGTTTTTCCTGTCTCACATTTTTGTTTTATAAATTGACGGAGATATTTAAGTAAAATTTTGTGATTGTCAAATCATATATGATTAAAAGACACTTACGTGTATTCTATAATTGATAACGAAATGCATTTTTTCTTTCTTCGGAGGCAAATTGATTTGTGATCCTGGGACAAAACTTGGCAAAGGTTTGACAATAGAAGCAGCTAAAGAACTTAATTTACCAATTGGTCTCCCTGTCGCTGCTTCACTTATTGACGCTCATGCTGGTGGACTTGGTACGTAAGTAGATTTTATTCATGATCTATGTGATGTTTTTTGAGATGCGTTTTTACTTAGAAAACATAAACCTTTCCTCTTTCATGTATGTTTAGGAATGGTTGGAGCAAACATTGAGTATGAACTTTCTTCTGTATCTCTTACGTCAAGATTAGCAATTATTTCAGGAACATCCAGCTGTCATTTGGTGGTATAATTGTGGAATTCTTTTTTAGTCAAATACTTGCATAAGACAGCCCAGCTTCATACGTAATTCTCTTTTTGTTCTCATCAATCTTGCGCAAACCACAATGTGCTGAACTGCGCCGATAGATACTTGTTAATTTCAGTAGTTTAAGCAACAATTTGCGTTTCCTTAAATCTAAATCAACATCAAAGATGCATTTAATGAATTCTAATATAAAATAATATTTTTTGTCTTCCACTTCAAAGGTGTTTTTCTAAATTATGAAACTAAATATAATGTTCAAGAGATAAAACGCAACCATAATTGTCCAAATTAAATTTAACTGAATGAAAGATGTCACGACCCTTGTATATACATTAGATCTTAGGTTGTCTTATGACAAAGACCACCATTTCATTGAAGCTCTCCACCGTTTTGCCCTTAATTTTTTTTAGTACTCGGCCAAAATTCGTTGTAGCCACATGATTGTACTCGTATTTATTTCAATTTCATTTTATTGCTAAGGTGAGCAATGATGCAACGTTTGTTCCTGGAGTCTGGGGACCATATTACTCAGCAATGATTCCTAAATATTGGCTCAATGAAGGAGGACAAAGTGCAACTGGAGAACTGGTTTGTTTAAAATGACAAATTTCGACATATATATAATTAGGCATGATTTACCGTGGTTTGCCGGTGGTTTAAGTTTCACCGTTGGTCTCGTTATAATATAGATCGATTACGTCCTTCACACTCACCCTGCATGGAAACTAATTGTTGAAAAGGCTAATTTGAGGTGATTTTGTTTGTATGTTGATTCATAAGTAGCACAGTGAGGACTTTTTTCAAATAAATAAATAAAATTCCGACGTATTAGATTTTAGACCAGATGATTTTTCGGGAATTGTTTGAACCTCTCCATATTTTTTTTAAGTAAGTCAACAGTTCATGAAGAAGTTGAATTTACTGTGAACGAGTTTGCAAAAAATCTGGAACATTATGCTTATCTGGCTGAAGATTGTCACGTCTATCCTGATTTTCATGGCAACAGATCACCAATTGCTGATGCTAGTTTGAAAGGCATGGTTGGTGAAGCTATTTATCAATTTATAAAAAAGCGTCTTCTGATTAAAAAATCTTGATTACCATATAAATTAGAAATTTCCTTGCCAAAAAACTAAAATAAGAGTGACATCATATTTATGATTGTTTGATAGCTAAAGTAAATTTCCTAAATATATATGAGTCTATCAAATTATTTACTTCGCTTGAACATATGCTATTTTTTGTAAATATATGTGTTTAACACAATGCTAACGTTCGTTTAGTTCACTTTACATCAAATGATATATAGAGGGGGGGGGTTGCCGTGCCCCCCAAGCTTTGTTACATTACCCTTTTTGAGTTTTCTTTTTGCCTATATACAAAGTTTTAAATGCATTCTTATTTTTTTGCTTATATAGTTAACTGGCTTATCACTAGCAAAAGATCTCAAAAATTTAGTCACACTGTATGTTTCAACGATTCAAGCGATTGCTGTGAGTTATTGAACAACAAGTCAAACTTCTTGCAATATTTTTTATCAAACAATTACTTTATTCGTTTCAGTGCGGAACCAAACAGATAATCGATCGTTTAAATGCATCTGGATTTCTTATCAAAGTCATAATGCTTTGTGGTGGTTTATCGAAAAATCGAATTTTTGTTGAATGTCATTCTGATGTCACAGGTGTGTTTTATTTTTTTATAACTTGGATTAAAAATGTGTTACCAGGACCATCACCTCTTCCGATCCTCCTGACAGACCGTATCATTTTGAATTTCATTATCTCTATGCTTCAATACATTCTTTTACCGTAAAGGACTTCCTGTCATTTTGCCACGCGAATCAGAGTCGACGCTTGTGGGCTCAGCCATCTTAGCAGCAAATGCTGCTGGAGATTTTAATTCCATAGAAGTAGGTGAAACATTTTTATTTATGATGACTTAAGTGTGATGGAAGAGTTGCAAACTCGTAGAGAGGGGAGAATCTAATAATTATTACCAACGTCAAAATTATGCAGTCTTAAAGAGCCCCTTTTTCAAGTCTCAATTATAACGCAAAAGTTTTGCAGTTTTTGGTTTGGGACCTTGCTTCGGTAATATTTTGCCTCGATAGTTTCCTAACATTTGTTACCTATGCTCCAGGACGCTATGACGGCGATGAGTGCATCTGGAAAGACTTTTTATCCAAATAACGATTTGAAAAGGTGTTATATTTTTTATTCCTGTCCATATTCAATGTATGACATTCCTTTATTTCTCCAAAAAAAGTCATAAGAAAATTCGTTAGACTTTATTCATTATTTCATTGGTTTTCATTGGAAACGATTTTGCTGTCAATATAACGTTTATGTTTACAAATAATTCAAAATTTCTGTCGATCACGATTTGTGTCGATTTTTTAGATTTTACGAAAAAAAATATGAAATTTTCATGAAGATGCAGGAAGATCAACTTGTATATCGTCAAATCATGGCGTCCTAGCAAATTTTTGCTCAGCTGTCATGGAGGAAGCTCGTGATAATAAATTAGATGATTTGTATAAGTCAGATGCTTTGCCCAAACAAAGTTTTGTCGGTGATTGTTGTGCCACTTGCCTTATACACATTCACTATCGTTTATTGATTGTTAACTATAGAAACTTCTGTAATTACGAAGTATCTTTGTCATAAATTAATTTTTAAGGCTGATGATTTTTGCCCTATGTAATCTTCATATCTTCGATGATGAAATTGTCTCGCTTACCTCTTTTACCATGTTGTTGTACATGATTCTGCATTGTATTTTGGCAGATGGAAATCAGTTTGTCATTACGCAATTGATTAGGTTGTTATTATTTGTTATTACATTCTTGTCTTAATGTCCTAGTTTACATTATCCATGTTTTTCATTTACCACAGATGTACTCAAAGGTCCCCAGGCAATGACACTTTATCTTAAAACTTTAAATGAAATGTTAAACAAATTACCCAAAAAAAGTATGGAAGCTTTTTGTTCAAATAATCTTCTTCATATGACTTATGCGTTCACAATATTTATTCAGAAGAATAACAAACAAAACGACCATATCAATTTTGAATTCATATACTATACTATACAACTTCAATTGCAGAATGGTTATTTAATTGTACAAAATTGATTAATTTTACTGTTGTTTGTTATCAGCGGCACAGTAACCATAGATTTTTAGTTTGTCAACGTCACTTTAACCATAGATTACCCAGTTTGTCAACGTCACTTTAACCATAGATTACCCAGTTTATCAACGTCACTTTAACCATAGATTACCCAGTTTATCAACGTCACTTTAACCATAGATTACCCAGTTTGTCAACCTCACTTTAACCATAGTTACCCAGTTTGTCAACGTCACTTTAACCATAGATTACCCAGTTTGTCAACGTCACTTTAACCATAGATTACCCAGTTTGTCAACGTCACTTTAACCATAGATGACCCAGTTTGTCAACATCGCTTTACCATAGATTACCCAGTTTGTCAACGTCACTTTGACCATAGATTACCCAGTTTGTCAACGTCACTTTAACCATAGATTACCCAGTTTGTCAACGTCACTTTAACCTTCTTCACGACCTGTAGCTCCTATTTTACAAAATGTAGTTTTACATTAATGATTTTTCTTTCATAGGAAATGAGATATGGGGTTAAGCAATTACATTCACGTGACACAAGACTACATTATTGTCCTCCAAATCATTGGTTTTCTTTGTCAACAATGTAAATATGCATATTATCAAAGGTTACATATTTGTACTTGCAAATGACACATAGGTTTAACATTAATTGACTGTATTTGTCCGATCAATTTCGAGAAGCTTTCAAATTAATGTTGCGAAAATCATTATCAACAAAATAGTCAAAGATAAGGGTCTATTTTGTTGTGTAGTTGAGCTGTATTTTAATTAAAGCTCTATGATAAAAAAAAAGATTTTAATTCATTTATCAGTGTCCAACCAAATCACCGCTTATGGTCAAGCATGAACGGTTTACACGCTTCACCACTGAACTGCGATGATTTGATCTTGGGTGGGTGATTAATGTTTCATAATTTCCGTAGGGTTGAACCAAAGCACATCGACAGGCAGACAAGTCAATATATTTTCTTCTGTCTTCAGCATCGACCAATCGAAGGAACTCATAAGAGTGGACAAGTTAAGTAAGTGTATACGAAATTTATGCCAGAACCCAACAATAAATCCAGTGCAACATCAGCTCAAAACCAAATTTAGGATGTTTTAAATGAACCTCAAGCAGTTACAGACACTAAGACGTAGATTAAAACAGACACTAAGATTGACTTTACAACGAGAGCTATCTGCACTTATTGAAAGTTATCATGCACGTAATAGTTTGCTTGTTGGTTTAAAAGCAACCTGATCTTAAAATGAGTGTTATTTTTCTTCTATCTCTAAGTTTGGAATATCAGCTATCTACAAAGGCTGAACAACACATGACATGCACTATAGATTATATGTATATTTTATAAGACAAATAATGATATTGTAAACTCCACATATTTTTCCAGGGTGATGCAAGGTATAGCCCGCATTTTATGAAATTTAATTTTCCTCTAATTTCGCGTGTTTTGTTGTTTCTTCAGATAAACTGACAGTAAAGATGACTTTAAAACATTTTCTGCTTTTCCTCATCTGTGAGTCGCTACTGGCATGCATTACAACAGCATTCTATCCTTTGGATCTCATGGATGATGGAGGTGGAGTTGTTTACATAATAAAGGCATCATCAAAATGTTTATTTCTCTTTCTTCTTTACTTACTTCCAGTATTTCTACCTAAATAAAACCAAGCAGGTCAAAGAAAAAGAAGTTTGATACTTTGACATGAGATGCTAGGGCAATTTAGTGCAGCAAACATTTACTTATTTAAATATCATAAGAAACTAGAGTTCTTTACTCCCACCGTTAAAGTCAAGTTACTTTACTGTTTATTCTTACGCACAAATGAATACAGCAAAATAAGGTGACTTGTTGAAGCAAAGATAAGCACAATTGGAAAATATAGCAACATTTTGTAAATGGGATAAAATTTAGGAATTATAACAACTGGTCCGTGTGTTTGTGCTAACAGCACTGAGCTAATCTTACAATTCTTATCCTTTTTGTGGGGAGGAATGCGCATTTGCAAGATTTTCTCTATAGCATGTTGAATACTTTTATTCGTAATGTTTTCATTTTGCTTGGTTCATTTTGATCATTGGTGCATTAAATGCAAGGCTAAATGCGCATACTACAACCGTTTGCTTTGGAATATCATCAAAATGACAATAAAGCTATGAGCAGGAAATAAAAGTAAATACTTGAGATCATCTTTAACGTACAAACTTCAAACACTACACTAAAACGTTGTTGTACAAGTCGTATTATATTTAAATTTATTCAAGTCATAAGCTTGTTGATTAATCGATTGAGTGCGTCTTGTATACGTTTTGAAAAACAATCAACAAGCTGTGTCTTCGAGATCTGGTCGTAAGGCACATTTATGAGAAACACAGCACTAATGGATGAAGCTACGGCAACACTGCTTTCAGCTTAGATTAAAAATCTAACGATACTGGCTACAAATGATCTTTTATTATCTTGACATGACTCCACCAAGTCCTTCCGGCCAATATAAATACTGGTGAATTCTCGATTTGATTCTGTCTGTCTGTCTATATATTTTTTTCGGGGTTATCGGTTTGAGGAGGAGTGTACAATGTACAATCTCATCAATGTAGAAGTTATTGGAATGTCTGTTCAATTTTCATGTCTGGAATTCGAATGAATGTACCACAAACAACCTACCTTCAATACGGTAAAGACTAAAATCCAGGGCCGGATTAACCAAACGCCATAACAAGCCAGGTGCCTAGAGGCAGAGTATAGAGAAATAAAGTAGGTCCACTTTGTGTGAAATTGGCTGCTGTATATTTAGTCAGATTAATGGCTGCCGTTAGCCATTTCATCATTTCTACTGGTCAAAAAAATCAATTGACTGGCTACCACTATTTAATCACTTGCATGTGTAACAAGATATGAGGCACGAAAAATTAAATGGAGCGGCTCTACTGTATATACTCTAAACTACGCCAGGGGCCTCTGGAAACAAGTGCCTCCATACTATTTAAAGGAAAACTAAACATTGTTGCTTTACAGAACAAGAAAAAATATTTTGTTAACTCCTTAGGTCAATTTTAGTTGATGAAGAGCATAGTACGTATGAAAATGAATCACGGTAAACTTAGCAATTTTGCTTTAATGAGCATTGAAGACGATATTCTAAGGAAAATTATTATGGACCAACTTATCAAAGACTGCCAGAATCAAATTCCGTTAACTACTTTATATCAAGTAGAATTCAGTCGTGGAATACAAGTGCCTTACTTCCTATATTTTAACTTTATACTTTTATCAGATTCTTTGCGAAAGTTTTATTTGAATTTTGCTGTTTGAAGTATAGGCAGCTAATGGCCTTAAGAGCAGGAGGAAGGGGCCTTTACGTATTTTTGCGTCCTAGGGCGTTCACACACTAATCCAGCCTGCTAAAATACCCATGCAGAGTGATCATTAACATCAATTTTATGTCGTTTCGCGAATAACACGACACTTGATTCATTGTGCCGGCCGTTTTGCCAGTTCGAATTTGCCTTTCCTATCCAGTTTTTTCACTGTGCTCGGGTAAAGAAAATATAGTACTGGTATGGATTTCACAAAACGTGAAAAATAACAAAGAATTGATAATGCCATGGTGCGAGTCTAGCCATGGCATGAACAAAAAATACAATAAAGTATTTGGTATGTGCGACGACTCCGCTATCAAAGATTAAATATCATTTAATCGCAGTCATCACATAATAAAAGGCAATAAGATCCTACCTAACAAAATGTTTATGAGAAAATATTGGCAACAAAATACAGTTGTATTAAATTTTTGTCATGTCAATTTCGTCTGCTTCTATGCAAGTAAAGTTGTAAACATGCGTTCGATTTATCGATTGAGTGAGCAAAGTATCATGCTCTTCAAAAAAGCTTTTTATAAAGATAAATTGTTGGAAATTCATCGCTGGGTTTCCAAGCGCATGACTTTGTTTCTTCCCAATCAAAGCAAAGTAGCACTCATCCCCTATAAGGTCAGCAGTACATTACATCATTCACATGTGGCACGTTGATTTATTTAAAAAAGCTGTATACATCGCAGAGCGCTAAACCTAAACGCACAAACTTCATCAGAGTTGCCTTGAACTATTTTATCCAAGCTAATTTGCAACAAATGTTAGAACACGAAATCTGGTGCACAAAATCGTGGATCTTAGAGTGTCTGACTGAGTGTACCTGGCAATTTTGGGTGACAAAGGGGAAGGCAGAGAAGCCTTTCCTTTTGCGATAGTAACTTCTAGTAATATTGCATATATTTACATCTTTCAGCCTAAACAATAGTTATTATTTAAATTGAATTCTGTGGAGCATATAGTAATTTCACATCAAGCACAAAGATATAACAAATATCCTCGTTACATTGTCACTTTTCAAGTATCTTCTTTTCCAACAGGTTGTTCAATCGCATGTACAAGTGAAATTTATGCAGTTAAAAGGACTGGCTCCTTTTACAAGCGTTCACCGCCAACTGAAGCGAGTGAAAAATGGATAAATTGTGCACAAAAAATAGGCACTAACGGTTGGGCTAGCTTCAAGTTCCTTTTTCTCGGACCAGATGGTGACTTGTATGCAGTTCGTAAAGATGGGACATTTTGGAAAGGTTATCCACCTAAATATGCACGCGACAATTGGAGTGGTCGTGCAAAGAAAATTGGCAATGGGGGTTGGGCTAGCTTCAAGTTCCTCTTTTTTGGTCCTGGCGGTGACTTGTATGCAGTTCGTAAAGATGGCACGTTTTTAAAAGGTTCTCCACCTAAAAATGCACGTGACAACTGGAGCGCTCGTGCAACCAAAATTGGCAACAGGGGTTGGGCTGACTTCAAATTTCTCTTTTTTGGTCCTGATTGCAACCTGTACGCTGTTAAAAAAAATGGGCCCTTCTTTACAACGTACGAACCAAAGAACAGGCGTGACCCATGGTTAGGTCGTGCAACAAAGATTGGCACTGGAGGTTGGCAACATTTCAAGTTCCTCTTTTTTGGTCCCGGGGGGTATTTGTACGCAGTATCACGTGATGGTTCGTTACGTCAAGCCCCTCCTCCAACCTACGCAAAGGATAACTGGACTTATCGCTCAACTAAAATTGGTGCTAAAGGATGGGCGAATTTTAAATTTTTGTTTTAACTCTCTTGATTTGATTCAGTAGTTACTAGCAGTCTATAATTATGCTCTTGTAATTGTTTTCTACGTATTGAGTCTTGAAATATAATAGCGATACTAAACCAATTTCTTCTTCCATTCCATTGCCTGTTAGATATTTCTCAAACTTCGCGTGAAAAACTTAATTCCTTGATATCTTTTAAATTTTTTTTGGATTAATTAGAATGCTTATATTTAAGTATGATTTTGTTTCCCCACACGCTTTGTAAGAAATGTACAAACTTATGTATGAAATGCTCAAATTTCGTTGATAAGAATTTAGATGGATTATTTCTACATGATCTACATTTCGAAAAGAACTAAACATTTCACATCCTATGACAATTGCCTTTCTCTTCAAGAACCGTCGTGTGATGTTTGTCAACAATGGTCCCATTGCGTTGGCATTACTACGGTTGCCCGTATGTGCAATTTACAAAACAAATTTGTGAATGCAAAACTGAAGATTCTGATGCCAAAAATTTTTCCTTGTGAACAAATTAAGTTTGGTAAAATAAAAAAGAAGGTAATGCAAAACAAAGACCTTAATGTAAAATAAATTGATTTACAAATCAAACGAAATTTGATCCTAATGCAAAACAAATGTCTTTAATGCAAAAAATTGTTGCAGTGCAAAAATATTAACCGCAAGCCACACTCATGAAAGATATTGCTGCATTCCTTTTTATTCGGCCGTCTGGCGTATTTTTTAATTGTTTTGGTCATTTCACATTTGAAATTCTGAAAGCTAAGACTAGGGATCCAAGAATAATGCAAAGTTTCAAACGGCAAATTTTGTTCAACATGCATTGTAATCATGTAAAATTGTACTTAAGAAAAGATTTGAATGTGGCTTTGTGTAAGCACCACAAATGTATATTTATTTATTTATGGCACTAAGTAGAGTTAGCGTGCAGTTGCTTGAATGAATATTGATTTCGTGTACGAACTTTTATTGCAGTCTGTTCATTTTTGCGACTCACCGATTGATATGCATACGTATTCATAACAGTGATTCATTTATTTCTCGTGCTCCTTAATGATTTGTTCCTAAGATGCAATATACAAATATATATATTTCATTGCTTTTAATTTTCCTAGTCAGATCGGTGAAAACATTTGGGATCAATCTAAAGCGAAATCACTTATTCGGAGATTAAAGATTCAGCTAGATTTTAATATCAGTTGCAGATAAACATACCTTTACTATTTTAACATTGAATTTTAGACACGTTTAACAAAAATCGTCAACGGTACCACAGCCAGTAAACGTCACGGGTTATATATGGGAATGATCAGTGGAGGAAGTAAAGCTCCGTAAGAAATAGAACCTGACTAGTGTCCTACTTTATCATTTTTGTATAAAGGCAAAAGATCTGTTGACTGTAGTCAAAGAAAGATCAACAAATACCATTCAATCTCTTGATAAAGCCAATTCAACGAACATCAACTGCATGTATAACGTTCTTTTCCCTAAGGTTTGTTGTTTATCTAACGGCAACTTTCATTAAGTTTTTTTGTTGTGAAAGCTATGTGAAAGTGAGATTATTACATTTTATATAGGCCTTCATGTCTATACGTTTTTTGAGTTTTACCATCTCGGGTTCGAATAATTCGGCAACTAATTGTCTGACTTCGTCTTCTTTTTCTGATACGCTTATAAACGGTCTCGCTTTGTATATTTCACCCATAATTCCACCAAACACACCGACGACCAAACGTTCCGCTATTTCTCTCAAATTATCGTCAAACTTTTCCGTGACATGTTTTTCTTTCAAATCTAAATACTCGTACTTTTCCATCACTTGTAGCGCAGGCGATACGTATGTCTCTGGAGCGTAAAGCGTAATTCCTTTCTCGTCTTTGACGGCTACGGCGGATCCTCCTACAATATCATTCGAATTGACGGTGAACACGTCGTCCGTTTCCATGTTATCGTTTGTTTCAAAACTCATAGTTGAAAGAAAATTTCTTCTTCTTCGTCGTCGTTTGCCAGATCGCGTTTCGCGTTGATGTGTTCTCGACGATGGTCTCGGAATTGGTTCCTCAGCTTGGGATTGTCAATGGATTTTATAGGGATTTTACGTTGCAACATCACGTTGAATAAAAATTTTTTTCTTTCTTCGTCTTGCACCAAAAATTTCGTCTCTTTACGATGTTTCGATTTCAAATTGCGTATGTAATTTCGATCGTCTATACCGAATTCGATCCAATCGATCCCTTTTCCGATTTGATTTTTGGATTTTTTCTTTTTTCCTTTTTTTTTCGTTTTCGTTTCCGTCGTCTTTTTCACTTTCATCTTTTTTATTGTCGTGATTCATTTTATCCGATTCTCGTTCCAATTCGTCTTGGGCACGTTTCACATGTTCCATTCCGCTCAACGGTTTTCCGTGCGAGACTTTGCTGTACATGTCTGCAATTTGATATAATATTTTATGCGTTTCGTTCACGGGAACGATGTATACATTTTTCACTAATTCGGACATTTTTCTTTCGCGTGTCGTATAAATTTGATTTAATATCTTTATTTTTGTTTCATTTATAGAAAAAATTGCTAGTATACCGGGTTTTACGGAACATCGAGAATCGACGAAACGTAAAGTTCGTAGCGATCGTAAGCGTTTGAAAAACCGTACGCTTTCATGACCGCTCCGATCGACGATGAGGAATTGGACGAAGGCGTACCCATTCTCATGAATCAATACGAGCTCATGAAACACATGCGAGAAGAAAAAACGGCCGAACTGAAATCACCGTTTAGAAACATGACGCGACGACAAAAATTGAAATACTTTGAAAATTACAATCCGAAAAATGAAATTCCGATCGTCAAAAATAAACACGAAATGACCAAACGTGCACAGATTCTTTCCGGAAAGAAAATCGGATTGGAAGATTTGAATAAATTTACTTTATTTCAAGATACGGACCGAGCTTACAGAGCCGTGACAAAATTGAATACGGTCAATCATAATCGATTCGAAAGATGATTTAAAAACGATCAACGATGACGACTTGTCGATCGAAAGTTATTTTTTAAACGTGCATATTTTCGATATGTTTCGATTGCGACGCATGTTATCTTACATGTTTGAGCGTAAATCCAACTATCATGTCGGTGGTGCAGAAACGTTACGAACTATGTATGATATGCGTAAAAATTATTATCAAATTGTAAATACGATGAAAAGCGATACGCCCGGTCAACATTGGGTCGTGTTTATGAAACATGATGGGGAATTGAAATTTATCGATCCGTACGGAAACGCTTTTGAGCATTACGCGAACAACAATTGGAACGATAAGTATTCGGAACGGATTAAAATTTCTACCATCCCGTATCAAAAAACATTAGACGGAAAAGCGTGCGGGTTGTGGTGTTTGTATTTCATTTATTGCGCGTTGGAAGATTTCGAACCGACGAAGAAACCGATCAGCAATGCATGTTCGAAATTATGACTAAAAGTTTTCCGTACTTGCGAAAGCTATATAATAAGCAATGATTTTAACATCGATACATTTTTCAAGATGACGAGTCGCGCCGTTATTTTAAAAAATGTGAAAAATCTATATCGAGATTATTATTCGAGAACCTTGGAAGAGTTGTTATTTCTCGCTTTCAAATTGGAATTGTTTGATTTCGAAAAGGATTTATTTCAACAAATTATTAATTTCAATTTTGAACAATTTAACATCAAGACGGTCGTGTTGGCCGATTCCGGAGACTGTCACGGTTATAAGGAACACTTGGAAATTATGAGAGATTTTCGACCTTGATCGAACAAGATGTCATCGATCATACTTATTTTACATCGCATTCGAAGATCGATGGCGAAAAGCATGGAATTATGTTCAAGAAATTGGTTATTCCGGATATTTTTTCATCCACTTACATACCCTACTTCGCGTGCTGCGATAAACCTTTTTGGGGCACTACTTTTTCCAAGGAGCAGCAGAATATATGTACAACTATACAATCTGATGTGTTTGAAAAGATAGTTGTATATAATTTAATACATTTGAGAATGCGATCGGTATCGAAAAATGCTGGTCTAAATCAATTTAAAAAAGATGTGAAAGAAATTCAAAATAAAATGTTTCAATTTTATACGGTTGTGTATTTTTTTTCTTCGTACCTTGGTATTTTTAAAATACACAGGTATGTATTTTTTTCTTCCTACCTTGGTATTTTTAAAATACACAGGTATGTATTTTTCGTATACGCGCCCTTCGTTGTTGCGATGTGATCGGTGATTGTTCAGGGGCGAGTGTATATTTTATTGCAACATATCGATTCCCGTTTCTTTTCGAAACAAAATGGCGTTTTCTTCCAACGTCGTTGTTAATTTGTAATGCATAAACACTTTAGCATCTGTAGGTAAATGAAACAATGGTAAACGGCTTCGTTGGGGTAAAATAATCTTTTCCAAACGATTCAACAACATTCGACATAGTAAAACAATCTGCAAACTGCGTTTATCCTTGTATTTTATCGGGACAGTCTGGCGTTCTGATAATACTAAAATTAAATTGTCCAAGTCGTCGTCTGTGTATTCGTCGACAATACTTTTCCAATCCGCCATCGCGAAATCGACCGTCATCGTCTCGCAAGCAAAAACCTTGTCGTTATATACGCGCGCGCCATTACCATAAACGGAAACGAATCCCCCACGCATTATTTCGTTTTCGATTTACCAAATTCGTAACAATTTTCAAATTGAAAGTGAAATTTACCAGTAAATTCGTAACACCCCTATGTAATATAATATATAATAAACAAACAGATCTCCTCTACCATACATCCTTTCTTAATTTTACGATTTTATTTTATTGATAGTATTAATTATCTATAATTTTAGTATTGATTATAATTATATATTATTATAATTACTATAAATTATAGTTACAATTATACTCTTACACCATTTGTTAAATGTTTGCCCATTTTACTATGTCTTATAGGGGAGGGGGGTTGCCGTGCCCCCCAAGTTTTGTTACATTAACCTTTTCGAGTTTTCTTTTTGCCTACATACAAAGTTTTAAATGCATTCATATTTTTTTGCTTATATAGTTAACTGGCTTATCGCTAGCAAAAGATCTCAAAAATTTAGTCACACTGTATGTTTCAACGATTCAAGAGATTGCTGTGAGTTATTGAACAACAAGTCAAACTTCTTGCAATATTTTTTATCAAACAATTACTTTATTCGTTTCAGTGTAGAACGAAACAGATAATCGATCGTTTAAATGCATCTGGATGATGAAAGTCATAATGCTTTGTGGTGGTTTATCGAAAAATCGAATTTTTGTTGAATGTCATTCTGATGTCGCAGGTGTGTTTTATGTTTTTATAACTTGGATTAAAAATATGTTACCAGGACCATCACCTCTTCCGATCCTCCTGATAGACCGTATCATTTTGAATTTCGCTATCTCTATGCTTCAATACATTCTTTTACCATAAAGGCTTCCTGTCATTTTGCCACGCGAATCAGAGTCGACGCTTGTGGGCTCAGCCATCTTAGCAGCAAATGCTGCTGGAGATTTTAATTCCATAGAAGTAGGTGAAACATTTTTATTTATGATGACTTAAGTCTGATGGAGGAGTTGCAAAACTCGTAGAGAAGGGAGAATCTAATAATTATTACCAACATCAAAATTATGCAGTCTTAAAGACCCCTTTTTCGAGTGTCAATTATAACGCAAAAGTTTTTTTGCAGTTTTTGGTTTGTGACCTTGCTTCGGTAATATTTTGCCTCGATAGTTTCCTTACATTTGTTACCTATGCTCCAGGACGCTATGACGGCGATGAGTGCATCTGGAAAGACTTTTTATCCAAATAACGATTTGAAAAGGTGTTATATTTTTTTCCCTCTCTATATTCAATGTATGACATTCCTTTATTTCTCCAAAAAAATCATAAGAAAATTCGTAAGACTTTATTCATTATTTCATTGGTTTTCATTGGAAACGATTTTGCTGTCAACATAACGTTTATGTTTACAAATAATTAATAATTTCGTTTGTGGGATGTCGATCACGATTTGTGTCGATTTTTTAGATTCTACGAAAAAAAATATGAAATTTTCATGAAGATGCAGGAAGATCAACTTGTATATCGTCAAATCATGGCGTCCTAGCAAATTTTTGCTCAGCTGTCATGGAGGAAGCTCGTGATAATAAAGTTAGATGATTTGTATAAGTCAGATGCTTTCCCCAAACAAAGTTTTGTCGGTGATTGTTGTGCCACTTGCCTTATACACATTCACTATCGTTTATTGATTGTTAACTATAGAAACTTCTGTAATTACGAAGTATCTTTGTCATAAATTAATTTTTAAGGCTGATGATTTTTGCCCTATGTAATCTTAATATCTTCGATGATGAAATTGTCTCGCTTACCTCTTTTACCATGTTGTTGTACATGATTCTGCATTGTATTTTGGCAGATGGAAATCAGTTTGTCATTACGCAATTGATTAGGCTTTCAAAATGCATTAGTACCACGAACAACTTCGTGTTTTGATTCCTATTATCAATATGTTTGCTGGTGAATACAAATCCAAACCTAAAGTTTCTTTACGAGGTGCAAGTAAAACGGTAATTGCCTAGTCGTTTTGATTATGTTGTGTTCCTTTACAATAAAGATTATTTGCTTTAAACTTGATAGCGTTCAGTCGTTCGCTGCTCGTCTTGTTACTTTTACTGAATACCATGACCAATTTTCCGTTAGATAGTCAAAGTTTTCTTATGCTTTTGTAAAAGGGATTTTATTTTGGTTGATTAGAGATAATAATCACTACCTGCAAAAAATGCCGAATTAAAAAAAAGCAGAATGTGACACTTGCTTAAAACTGTGCACTAAGAAGTTGCAATAATGTTTGTGACCTAAATACTTTGATTTTGACAGTTTCTAAACATGCTTTCCAGATTTTTTTCAACTTAAGTTAACTGCTTACATTTTGCCTTTGACTATTGTCTACCAAGTTGTAGCAAGATGATTGTGTAACAATCATAAGAAGAAACTGTCTGACTTGCTTTGATGTGTCACAAGTTTTAGTGTGTGCTGCAAGTTTGGTTACTTTATTGTGTAATAATAAGAGAAGTTTCTTTTTCATTTTTGATTTCTAGTTTCATGGATTTCCATTAGAAACAATGCAATGATGTCATGACTATTAAATTACTATTATTTAGGAAAACATTACAGCATTGATTCATAAAAAACAAATAGAAAGAGAGAAGAGAGAGGTAACAGAGGAAATTGTTCAGTTTAGGTGTCAAGTAAACCAATGAACTGTACAAAATTATGTTAAAAGTGTGCCTAAATATTAGCATATTGTCATGTTGGTTTTTTGTAATCATTGTAGGATGGGAAAAAAAGAAGAATTAGTGCATTGAAAATTCAAGCACAATTACGGGGATACTGGGTTAGACAACAGCAGGTGTAATGGATGTTTTTGTTAGAGTATATTGTTTTTATGAATTGGTATTTTATGGTATTATCTCATGTTATTTTCTTGTTTTAGTATGATGCTCAAAGGATTGCATTTGATGAAATTTGTTCACAGTTAAATGAAAATGTTTCTCCAAATAATAAAACAATTCATTTGTTACTAACATATTTTATTTTCTTTTACTCTGACAAAAAAGACTCTGAACGATTGGTAAGTTGTCTAGTACAATGTATATTTATGTTGATTGATGATCTTACTCCATGAACTTTAGTTCTTTCTTCAAAAGGCTGTTGTATCAATTTGTCAATAATTTTTTTGAATGAAAAGTATATGAATGATGTATTATAATGACAAAGAGAGACTTAGGGGGAAATTCCTTGTTTGTCATACATATCAACTTTAAATTTAATTCTTCTATGTCCTTTTTCAGTCATATCCTAGATGATAGATATTGTATATTTTAAAATCACTTCTTACTGTAAATGCTTGTTTTAGCAATGTCCCCATTTAAACCTTCCTTTAAACAACATTATATTAGTTAATACTGTTATATTATGTAATCAGGTTCCACTTGTGTTCCATGGCTCAAATGCTTTTCTCGATTGTTACATGTTTTTTATTTCTTGCATATTTCATTAACTTATTTTAACATCAAATTTTGTCAATAGATTTGGATTTGTCATGTATTATTAAAAAATCATGATAAATTGTGCGTTCAGAATCATGAAAGGTGGACATTTCATATGAAGAAACTTTTATGTCATTGTAGCAGGTAGACTTTTGTTATTTTCTTTAATAAAAACTGCATAGTTTGCATGCATATCTAATCTCCATTGCACTTTCTTGTGCTATATTAGCTTTGGGTTGGATAGCAAAAAAAGCAGCAACTATAGTAGATAAAAATAATGATGTGGAATGTGCAATTACTGTGACATGACCAAAGCAGGTTTCATGTTGGGTTGCATGAAACAGCTGTAGCTTATTTTTGTACACTGTCTTTTATAGTTTTGTTTTAGAAAGTTAATGGAGTCAGTGTCAAAGAGTTGACCATTATTTTTGTACACTGACGTTTATAGTTATGTTTTGCAAAAAGTAAATGGTGTCAGTGTCAAAGAGTTGACCATTATTTTTGTACACTGTCGTTTATAGTTATGTTTTGTAGAAAGTTAATGGTGTCTCTGTCAAAGAGTTGACCATTATTTTTCTACACTGTCTTTTATAGTTATGCTTTGTAGAAAGTTAATGGAGTCTCTGTCAAAGAGTTGACCATTATTTTTCTACACTGTCTTTTATAGTTATGCTTTGTAGAAAGTAAATGGAGTCAGTGTCAAAGAGTGGACCATTATTTTTCTACACTGACGTTTATAGTTATGTTTTGCAAAAAGTAAATGGTGTCAGTGTCAAAGAGTTGACCATTATTTTTGTACACTGTCTTTTATAGTTATGCTTTGTAGAAAGTTAATGGTGTCAGTTTCAAAGAGTTGACCATTATTTTTGTACACTGTCTTTTATAGTTATGTTTTGTAGAAAGTTAATGGTGTCTCTGTCAAAGAGTTGACCATTATTTTTCTACACTGTCTTTTATAGTTATGCTTTGTAGAAAGTAAATGGTGTCAGTGTCAAAGAGTGGACCATTATTTTTGTACACTGTCTTTTATAGTTATGCTTTGTAGAAAGTAAATGGTGTCAGTGTCAAAGAGTGGACCATTATTTTTCTACACTGTCTTTTATAGTTATGCTTTGTAGAAAGTAAATGGTGTCAGTGTCAAAGAGTGGACCATTATTTTTCTACACTGTCTTTTATAGTTATGCTTTGTAGAAAGTAAATGGTGTCAGTGTCAAAGAGTGGACCATTATTTTTCTACACTGTCTTTTATAGTTTTGTTTTGTAGAAAGTAAATGGAGTCAGTGTCAAAGAGTGGACCATTATTTTTGTACACTGTCTTTTATAGTTATGTTTTGTAGAAAGTAAATGGAGTCAGTGTCAAAGAGTGGACCATTATTTTTGTACACTGTCTTTTATAGTTATGTTTTGTAGAAAGTAAATGGAGTCAGTGTCAAAGAGTTGACCATTATTTTTGTACACTGTCTTTTATAGTTATGTTTTGTAGAAAGTAAATGGAGTCAGTGTCAAAGAGTGGACCATTATTTTTGTACACTGTCTTTTATAGTTTTGTTTTGTAGAAAGTAAATGGAGTCAGTGTCAAAGAGTGGACCATTATTTTTGTACACTGTCTTTTATAGTTTTGTTTTGTAGAAAGTAAATGGAGTCAGTGTCAAAGAGTGGACCATTATTTTTCTACACTGTCTTTTATAGTTATGTTTTGTAGAAAGTAAATGGAGTCAGTGTCAAAGAGTGGACCATTATTTTTGTACACTGTCTTTTATAGTTTTGTTTTGTAGAAAGTAAATGGAGTCAGTGTCAAAGAGTGGACCATTATTTTTGTACACTGTCTTTTATAGTTTTGTTTTGTAGAAAGTAAATGGAGTCAGTGTCAAAGAGTGGACCATTATTTTTCTACACTGTCTTTTATAGTTATGTTTTGTAGAAAGTAAATGGAGTCAATGTCAAAGAGTGGACCATTATTTTTGTACACTGTCTTTTATAGTTTTGTTTTGTAGAAAGTAAATGGAGTCAGTGTCAAAGAGTGGACCATTATTTTTGTACACTGACATTTATAGTTATGTTTTGTAGAAAGTAAATGGAGTCAGTGTCAAAGAGTGGACCATTATTTTTGTACACTGTCTTTTATAGTTTTGTTTTGTAGAAAGTAAATGGAGTCAGTGTCAAAGAGTGGACCATTATTTTTCTACACTGTCTTTTATAGTTATGTTTTGTAGAAAGTAAATGGAGTCAGTGTCAAAGAGTGGACCATTATTTTTGTACACTGTCTTTTATAGTTTTGTTTTGTAGAAAGTAAATGGAGTCAGTGTCAGAGAGTGGACCATTATTTTTCTACACTGTCTTTTATAGTTATGTTTTGTAGAAAGTAAATGGAGTCATTGTCAAAGAGTTGATCATTATTTTTGTACACTGACGTTTATAGTTATGCTTTGTAGAAAGTTAATGGAGTCAGTGTCAAAGAGTTGACCATTATTTTTGTACACTGACGTTTATAGTTATGCTTTGTAGAAAGTTAATGGAGTCAGTGTCAAAGAGTCGACCATTTGCAATTCCTCTGCGTATGCTCGAAGTTTTTTCATCACCTGACAACATTGATCGTATATCTGGTTACCATTCAAATTATTTTGCTACAACTGTTACTTCGTATTTAGTAAAAAATGGTAAAACTTTTATCTTTTCATTGTTTTATTATTAAAGTTTTTTAGTATTCAATTTTTTGTACTTTAGGTTATTTTAATCATATACGATATGTTTTGGAAAATCGTGTTCCATCTTCGTTACAACATGGATTGTCCACTCATCTTGCTGATTCTCTTGTTTGTCTTCTACAAATATCCCTACAAAATATTAACAGTTTAGCTACTGAAGAAAAGAGGTATCTAGAAGATTAATATTGTGCTGTAAATGAGAAAACGCACTCCAAAAAACATGATTTGGTAAACTCAAGATTCAAGTTATAATAACAAGAGGCAGGATATAAAGGAATATTTCGACTATTTCTAAGTCATGATTAAGTTAAGTGATTATTTTTTTTAAGCAAGCATGATGTTACTTAAATAGTTGTTACAACAAGGAAATGACATAAACAAATCACTTGACTCTGAAGATGACTACCGCTAAGGTTATCGAAACGTCAGTCAACAACGATACTCCCGGGTTCAAACCATGCATTTTAGAGTAAACAGTTTTGCTAAGTTTTATAAAAAAGCACATTATTATTAAATAATGATAAAATTGTGAAAGTTATTATAAAGCAGCGTACGATAGACGTGCCAAAGTACAGTTCTGTGGAGCAATGTACTTGCATAAGTAATTCAAGTACATCATTAGTGCTATGAGATTGAAACCCAACAGTGAAATTTACTGGTTAGTTCACCATTTTGAATCGATGTTTACAGATTAGATGTTTAAGACAATGCATACAACAAACTGGAAAAAATATTACCACCATAGTCGAAGTGGAAAACACATGACTAACTGACAAGTGGATCGAAAAACTTATCAACTTGAGGAAAATAAATATTTATAATATTAAAAATTTGGTTTAAGTGAACCTTTATTCTCAATTTTGCAATACTCCCTTGTTGATTTTATGTTTACAGTTGTTTCTTCTTTAAATTTCTCAAATAAACGTAACTCTTTATTCTTTTCACCCAAAAGTTTATCTTATTTCTATTGTCTTATTTCTCCATTTCACTTACACTTATTCCCTGCAGAAAAGATTTCAAATTTTTGGTCATTGCTCAATACCTTTTCATGAGCATCTAATTTCTGTTTTATTTTTAGCTTTCTTTAATGTTTGAATTATATTCGGCTATGGCTGTTTTTTGCTTGGTATATATATTTCTGCCAACAGTAACAGTGACCTTTTTTCTTCTTTGTCAGACTTGCTATTCTTTGTTCGTTTGTCGAAGCTTTCCTTGTACCGAAGCTGTCACCTCAAGTCAAATGTTATATTCTGCCACAAATTCAAACTCTTCACAATTTTCCATTCATTGACTTTGTGAAGTGCGTAAAGATTGTTCAGTGCCAGTTTAGTACTTATATCTTGTTCTCTTTCTTGATGATTGTTCAATCACACATGGGTTAGTTTCAATTTTGTTATTATTTGTTATTACATTCTTCTCTTAATGTCCTAGTTTACATTATCCATGTTTTTCATTTACCACAGATGTACTCAAAGGTCCCCAGGCAATGACACTTTATCTTAAAACTCTAAATGAAATGTTAAACAAATTACCCAAAAAAAGTATGGAAGCTTTTTGTTCAAATAGTCTTCTTCATATGACTTATGCGTTCACAATATTTATTCAAAAGAATAACAAACAAAACGACCATATTAATTTTGAATTCAAATAATATACTATACAACTTCAATTGTAGAATGGTTATTTAATTGTACAAAATTGATTAATTTTACTGTTGTTTGTAATCAGCACGACTTGATGTGTTTGTTACGTATTCCTTTCTTATAATGACGTTTTTTCAAACTTTTGTTTGCCAATCGTGTATTTTAATTATTTAATTGATTTCTTCATTGTAATAAACTTAATTAATTTACAATTTTTCAGTAGAAAAAGTTGAGATTGAAAGTGATATTGAAGATTCAGATGAGGAGTTACCAACCATTAATAATGTATGTAAAAGCATAACTATCTGAGTTTATCACTTAGTACTCGTTTAAAAGTTGATAAAACTTCACGTCGAGTTTAAATTCTTTAAACCAATGTTGGACCCGGAGTTTTTAATTAAAACAAGATCTTTGGCAGGGAGATTTTCGTTAACATTCAACTAAATAAATGTCCAAACTCCAACAAAAAATACAGCAAAAATAAGAAGTTATTTATTTTGGAAACGCAAAAACTTTCCCAGAAACAGAGTTTTTTATGTATGATAGATAACACAACGCCTTACTGTTCAAAATGTTCGAAAGTGACACTTTTATACGAGTAAAAGTTGCTCTGAGACAAACCGCTGTCTTTCATCGATGTTTAAAAATCTTCCATAAAATATTTTCTTCGTACGAAGCAAAAGTTGCAAAATTTTTTGTTACTACACAATTCAATATTTGTATAGTACAGTAACTGTGATACAGCATACCCACTTTCGAATTTCATGAATTTTCGGACATATAAATTTTCTACCGAAGATCATTTTTTTCTTTTTAAACGTTTTAGACTTTGGAAAATGATAGTGATGAAGAAGAAATCATTGAACAATGTTTGCATTTGCTTAACGATGAAAATCATGTTAAATTGATAATTTCTGCTTTGGATTTAAGGTTTAGTTTATATGATGCACGATTATCATGATTTATCTACGTGAGACGTGTGTAATAATGAATTTGTCATGTTTACTTCATGTAGCCAAAATGAAGACTGTATTCGATTGATTTCTCTTATTGGTATTTTTTTAATATTTCATCAAAAGTGCCACATTCACGAATCAAGGTTTTGCTGTTGTTTGATTCTTACGTACTTTCATTATCTTCAACTTAACATTGTTCAAGATTTTGATTTTTGTTTAAGGCTGCTGTTGACGTTATCCTGTAATTACGGTTTCTATAAACGATTATGGAAAATGATACAAACAGTATCTATACAATCAAGTGTTGGGTATGTATGTCAAATTTTCCTCTGTAATGATCCAAAGAAAGGGTCGTTTTAAAATTATATTTCAGACAGACTTTGCTGATTTAAGCGGCTGTTGGGTTGCATTTCACCGAAAATGAATACTAATAGATTATAATTTATAGGAAAGAAATTTGTTTACTAAAAATCTTGATACAAGGAAGCAATCTTCGAAATTGGGAAGCTGAATGTATTGCTCCACTTCTTGCAATGTTTTCTTTTCTACTTGCCAATCTTTTGTTTTCTCTTCATGATATGGACTTTGTGGCGAAAGATTTAGGTAAACTTGTTTTATGTCGTAAAAATGTTTTATATTTTTAATATTCAGTGATGAATAACTTAAGCGGATTAAAAAAAATTAAGCTATTAATGATCGGTCGACAATGATGACCCAGTTTGTCTTTGCCACCTTATCACTAGATTTCCATGTATGTCTACGTCACTTTAACTACAGATTGCCCAGTTTGTCAACCTCACTTTAACCTTAGACTACCCAGTTTGTCAACGTCACTTTGACCATAGATTACCCAGTTTGTCAACGTCACTTTAACCATAGTTTACCCAGTTTGTCAACGTCACTTTAACCATAGATTACCCAGTTTGTCAACGTTACTTTAACCATAGATTACCCAGTTTGTCAACGTCACTTTAACCATAGATTACCCAGTTTGTCAATGTCACTTTAACCATAGATTACCCAGTTTGTCAACGTCACTTTAACCATAGATTACCCAGTTTGTCAATGTCGCTTTAACCATAGATTACCCAGTTTGTCAATGTCACAGTAACCATAGATTACCGTGTGAGTTTACGTCAGCTTAAGCATCGGTCTCCATTAACGTACTTTTTATCAGAAATTTTTATTGCAATATACAGGCTATACCATTTCTGAAATGTGTATTGACATCCCAATCAATATTAAGCTCTATGTAACCACAGTAATAATTATTTGTTCATTATTGTGTATTTATGAATTGTTTTCACAGTCGCAACAAAAATTTGACTTTCTTACAATTTGTGGGGTTTTTTTATTTATAAGGAACAAAGATTCCATTTACACTAGAAGAGCTTTCGTTGATCGGGAAAACGCTGTGTGAAGTTACTTTGGGAGTTGTTGAGATAATGAATCATGATTTGAGAACAACAACTGTTCCTAATTACAACATCAGAGACACACAAAATATCGATGAAACTAGATGGGAAAATGCAATGTATAGTCCAAAAAAGTGGTATAACGTACTTAAGGTGTTAACAACTGACTTTATTTACAAAAATTCAATTTAAAATTTATTTTTTCTAACATCTCATTTAAAATCAAGAGAGAAACATAATTAAATGCATTTTCACGACCTGTAGCTCCTATTTTACAAAATGTAGTTTTACATTAATGATTTTTCTTTCATAGGAAATGACACATGTGATTAAGCAATTACATTCACGTGACACAAGACTACATTATTGTCCTCCAAATCATTGGTTGTCGTCAAAGATTGACGTTCAAGCGGATCTGGTAAGATTGTAGGATGGTGAGGTACTATTTCTATAATGATTACGAAAGTACATATAAATTTCGTATTAGTCGATCACTTTTCTAGCAATAATTTGTATTATACTTTAGCCCCCATCACTTGTTCTTTATTTTCTTTCAAGGTTAATCTGGACATGTTCTTTGAAGATAAAGGTTTGTGTCATTAAATACGTTTGTAAGAAGAACAAACGTTACAATATACATAACTTTATATTTTAATTTAGACAACAATAAACCAATTGATTTATTGCAAGGAATTCCTGGAGTAAAATTCGTTCAAGTTGCTATTTTAGATCATATTCCTTTTGTTGTACCTTTCATTGACCGTGTGAAGGTAAATAATATGTTTCTTTTCTGTTTCCTCTAATCTTTACAGCATTGTTTGTAATGAGCAGCAATTTGAGAGAAACATTCAAACTAGTCATTTATACTGTAAACATTAAGAGGGAGGGTATGATCATAATGATTATATGTGTAGTGTCAATATATTTATTTATTATATGCTTCTAGAGGGTAAGTTCTAGATATATCGTTTTGTATCCATTATGCATGTCAACTTTTTATAATTTGTCAATCACAGAAATGTAAGAACTAAAACCTCAAAATCGTTTTTACGAATTTGATCGAAATTCAGTAGAGAGTGGGATAAGAATTATTTGACTTCAATTTTCAGTAACACATGTTTGTTTTAATTGACGAAATAGTACAATGATCAAATTAAGACATGTTTCCTTCACAGCATTGTTTTATTATTATTATAAGATTAGGAAAACATAGAAATGGTGAAAGAACGAAAATCATGTGTCTGTGTGATGTATTTAATTATAGATAAGAATTTAATGCACGATAATGCCATACGATAATTTAACTCGACTTGACACTAATTATCATAAATTACGTTGTTTTGGGGAAGTTTACGAACTGATGACATCATAATGAACCGCTGAAGTTAAATTTTCTGTCAAATGAAAAGGTTCAAACCTCAAACTATGAACTTAACCTGTTTTAAAAATCTTCCTAAACATAAATACTTTGAGTTTTGAAATCTTGTATCGGACAAGTAAAACATAAAATCCTTTTTTGCCATGAAACCGATGGAATCTTTCCTTTTACATCAAAAATCAGCTGGATGTTTATGTAAAAAACATTGTTTAATTTGACTTAATATCACAACGCAACTCAGATATATTGTTGTTTTTGGAAACTTTGCATTATCTTCGATCCTCAGTTCTACATGGTTGTACCTTCTATTGGCTGTTAAATGTTCTGTTGAATTAATTTTTTACAGCTATCGAAGTTGTTTTAGTCATGAAGAATATGTGTTTTAAACCGCGTGAATCTTTGTAGCAATTAGTTATCGTTACATAAATCCTTCTTTATTGTTGTTAGTTGTTTCATCGAATTTTAAAAGAAGATAAACATAGACATGTGTCAAACATACAAAACCCTCTTATCGATCATTCTAATGACATTCGCATCAGACGAACGTTCGTATATCGAGACGCTTTTGATGAATTATCTGGGGATAGAGGTGACTAAAAATCGATCGTGTTTTGTTTCGACCAATTTTTTGTTTTCACTTGAATTGAACTTTTTTTCTGTTTTCGTCCTCATTTCCATATTTTTCTCTTTCATGTATATTTTTCTCATTATATTGAAAAGATTTTAGGCAGCGAATTCATGTGACATTTGTCAATAATCATGGTTTACAAGAAGCTGGAGTTGACGGTGGTGGCGTGTTTAGGTGATTACAGATGTAGTTCGTATTGTAGCAAAATATTGCAAAATTTTATTTTCTTGTTCATAAACTTGAGCTTTATATATGTGAGTTAAACAACTTTTTTTATGTGAGTTCTTTAACTTTTATTTATGTGAATTATATAACTTTTATTTGTATGTTTGAGTTCTTTAACTTTGATTTATTTTTGTGAGTTATATCAGTTTTATTTATATACGTGAGTTACATAACTTTTATTTATATTCAGTACCGCTCGCGTTATTTGTTAACATACGGTACGCGTATGATACGAAAAACATATACGATAACATGTTTTACTAGAGGTAATAGTTAAGTTTCGAGTGCAATTACGGATTGAAATACTCGAAAGAGTTTTTATAGTTTGCAGTGAAATAGCGGGAGTCCGTGTTAAGATATGAACATCAAACGAAAAGACATAAACAACATACCATTGCATGATTAAGTAGATATGACACACATCAGATTAAGTGATATTCGTACTTGTTATTGTAAATATCGTTCGCTGATACTTAACTTTGTTACTAGTTCCACAATAAAATCATAAATATTTCACGTACAATGCGAATGTTATTATCGAATCACGAATAATTTAAAGGATATGTTTTACAGAGCAATTATACACTTCAACGATGCACTAACACATTTTCACAGTGCATTTTATACATAAACTGCACTGGGGCTTAAAATCTGTGGCTTGTGAGTTATAGAGTTGCATGCATATTAAAACCGGCGTAAACTTCGTTTTAAAGGTAAACCATCATTGATATAGGCAGTTGCAACAGTAAATGCAAAGTTTTCGAAAACTTTATACTTATATTTGTGTACGTAGATGAAACCAAACTATATTGAAACCATATACGAAAATATCGATAAAATGATATGGGTATGACACGAGAACGATATGCGTTTCAAATAAAGCAATACGAGTATGATACGAGAGCGATATGCGTATCAAATAAAGCGATAAGAGTATGATACGAGAGCGATATGCGTATCAAATAAAGCGATACGCGTATGATACGAGAGCGATACGCGTATCAAATAAAGCGATACGAGTATGATACGAGAGCGATATGCGTATCAAATAAAGCGATACGCGTATGATACGAGAGCGATATGCGTATCAAATAAAGCGATACGAGTATGATACGAGAGCGATATGCGTATCAAATAAAGCGATACGAGTATGATACGAGAGCGATACGCGTATCATACGCAAAATTATGTTAACAAATACGTGAGCGGTACTGTACGTGAGTTATATAAGTCTTATTTATATACGTGAGTTATATAACTTTTATTCATTATGTGAGTTATATAAGTTTTATTTATATATGTGAGTTATATAACTTTTATTCATTAAGTGAGTTATATAAGTTTTATTTATATATATGAGTTATATAACTTTTATTCATTAAGTGAGTTATATAAGTTTTATTTATATATGTGAGTTATATAACTTTTATTCATTAAGTGAGTTATATAAGTTTTATTTATATATGTGAGTTATATAACTTTTATTCATTAAGTGAGTTATATAAGTTTTATTTATATATGTGAGTTATATAACTTTTATTCATTAAGTGAGTTTTATAAGTTTAGCATGGTTATTAACTGATTGTTCATGTATTACGAGTTATATAAGTTTTGTTTTGTTTTTTATTGTACCATTCTGTTTAATTTGATTAATGTTAGAGAAAAACCATGTTTGATCTAACTCTTTCTTTTCAATAAAGATAAGTTTATAATTTCTATAATGTTTCAGGGAATTCTTAAACGAAACTCTCACCGCTGGGTTTGATCAAAATATTGGATTTTTTTCATCTACAAAGGATGAATTACTTTATCCCAATCCACAGGTGATTGCTTAAATCTCATCATTATTATTTGAATGCTCCAATGCTCCTTATTATTAGAATTCGGTTCCCGCCTGGTATAACCCTGGTTATTATTATTTGCTTCGAACAAAGTGTTAAATCGTGTGTACAACTGTAGCATGTATCTGTTTATCAATGTCCATGTGTAAATGGAATAATATCGAATAATAAGAAAATTTAAAAGCAATTTTGTTCTTTAAGGTTTTGCGTAAGCCTATTTTAATAATCAAGGGGATATTTATTTCAAACCTACAACTGCATGTTGTGTTATTGTAGTTGATGACAGTTTTGCGTCATTTAAAGTTCTGTTTTTCTCATTATCTTGTTTTATTATTTAATGTTCACTAATAACCTTCAGGCTTACAGACTCGATGAAAATGCGTCCAAGCATTACAATTTTCTTGGTAGAATGCTGGGAAAGGTAGATGAAAAGTATTTTTACTGGGTATTTCCAATTGTAAATGTCCATGCAATTCTTCGACATCTTAAGATGTAATTTATAGAGTTTATGCCATATCCATATATATTATTGTTGCGATGAGCAGTGACATGTCAAGTTATTTTTATACATCCGACCAACTGCATCATATATTTTCATTGAATAAAACAATTACAAGAACGATTTTTTTATTTTTTAGGCATTATATGAGAATATGTTAGTGGAACTTCGGTTTGCTGAGTTTTTCCTTTGTAAGATATTAAGTCAGTGTGAAAGTGATGTAGATATTGTTCATTTGGAGTCCCTTGATCCTGAAATGTACAGGTATTGATCATGTTACAAATTATAGTTCCTGACACCTTGACGCATACAGAATACGTTTAGGTCATACACTTAACTCCCCATTCTCCTTACCTTTCTCTCTTCCTTACCCCCTCTCTTTCTTACTTTACCACTTTTTGACTTGATAAAAATCGTAGAACAATTGACAATGTGTGGCTATTTAACAGGACTTAGTTTTATGCCTCCTGTCCCATCAACAAAGCAAATTTATCAGGATTGAAACACTAATTAAATAGTAAATTTTTATCCTCCATTTTCCTTTTAAACTCTTAGAAATCTTCTGTATTTGAGAGAATATGAGAATGTTGAAAGTCTTGAACTTGACTTTACCACCGTTATCAGTTATCTTGGAGAATCTCAGGTATCCATTTTAAATATTGTACATTAAAATGAACGATTTATTCCTAGAGTAATGTATACTTATAGACTAAATATGTATAAATTTCACTTGATGTGAAATTTAATCTTCACGTCACTTTCAACGATCACGCAACTATTCATTGTGTTTTAGAAATGTGTCCATTTTGTCTCGTTCGCAACTCTTACAAAGCTATCTTTGGGCATTTGTTCCAATAAATATATATTTCATTTATTCATTTTGCTGGTATTGACACGCAAAAAGAGCAAATTGTTTTTAATCGTCAATCATTCTTTTAGTGTCTGTTTTAATACATGTGTGAAGTGAAAAGAAAAAATAGCGAAATGAAGTTTTACTTTGTCTAACAGTCTCTCAAAGCTTACCACAGGACAATTTTATTGCTGTTTCTTCAAAAATAATGTTAAAAAGGCTCTTGCTCTGGGCTTCATTTAAATTATACAATCATGTGAAGTTTTTTGACATGTTAAGAATAGAATTTTGAGTATTTAGATATTCATATTCTTTAACGCACTACTTGACTCTTGTTGGTATTTTCTAACTTTCAGGTTGTTGAGTTAAAACCTGGAGGTCGTCATTCTCATGTTACAAACCAAAATAGAATTGAATATATTCATTTAATGGCAGACTACTATTTGAACAAACAGGTAATTTTGCAGATTTTGAAGAAAATTTCTCGTTTTTTATCAAAACGTCCAATGTTTTAACTACTTAGATTCGTCACCATTGTAAATCATTTCGTGAAGGATTGTCGAGCGTTATTGATATTTCCTGGCTTCGTATGTTCGATTCAAATGAATTACAGGTATAAGATAAATCATTTCTATCACAGTATGACAACATTTTTTTGATTAGCAAATAATTCTTTTTCATGAAAAAAGTAGGCACTTTAACCCAGAAAACTTTTTTCTGATTTATTGTAGATTCTTATATCTGGTGCTCAAGTCCCCATTGATATTCAAGATCTAAAGGCCCATACGTTTTATGCTGGTAATTGTTTTGCTGTAGAAATTCGTCCAGTGTTTGAGACCTTTACCAAACTGTGTTTCGGTCATAGTAGTTTGTTTTTTTCGCAGTTGAAGAAGTAAAATATGTAATCGTAGGTGTTTTTATGTTTAATTCCTCTGCTTGGAAAATTATCTTCCACCTTGGTTTTATTATACTGCCTGATCTGTTTTCTTATATTGTAACGTAAAAAAATCGTTTGTGTCTATGTGTTAACAAACAAAAAATTTAGGTGGTTTGAGTGCAGAACATGAAAGTGTTCGACATTTTTGGTCAGCTGTTTTAAGTTTTAAAGAAGAACAACGTCGTCAGTTGTTGAAATTTGTCACTAGTTGTTCAAGACCACCTCTCCTGGGATTTAAGGTGAGATGAATTTTGTTAAAAATATGTTTGTGTTTGGATTTCATTTTTTAATCTCCAGCATATGTTTGTTTTAACAGTTGTGATTTAATTTTATTCATAATTGTTTCATCAGGAATTGCATCCTCCGTTTACCATTCATGCTGCTGGCAAAGATGACCGTTTACCTACAGCAAGTACCTGTGTTAACTTATTGAAACTTCCTGAGTATCGCAGTGAAAACACAATGCGTGAGAAACTCCTCTATGCTCTTCAATCTGGTGCAGGATTTGAACTTAGCTAGCTGATGTGAGAAGAGAGTATTGTCGATTTCTTCGCTGCTGTGAAAAAGAGTAGCGATCTCGTCCTCATATGTTGCTACATGTTGATTGCCACTTTCTTTGGGGGTTAATATTGTGGAAATATTGCAGAATGTAGATAATGTCAGAAAACGTGTCAATGATATTAACGGTCTTTGAACATTTTTTTACTGATTATTAATATGGATAAAAAGTAATCCTGCATAATGTAACGATTTAGTTGGAATTAGTGTGGACAGGAAATGAACGAAATTCCTTTTTAGAAAACTCGTCAAGAGTTACACGTATAGCATAGAGAAAAGACATGTCAGGCTAAGCTTATATCCAGTGCTCTCACTTTTAAGGAATTATCCTTAAAAATAGGATTTTTTAAAGGTTTTAAGGATATTTTCGAGGATGTTTTTTTTACTTTAAATCAATATACATTTAATAATATTTAATTTATCTTCACAAATACAACGTTGAGCCTGTATGGTCACGCCTTGTAGTAATTTTTACAAATTTAAGGAATTTTATGGAAAATTGAGGAGTTTTTAAGCATTTTCTAAGGAACCACGAAGTTTGATTGTGAGAGCACTGCTAATATCTGTTAAACCGTTGCGTTGCTAGGGTGATGGGCACTTGCTCCCCTAATAATTTGTTATGCCCCTCTTTCCATCAGTGTTGCCACATTGTGAACAAAGTTCATGAATTTATGAACTTTTGATTTTTATTTTGAATTTTTGTGAACATTTCATGAACTTTTACTAAAAATTAAAAAATTTTTATGAACTTATCAGTTATAAAGGACAAGGCTGTTTACAATAAATATACACTGGTTTAGAGATTTGAGACAAAGCATAATTCAATCTTCAATGCTGATGTGAAGGGAATTTTTTCTTCTGTGAATGCAATCGAAACTAAAGAAAGAAATAGGTTGCACACAGTCAGTCTACAGTATTCTAAAAGTTAAGCAAGAGTGAAAGAGTCATGAGGCTGTATCAAATATTCTCCTTCGACCAATGCTTTAAGTCGTATGACAACCGACATTCTTTATGCTCAAGACTCTGACTCAAGCGATGAATCTGAATCGAATTAAATAATTGTTTTTCATTGTTATTTTTTTTGTTATTTTGTACAAATGTGCAATGTGCATCATTATAAATTTACATCTGATTTAGCCTATTTCATTCATTCGGTGCAAATTAGGCAATTTTTGTCGATTTGTGAACATTCGTGGATAATATGTGAACTTTTGAACATGCCGACATGAACTTATTTAAAATTCATCTGGCAAAACTGCTTTTCATTCAAATTTTAGGTTTTTAGATGTAGGATTGCAAATTGATAATGGAGCACTTCATATTAACGTAACTCTCAAGGAAATTTGGTCCAGTGCTATTCATGAAAGCATTCTATGAACTGTGCAAAAGTACTTTGCATTGCATCTACTACGCTTTTTGTGTTGTCAGATGGGTGCTAAAGTTTTTTATGTTTGAAAATATGGCGTCAGTGTCGACCAGACAAATCGTTGTGTGTAAACGTACCTTAACTTAGTCAGGGGGTCGTGAAAATACTGCAAATTTGTGAGTATGGTATCATGCAAATATTTTATTAGAATCTATAAGCAATGCTCATAATGTTATTCACAAACCCTCACTGGTGTAAATGGGAAATTGAAAAAGGTGACTCTTCATTGTTGACAGCTTTCGGACATAGCTCAAAGACCACTTGACTGTCTTAGTGAAAAGAGGGTGGTCAAAATGATTTGAAAGGTAAAAGTCTTTATATGTCTTGTACGTTTTTTTGGTTTATTCTTATTTTTGACATGTAAATAATTCTTTATATTGATAATTTTTCTTATTTACTTCAATTAATTTATTGCTCTAATGCTTGTCAATAGTTGGGGCTTATTAATATATTTGATGCGAAATAGGCCCATTTAATGACTTGTAGTGTCTTTATTATGACTAGATACGGAAGATAACACTGTTGAAGATGATTGCGTTGAAGAAAAGAGGTATTTTTTTGTAGAAGATGTGAAGTCGTCGAACAGGTCAATTGTTTTCTTTTCTAAGAAGTCAAAGATCTGCATTCCATCGATCATGGACATCATTGGGATCCATGGACCTTGATTTCGTAGATGTGAGAGTTTTGTATTCCGTGAATCACGATATTCTCGTAGACATCAAACAAATCCATTATGTCCACCCTCTCTTATACGTTGCACTGTCTTCTACTTCATTTGTTTGCTGATTTGAGGCAAAGTCTATTGGCTCGCGATCATAATCATTCGTCAGGTGACACCTATCGACTTTCTCGAAGAAGCAACTTTATCTGTATTGATCGCGGCAGTATTAAAGTGAATGCTTACAACCCTGGGACATTGCACTCAGCTCTAAAATTGACTGTCAGCCAACATCAACACCAACAGTCCTTCTCACGATTCTACTAACCGGGACGATCTTTATCTACCATCATATAATGGTAATATTCATATGATTCTTTAGTTATGGTTGTCAAAATTGTAGTCCGTAAGTAATATTTGTCGATGAACTTTTTTGCTTTTTGAAAAAGGACATTTACTATGGGCTACATGTTGATGTTTTAAAGAAATCAAAAAAATTAACAAATCATGAAATTTCTTTATAGAATAAATAAAACTAGGCTGGTTAATGCTGGAACATCGTGATAAGTTAAAAGTAGTTATATGTAATTTTAATATTTAACTATGCATTTCCTATCTTTTCCACCCATGAATTCTATAAAAGCCGGTTTTTTGGTTATAGGATTCTACATCATATATGTTGGTACAATTTAACAATAAAGCAATACGACAATCTCTTGGGTAAATATGAAGTAAAGATAATTTCTTATATAGGTACTGTCCGTAGTGTGTATGTATGATAAATGTCATTGGTTCATTTTTTTGACTTCAAGTAAATGCAATGTTTCCATACAGGAAAACAAGTCAACAATTGTTGCCCTCTCAGTCTAATATAATTATAAACAAAATAGCTATGGAGCCGGAAACTAGAATAACATTTCTCGAGCTTATTAAGTGACGAAATTCCACTGTTACCAAACTCACTACTTCCCACGGAAGCTTATATTAAGCCTGGTTCACACGAGTAAAATAAGCACGAACGTCCAAACTTTAATTTCTATTGCTTTAGAGGTTTATAAAGACTAAGACATTGGGATTTTCTTTAAATCTTCTGGCAATGTTAATTGGCTAAGTTGTTCTAGTTAATACTGCAGAAAGGAACAAAACATCTGTGTTTTACTTGTTCATTGAAATAAGTTTTCGAAATACGTGATGAGGAAGTGACTCTTCATGAATTCAAATGACAGCGACACAAAAATAAGTATGGAATATTCTAGGAGTTTTTGGCACAGCATTTCTTCAATATTCTGATCATAAGTGGATAAAAACATATTTTGATCAAAGCTCTATTTGCTATCGAAAAAAAGTTTATTCAAAGGGTAACCAATCTCTGAAATTATAAATTGATACCATGAAAGAAGCGTGACCACAATGTAATTTTTAGTGCGTGGGTGCATGAATTATTAGCTATCATTATGATTAATTCCTGCTGAGTAGAAGAGATAAAATGTCAAAAGTTTGATGCTAATTGTATATCATTTTGCTTATTTTCAAGCAAATTAGTCATTTATCTGAACGCACAGAAATCTGAAATCATCTATATTTCGTGTATGATGCAAAGTTATGCTCTTTTGGCAAAATTCAATGGGGATTTTTTGTTGCTCTCTAGAAAGGACCATTGAATGCCGACAGTTATATAAATCTCGACATGAGAATTTTTAATTGCTCTTGTTCAGAATCCAAGCATTTTTTTACAAAATGGTAATATATTTAAACTCCTGGATGTAATTCATGAATCATAGCACACCTTACTGTCTTGGAGAGAAGAAGGCAATCAAAATGGTTTGGAATGCGAAAGTCTTCTTTGGCCTTGTCTGTTTTTTCGGCTATCTCTTATTTTTCACTTGTAAGGAACTATGTATACAAAATACAAATGCCTTATTTACTTCTGTCTACATAAACTTATCAATTCGTTTGATGTTTAATATCATGATCGAATAACTTTTGTGGTAACTTTATATTAATTAGACGCAGTAAATGATAACGATGAAGAGCTTCGTTCTACACGGAGTTTGAGATATCGTGTTCCCCAAAGGAGATTTGGTTACAGAGGTTTGAGATATCCTTCTTCCCGATGGAGATATGGTTACCGACGTTTGAGATATCCTTCTTCCCGACGGAGATATGTTTACCGACGTTTGAGATATCCTTCTTCCCGACGGAGATATGTTTACCGACGTTTGAGATATCTTTCTTCCCGACGGAGATATATTTACCGACGTTTGAGATATCTTTCTTCCCGACGGAGATATGTTTACCGACGTTTGAGATATCCTTCTTCCACATCTACAATTCGTAGGTCTATTTTTCGTCGTCGTAGATCTGCACGTCCACCAACTCAACGTCCACCAACTCAACCTCCACCACGACAGCGTACTCCTTACTTCATCGTATCTTCCGGTTTGAGGACAGGTCCGCTGGGTCGCGTTTGCAATCGTCGTAATGATGCGATTTATAGACTTTCTAAAAGGAACAAATTCATCAGTATTGATAGCAATACTGGAGTAGTGAATTGGATAGGAACTCGTTTGGTAAAGAAATGTATCCTTATTTCAAGCACCGTCATTCAAGTACCCCGATACGGGAGACGTTCGAAATTTCCTTTTAAGGTAATTATATTGCCGATATACGAAGGTGACAGTGAACTCGTAAATTATAAACCAAAAAAATCAAAAAATATCAAGAAATATCAGGTTAGTGCTACTCCAAAAGGATTACATCGATTTTTACTACGATTAGCAAAAATATTTTCAAAATCGGGAGTAAAAGAAGCTGAGGCATCCATCAAATTAGAAGAAGCTCTTTATGAGGCTCGAGAGAATGTTGTAAAAAATACTAAGAAGGCTTTTAGACGAAAACTTAGAAAAGGTAATTGTTCTAATTTATATAGTTTTTTTTATTCACTTATATTTATTAAAGACAAATCAATATGTTCTATCTAATAATTGTTAATTCTTTCCCGATTATCAGTTAGCGGTATAAACGTTCTACTCTTGTTCTTATACTTCCATAGATAGGAAACAAAAAACAAGTTGATTTATTCTATTTTTTTATTTGTTTAGCCTACCTTAAGGGTGTCTTCCTTCCATATAATGTCTTGTTTTCTGAACTCAAGTTAAAAACGCTTCACTATAAATTCGGTTGTACAAACTTAAATGAATTATTACCGCCGAGTAGAAAGCAGTGTATTTCATTTAAATTTCGAACAATTAATGGCACATGCAACAATATTTTGAATCCAAGATTTGGCTCTGCCTCTATCCCATTCCGAAGACTGGTACCTGTCAAATATCATGACGTCCATGGTATAAATGATCCTATTGGCTTTCCAAATCAACCTTTTGCACCTCAACTCCCTTTAGCATTAGAAGTTGCAGAAAAATTTATCATTGGTCAATTAAGACAACCAATTAAACGGAATTTGATTTCTCATGCTGTGATGCAGTTTGGACAATTTCTTGATCATGATATTACATTTACAGCTGAAAGTGAAGATGGTGAAAAATGTTTAGAGGAGAAAGGGTCAGTAAAAACGCAAGATTTGATCATTTGTGTAACTTTTTTCGTTCATCGTTCAAAAGTGATCTCCATTTTAAATCTTATTGCTTCGTGAGAAATAAATTTTTTTGTGGTGAACTGTTTTATAGCCACTTGTCTCACAACAGAATAAATTCTCGATGAATATAAATATTGCTATATCAAGAATCAATACTTAAGCTGTTGCATGCTTTTAGGGGATTTGAGAAAAATGCGACAGCTCCCCCTTGTTTCCCTCTTTTGGATCGAGCAAAAACCAGGTGCATAAATTTCACTCGCTCAAGTTCTGTTTGTCTTGCTAATGAGTTTGGAAGGATAAAAAAACGCGAACAAGTGAACACGCTTACTGCGTTTGTTGATGGTTCACAAGTCTACGGCTCTAATGATGAACTTGCCAAAAGACTAAGAAGTTCTAACGGTAAATACTTTTTAAATGCTTATTTTTATGAAACGCTAGATTTTTTTTATTATTATGTTGAGATCTTCTCTCGATTTATGTTTTGCATGTGTCTTTATTAAAAACGCTATGACAAACGAAACGAAAATTTCTTGGGAGCTTAGATTAATTGTTCAGGTCTGTTATATAAATTCTGATCAAAAGAGACTTAATAATATGTATATGTTTCTTTTCACACAAATAACAATGTAGGTTTTCTTAATGTTACAATTACCAAAACTCATGGTGATCTTCTTCCACTGGCTAATTCTTCTGACCTTGAGCGACTGGAACGTTTTTGTATTGGTTTTGGCGGATGTTTTCTTGCTGGCGATGGTCGAACTAATGAGCATCCGAACTTATTATCTATGCACGCGATATTTGTTCGCGAACACAACAGAATAGTAAAAGAGTTTGGCCATATCAATACACATTGGGATGGAGAAAGAAAGTATCAAGAAGCAAGGAAAATTGTTGGAGCAATTTTACAAAAAATTACATATGAAGATTTTCTTCCTCTGATTTTAGGTCCAAACTCGCTTAAACCATACAATTCTTATCAACCTAATGTTAATCCAGGAATCTTTAATTCTTTTGCTACAGCTGCCTTTAGATTTGGTCACAGCCTTGTAAGACCTACCTTTGATATACTCAACAAAAACTTTGAGCCAATAGCTGATCCTTTGCCTTTAAGATTAGCATTTTTTAATAACACCTTGATAAAAAAACTAGGAATTGAACCATTTCTGCTCGGACTTCTTGCCAATAGCTCAGAGAAATTTGATCGTAAACTTGCTAAGGATCTCTTGGATGAATTATTTCAACGTCCAAACTCTCCTGGATTGAATTTAGCCGCGTTGAACATCCAACGAGGACGGGATCATGGACTTCCTGGATACAACAGCTTTAGAGTCGCTTGTGGCCTTAAAAGTGCTTCAACATTCTATGACACTTGCAATGAAATTAAGAACTTTAGAACGAGATCAATTTTGAAAAAACTGTACAACGATGATCCAGCGAGAGCAGATTTATGGGTATCGTTGCTAGCGGAAGATCCAGTGAGAGATGGTGTTGTTGGACCAACGGCAAAATGTATCATCCAAAAACAAATGGAAGCTCTTAGAGATGGTGATAGATTCTTTTATCTTAACAAATTTGTTTTTTCTTCAAAACAATTGCGAGAAATTACAAAGTCTTCGTTATCTCGAGTTTACTGTGACAACCTTAAGACTATCGTTTCCATTCAACGAAACGCTTTCTTGACTACACAACAACGAATAACGTGCGAACGAATTCCTAAACTTAACCTCAACATGTGGAAAGGTTAGTTTTGTATGATAAGAATCCTAACAGTAAAAGTAATTTAATACACTTATAAAGTTTTGTTTCTAATATACGGTTCTCTTGTTTAGTCGGCTATTTTTTGATAAAATTCTCGGTGCTTTCTGAAAAATTGCATTTATCATGGTTGAATGTTGATGATCTGTTTAAATAAGAAGAGACAAGATACGAAATTTATCAATTTACCTTGCTTAACTTTATAGACAAAGTATTTTTTGTTTAACATGACTTAATAGAAACAACATGCTTTAAAAATTTAGAACCTATTTTTTTCATTTTTGGTAAAAGTTTTTTTAATGAAAATGTTTTTGAAATGATCTCTTGTATCATCACTCACAAACTCAAACTATTTTTTATAGATTCCAAACAAAAACTTGCTGGATAATCTTTATACACGGTGAAGGGAATTTTCATTGAACATATACTTGAGTTAGAATTAGTTTTTGTAATTTGAATATTTAACCATCATAATAAGACAGTTAATTTTTTTGATAAACCGTACTTTTACACTCATATATCCTTATAGCTCACAATAATGATAGTTCTATAGTTTCGTATATTTGTATTTTTGTAAACACAACACAAAACAACTTAGCTACATATTTAGATATTTCTAAGGTATAACAAGAACAACTATAAAAAACTCTCATTAACTATTTAATTACATGCATGTAATTGAAATGTTTCTATTCCAATATCATTGCACAATGAAGCAACATATCTAAATGAAAAAGTCATCCATTTTTTTCTTTGGGTAGCTCTGGCTAGACTGCAGTTTCTGAAAAAGAAAAGATTTTGTCATTGCAATGTATAATAGTTTATTTTAGTTTTTATTTTGTTGTTCAACGCAGGCATCAGGTAAAAGATTTAAAATATTGTCAGAAATAAACTAACTCATTTTCCATTATACTTATGTTTTGTAAAGATAGATTCACCTTTCCACTGATAAAGATTAATTTCGGTAAACTTGAGCAGGCCACTCTACGAGCACCATCACTTATAGCACGGAAAACGTTTTTCTGAATGGAAAGTTTTTTTCCTTTTGTTAAATTGTCACACAATAAGCGACTTAAAGAAGCTTTCTTTATTTCTTGAAGCTGAGAAGGCTTAAAAAAAACCCTGTTTTAAATAGAAGAATCTATCTCCATCTCGAAAACGAATAAACTGTTCTTTTATAAGACACGAAAATGTCGGACCAAGTTGTGATTTTTCTAACGGCGTTTCTGCAACGCCAGCGACGTACAAATCTGTAATTGATGGGTCGTTATTGTAAAGTTTTGCAAGAATTTTTCTGTTTTTTGCTGATATTTCATTACGAGTGTCGTCAAATGTTCTAGCATCTTTTAACTGACAGAATTGTCTGAATACATTGTATCCTGGCAATCCGTGATCTCTTCCTCTCTGAATGTTTAATGCTACTAAATTTAGTCCTGGAATTTCCTTTTGTTCAAATAAATTATCGACAACACCTCTTGCAAACTGACGGTCAACATTTTCTGATCGAAATGCACAAAGACCGAGTAACAAATGATCGATTCCATGGCGTTTTATATAAGTATTATTGAAAAACATTTGACTCAACGGAATTGGGGCTCCAACTTTTTTAAAGTGCTCATCAATAATATGAAACGACGGTCGTATAGTGCTATGACCAAATCTATAAGCAGTTGTAGCAAACGAATTAATGATTCCTGGATTAATCCAAGGTTTATAACCGGTATATTTTGGTAAAGCATTTACACCCAAGAGTTGAGGAAGATATTCTTCATGTGTTATCTTTTGAATAATCCCTCCTACAATTTTTCTTGTTTCTTCGTAGACTGTGTCTCCACTCCATCTTGGATTGATTTGTAGTAACTTCTTGGCTATACGGTTATGTTCTCTCACGAACAATGTATGCATGGCTGCCAAAGCCATTTGTTCACTAGATCTAACATCCCCAGCTAAAAAACATCCACCAGTTTGTATACATAAATGGTTTGGAAACATTAATTCTGATGTATCTTCTGGTAGTAACTCTCCATGAGTAGATTTTTGAACTTTCAACAGACCTCTCTGAGTATTGTGTCATGCAAATATTTTATGAGTATTGTGTCATGCAAATATTTTATTAGAATCTATAAGCAATGCTCATAATGTTATTCACAAACCCTCACTGGTGTAAATGGGAAATTGAAAAAGGGTGACTCTTCATTGTTGACAGCGTTCGGACACAGCTCAAAGACCACTTGACTGTCTAAAAATGATTTGAAAGGTAAAAGTTTTTATATGTCTTGTACGTTTTTTTGGTTTTCTCTTATTTTTGACGTGTAAATAATTCTTTATATTGATAATTTTTCTTATTTCAATTAATTTATTGGTATAATGCTTGTCAATAGTTGGGGCTTGCTAACATATTTGATGCCAAATAGGCCCATTTAATGACTTGTAGTGTCTTTATTATGACGAGATACGGAAGATTACACTGTTGAAGATGATTGCGTTGAAGAAAAGAGGTATTTTTTTGTAGAAGATGTGAAGTCGTCGAACAGGTCAATTGTTTTCTTTTCTAAGAAGTCAAAGATCTGCATTCCATCGATCATGGACATCATTGGGATCCATGGACTTTGATTTCGTAGATGTGAGAGTTTTGTATTCCGTGAATCACGATATTCTCGTAGACGTCAAACAAATCCATTATGTCCACCCTCTCTTATACATTGCACTGTCTTCTACTTCATTTGTTTGCTGATTTGAGGCAAAGTCTATTGGCTCGCGATCATAATCATTCGTCAGGTGACACCTATCGACTTTCTCGAAGAAGCAACTTTATCTGTATTGATCGCGGCAGTATTAAAGTGAATGCTTACAACCCTGGGACATTGCACTCAAGTCTAAAATTGACTGTCAGCCAACATCAACACCAACAGTCCTTCTCAGGATTCTACTAACCTGGACGATCTTCATCTACCAACATACATATAATGGTAATATTCATATGATTCTTTAGTTATGGTTGTCAAAATTGTAGTCTGTAAGTAATATTTGTCGATGAACTTTTTGCTTTTTGAAAAAGGACATTTATTATGGGCTACATGTTGATGTTTTAAAGAAATCAAAAAAATTAACAAATCATGAAATTTCTTTATAGAATAAATAAAACTAGGCTGGTTAATGCTGGAACATCGTGATAAGTTAAAAGTAGTTATATGTAATTTTAATATTTAACTATGCATTTCTATTAGATCATTGTTTCCCTTCGATTACCTTTCCTGCGATTACATCAGCTCAGCATCAAACGATCCATCTTCATCATCATCTCTTGTAAACTCAACCAGTTCACCTTCACCCATACCTTCACCATCACCATCAATAACAACACCAACTTCAACAGCTCCAACACTTGCATGAAAAACCAAGAAAGCATGCAAGAGGAAAAGCTCCATGGATTATGATGAGATGCTTAAGTCCATTGACCAGCAATTGAATCATGATGAAGATGATGCCCATTTTTTCTGTATGGGGATTGCAACCTGATTAAGGAAGCTATCCCACTATCAAATGAGCATTGCCAAGAGAGAAATTGAAGCTGCAGTGTTCAATGCTGAGTATTTTACTCCTAGAGAACCAAGCTACTCTAATTCTTTTTCATCGCAATCAACTTCTCTTCAAGTTTTGCCCCAAACAATGCAACAAAACTTCCTGCCCACCAGCATTGCTCTACCCACAAACAATGATGAACAAAGTGATTATCCTTCAATTAATTTATCTTAAGTATCTGTTGTTAAAGTGATTTTTTAAAATATATTTACAATAATTCATCAATGTGTTAAGACACAAACAAAAAAAGATGGTTTTTAAAGGTTCAAGTTTATTTTGACAAAAATTATTTACTAGGAAAAGTGTTCAGCGTTGATTTATGTAAGCCCATTGCCACTCAACTGAACCATGCTCACTAACAAAATACTCAGTAAAGTGCTGACATACAGAAATTGCTTCAGCTGTTGAATTTCTGCCTGCCAGCCTTACAGCACTTTCCAGCTCTGCATTGGATTGCCTTTGCCAGAATCCATTGCACAGATGCCCATCCGGAGCTATGGAATCTGCAAATCCTGGAGGTGTATAAGATGGATCACCAACAGTTCGTAACATGTTGTGCAAAACACATATTGCTTTAACTAACAATGCTGCCTTTTCTGGTTCAGCAATTATTGTTCTGAACAATAACCGCCATCGCTGAGCAAGGATGCCTAAAATTTATCAATGGAATACACCATAATTTCATTTTTTAAGTAAATTCATTCAATCGTATAAAAATAACTTTGATTTGTGATACCTACCAAATGAGTTTTCAATAACCCTGCATGCACGAGACAATCGATAATTGAAAATCTGTTTAGCATTGCAATCAAGTTGCTTGCCAGGATATGGTCGTAATAAGTTAGGCTTTAGTGGAAATGCTTCATCTCCAACTAAAACAAATGGCATGGGGTTCCCAGTTTCGTGAGGTAGACAGACCGGTGCTGGAAGATTTATCTGTCCTAGAAAAGATGAAAACATGTTAATATTTTATGCAAGCTTGCCAGTGCAAGATTGGTGTGCCAATAAATTAGAATGAATTTCCAATTTTACTAGAACCATTCATCTTGATTTAATAACACAAATCTTAAGTTAGCAAAATGATATTATTTGAAGTTTCTCTCTTATTATTCAAAGAAACATAACGTAAAAGCACAATACTTGGAATGACATACCTAATAAAAAAGCTTTTCCAAATTCGGAAGCTTCAAATGTGCCACCATCACTTTGACTACCAGCTTGACCAATATCTACCAAGGTGAATTTGTAGTTTGCATCACAAACAGCTAAGAGAACTACGCTTTACCTTTGCTTATAGTTGTGAAATTCTGATCCACTATGTTTTGGCTTCTGGATAGATACATGCTTCCCATCAATGCTTCCAATACAATTTGGAACATTCTACCTTTCAAAACTATAGTGTACACAAATTTTATACCCATTTCATATTTTATTGTATATAGCATAGTTTGATTGTAATTAGTTAGATTTTAGGAGGGCCACTGGTTTACCAAATTAACTAAATTAACATTCCACACGTCAAGCACTTACCCTTTGGCAATTTCTTTCCATTCGTCCGGTCCACTTGGTGCCTTCATATACCTTGGTTGAAGTTCACTCCATAATGCTTGACACACATCATAAATGATTGCTGAGACAGTAGATCTCCCTACCTGTAGTGATAGGCAATGGATACGTGGCTTGCACCTTCTGCGAGATAATCCAGTGTGACTGCAAGCTTTAAATCAGGGCTAATAGACTTTCTAAGATGTGTGTCAACTTTAGTGATGTGAGGTCTAATTAAATCCAAAATGTAGTCAAAATTTGTCGTCGTCATTCGCAAGTATTTTATGTGTCTATTTTCATTGTTCGGCTCTCGTAATTCTTTAATGAAGTTATTAAATAGTCCAAGGCGATCACGTCGTTTATTAATTGGATGAATCCAGTATCGACGTTTGCTGTTGCTTGTTTTCAACTTTAAAAGCAGTAACTTTTTCTTAAGAAGAAGTAATCTTTTTCTTTAAAAGATCGCCATTGTTTCTAATCCGTCAAAAATGCCGCTTGCTTATTGGCCAATAATGTTTCGGCTTTGCAAACATGCTTGAAATTTTTCGTCGTGTCTGGCATGCATTTCGTGCACGAATTTTCGTTTCGTTTTCGTTTTCGTCAATATAGACGATAGTGTGGCCCAGGCTTAAGCCTGGTTCACACGAGTAAAATAAGCACGAGCGTCCAAACTTTTATTTCTACTGCTCTAGAGGTTTATTAAGACTTAAGACATTGGGATTTTCTTTAAAACTTCTGGCAATGTTAATTGGCTAAGTTGTTCTAGTTAATACTGCAGAAAGGAACAAAACATCTGTGTTTTACTTGTTCATTGCAATAAGTTTTCGAAATACGTGATGAGGAAGTGAATCTTCATGAATTCAAATGACAGCGACACAAAAATAACTATGGAATATTCTAGGAGTTTTTGGCACAGCATTTCTTCAATATTCTGATCATAAATGGATAAAAACATATTTTGATCAAAGCTCTATTTGCTATCGAAAAAAAGTTTATTCAAAGGGTAAGCAATCTCTGAAACTATAAATTGATACCATGAAACAAACGTGACCACAATGTAATTTTTAGTGCGTGGGTGCATGAATTATTAGCTATCATTATGATTAATTCCTGCTCAGTAGAAGAGATAAAATGTCAAAAGTTTGATGTTAATGGTATATCATTTTGCTTATTTTTAAGCAAATTAGTCATTTATCTGAAATAACGCACAGAAATCTGAAATCATCTATATTTCGTGTATGACGCAAAGTTATGCTCTATTGTCATAATTCAATGGGGTTTTTTTGTTGCTCTCTAGAAACAATCATTGAATGTCGACAGTTATATAAATCTCGACATGAGACTTTTTAATTGCTCTTGTTCAGATTCCAAGCATTTTTTTACAAAATGGTAATATATTTAAACTCCTGGATGTAATTCATGAATCAAAGCACACCTTACTGTCTTGGAGAGAAGAAGGCAATCAAAATGGTTTGGAATGCGAAAGTCTTCTTTGGCCTTGTCTGTTTTTTCGGCTATCTCTTATTTTTCACTCGTAAGTAACTATGTCTATACAATACAAATTCCTTATTTACTTCTGTCTACATAAACTTATCAATTCGTTTGATGTTTAATTTCATGATCGAATAACTTTTGTGGTAACTTTATATTGATTAGACGCAGTAAATGATAGCGATGAAGAACTTCGTTCTACACGGAGTTGGAGATATCCTTCCCGATTTAGAAATCGACAGCGTACTCCTTACTTTATCATATCTTCCGGTTTGAGGACAGGTCCCCTGGGTCGCGTTTGCAATCGTCGTAATGATGCGATTTATAGACTTTATAAAAGGAACAAATTCATCAGTATTGATCGTAATACTGGAGTAGTGAATTGGATAGGAACTCGTTTGGTAAAGAAATGTATCCTTATTTCAAGCACCGTCATTCAAGTACCCCGATACGGGAGACGTTCGAGATTTCCTTTTAAGGTAATTATATTGCCGATATACGGAGGTGACAGAGAACTCGCAAAGTATAAAGCAAAAGAATTAAAAAATACCAAGAATACCAAGAAATATCAGCTTAGTGCTACTCCAAAAAGATTACATCGATTTTTACTACGATTAGTAAGAATGTTTTCAAAAACGGGAGTAGAAGAAGCTGAGGCATCCATCAAATTAGAAGAAGCTCTTTATGAGGCTCGAGAGAATGTTGTAAAAAATACTAAGAAGACTTTTAGACGAAAACTTAGAAAAGGTAATTGTTCTAATTTATATAGTTTTTTTTATTCACTTATATTTATTAAAGACAAATCAATATGTTGTATCTAATAATTGCTAATTCTTTCCCAATTATCAGTTAGCGGTATAAACGTTCTACTCTTGTTCTTATACTTCCATAGATAGGAAACAAAAAACAAGTTGATTTATTCTATTCTTTTATTTGTTTAGCCTACCTTAAGGGTGTCTTCCTTCCATATAATGTCTTGTTTTCTAAATTCAAGTTAAAAACGCTTCACCGTAAAGTCGGTTGTACAAATTTAAATGAATTATTACCGAGTAAAAAGCAGTGTATTTCATTTAAATTTCGAACAATTAATGGAACATGCAACAATATTGTGCGTCGAAGATTTGGCTCTGCCTCTAACCCATTCCGAAGACTGGTACCTGTGAAATATCATGACGTCCATGGTATAAATGATCCTATTGGCTTTCCAAATCAACCTTTTGCACCTCAACTCCCTTTAGCATTAGAAGTTGCAGAAAAATTTATCATTGGTCAATTAAGACAACCAATTAAACGGAATTTGATTTCTCATGCTGTGATGCAGTGGGGACAATTTCTTGATCATGATCTTACATTTACAGCTGAAAGTGAAGATGGTGAAAAATGTTTAGAGGAGAAAGGGTCAGTAAAAACGCAAGATTTGATCATTTGTGTAACATTTTTCGTTCATCGTTCAAAAGTGATCTCCATTTTAAATCTTATTGCTTCGTGATAATTAAATTTTTTTGTGGTGAACTGTTTTATAGCGACTTGTCTCACAACAGAATAAATTCTCGATGAATATAAATATTGCTATATCAAGAATCAATACTTAAGCTGTTGCATGCTTTTAGGGGATTTGAGAAAAATGCGACGGCTCCCCCTTGTTTCCCTCTTTTGGATCGAGCAAAAACCAGGTGCATAAATTTCACTCGCTCAAGTTCTGTTTGTCTTGCTAATAAGTTTGGTAGGATAAAAAAACGCGAACAAGTGAACGAGATTACTGCGTTTGTTGATGGTTCACAAGTCTACGGCTCTGATGATGAACTTGCCAAAAGACTAAGAAGTTCTAACGGTAAATACTTTTTAAATGCTTATTTTTATGAAACGCTAGATTTTTTTCATTATTTTATTGAGATCTTCTCTCGATTTATGTTTTGCATGTGTCTTTATTAAAAACGCTATGACAAACGAAGCGAAAATTTCTTGGGAGCTTAGATTAATTGTTCAGGTCTGTTATATAAATTCTGATCAAAAGAGACTTAATAATATGTATATGTTTCTTTTCACACAAATAACAATGTAGGTTTTCTTAATGTTACAATTACCAAAACTCATGGTGATCTTCTTCCACTGGCTACGTCTTCTGAACTTGAGGGACCGTCAAGTTTTTGTATTGGTTTTGGCGGATGTTTTCTTGCTGGCGATGGTCGAGCTAATGAGCAGCTGAACTTATTATCTATTCACACGATATTTGTTCGCGAACACAACAGAATAGTAAAAGAGTTTGGCCATATCAATAAAAAATGGAATGGAGAAAGAAAGTATCAAGAAGCAAGGAAAATTGTTGGAGCAATTTTACAAAAAATTACATATGAAGATTTTCTTCCTCTGATTTTAGGTCCAAACTCGCTTAAACCATACAAATGTTATCAACCTAATGTTAATCCAGGAATCTTTAATTCTTTTGCTACAGCTGCCTTTAGATTTGGTCACAGCCTTATAAGACCTACCTTTGATATACTCAACAAAAACTTTGAGCCAATAGCTGATCCTTTGCCTTTAAGATTAGCATTTTTTAATAACACCTTGATAAAAAAACTAGGAATTGAACCATTTCTGCTCGGACTTCTTGCCAATAGCTCGGAAAAATTTGATCGTAAACTTGCTAATGATCTCTTGGATGAATTATTTCAACGTCCAAACTCTCCTGGATTGAATTTAGCCGCGTTGAACATCCAACGAGGACGGGATCATGGACTTCCTGGATACAACAGCTTTAGAGTCGCTTGTGGCCTTAAAAGTGCTTCAACATTCTATGACACTCGCAAAGAAATTAAGAATTTTAGAACGAGATCAATTTTAAGAAGACTGTACAACAATGATCCAGCGAGAGCAGATTTATGGGTATCGTTGTTGGCGGAAGATCCAGTGAGAGACGGTGTTGTTGGACCAACGGCAAAATGTATCATCAAAAAACAAATGGAAGCTCTTAGAGATGGTGATAGATTCTTTTATCTTAACAAATTTGTTTTTTCTTCAAAACAATTGCGAGAAATTAAAAAGTCTTCGTTATCTCGAGTTTACTGTGACAACCTTAAGACTATCGTTTCCATTCAACGAAACGCTTTCTTGACTACACAACAACGAATAACGTGCGAACGAATTCCTAAACTTAACCTCAACATGTGGAAAGGTTAGTTTTGTATGATAACAATCCTAACAGTAAAAGTAATTTAATACACTTATAAAGTTTTGTTTCTAAAATAAGGTTTTCATGTTTAGTCGGCTATTTTTTGATAAAATTCTCGGTGCTTTCTGAAAAATTGCATTTATCATGGTTGAATGTTGATGATCTGTTTAAATAATGAAGAAACAAGATACGAAATTTTATCAATTTACCTTGCTTGACTTTATAGACAAATTTATTTTTTTTTGTTTAACATGACTTAATATAAACAACATGCTTTAAAAATTTAGAACCTATTTTTTTCATTTTTGGTAAAAGTTTTTTTAATGAAAATGTTTTTGAAATGATCTCTTGTATCATCACTCACAAACTCAAACCATTTTTTATAGATTCCTAACAAAAACTTGCTGGATAATCTTTACACACGGTGAAGGGAATTTTCCTTGAACATATACTTGAGTTAGAATTAGTTTTTGTAATTTGAATATTTAACCATCATAATAAGATAGTTAATTTTTTTGATAAACCGTACTTTTACACTCATATATCCTTATAGCTCACAATAATAATAGTTCTATAGTTTCGTATATTTGTATTTTTGTAAACACAGCACAAAACAACTTAGCTACATATTTAGATATTTCTAAATTATAGCAAGAAAAACTATAAAAAATTTTCATTAATTACATGCATGTAATTGAAATGTTTCTGTTCCTATATCATTGCACAATGAAGCAACATATCTAAACGAAAAAGTCATCCATTTTTTTCTTTGGGTAGCTCTGGCTAGACTGCAGTTTCTGAAAAAGAAAAGATTTTGTCATTGCCATGTAAAATAGTTTAATTTAGTTTTTATTTTGTTGTTCAACGCAGGCATCAGGTAAAAGATTTAAAACATTGTCAGAAATAAACTAACTCATTTTCCATTATACTTATGTTTTGTAAAGATAGATTCACCTTTCCACTGATAAAGATTAATTTTCGGTAAACTTGAGCAGGCCACTCTACGAGCACCATCACTTATAGCACGGAAAACGTTTTTCTGAATGGAAAGTTTTTTTCCTTTTGTTAAATTGTCACACAATAGGCGACTTAAAGAAGCTTTCTTTATTTCTTGAAGCTGAGAAGGCTTAAAAACACCCTGTTTTAAATAGAAGAATCTATCCCCATCTCGAAGACGAATAAACTGTTCTTTTATAAGACACGAAAATGTCGGACCAAGTTGTGATTTTTCCAACGGCGTTTCTGCAACGCCAGCGACGTACAAATCTGTAATTGATGGGTCGTTATTGTAAAGTTTTGCAAGAATTTTTCTGTTTTTTGCTGATATTTCATTACTAGTGTCGTCAAATGTTCTAGCATCTTTTAACTGACAGAATTGTCTGAATACATTGTATCCTGGCAATCCGTGATCTCTTCCTCTCTGTATGTTTAATGCTACTAAATTTAGTCCTGGAATTTCCTTTCGTTCAAATAAATTATCGACAACACCTCTTGCAAACTGACGGTCAACATTTTCTGATCGAAATGCACAAAGACCGAGTAACAAATGATCGATTCCATGGCGTTTTATATAAGTATTATTGAAAAACATTTGACTCAACGGAATTGGGGCTCCAACTTTTTTAAAGTGCTCATCAATAATATCAAACGACGGTCGTATAGTGCTATGACCAAATCTATAAGCAGCTGTAGCAAACGAATTAATGATTCCTGGATTAATCCAAGGTTTATAACCGGTATATTTTGGTAAAGCATTTACACCCAAGAGTTGAGGAAGATATTCTTTATATGTTATCTTTTGAATAATCCCTCCTACAATTTTTCTTGTTTCTTCGTAGACTGTGTCTCCACTCCATCTTGGATTGATTTGTAGTAACTTCTTGGCTATACGGTTATGTTCTCTCACGAACAATGTATGCATGGCTGCCAAAGCCATTTGTTCACTAGATCTAACATCCCCAGCTAAAAAACATCCACCAGTTTGTATACATAAATGGTTTGGAAACATTAATTCTGATGTATCCTCTGGTAGTAAGTCTCCATGAGTAGATTTTTGAACTTTCAACAGACCTCTGTTTGCTGAAATGTAATATTAATTATTGCCGGTTATTGCTTGGGTTGTGGTTCGTATCATTTCTATAGCTAGTTTACTGATTACTTTTTCTATTTTATTTTGTACTTTTTATAATTTTTATTTTTTTTAACATGTGTCAGCCTCATAAACGAATTCTCATATTTTTTACATGGGTGGTGCTAAAAATTTTAGGGGAGAGTGCATGAGCTGATATGGATCGAAGTGACGTTAAACAAAATAATCATCAAGTAGAGTGGTGGATCGCACTCAGCCTTTTCGCTTCTTATTACATTCCACTCGAATAAGAACGAAGTATAAGATTATTCATTCACGATTGTCAATGTACTATTAAATGATAACCGTACAGAATGAATACAAGAGCCATAAAATTGAAGTTTAAATGAATAAAAATAAATTCTATGTTTCATCAACGTTACTGAATTTCCGTAAAATACGTTTGATTTTTATTTCATAAAAAAACAGTATGTCATGGCCCAATTGTCAAAGTCTGTTGGTGTTTTCTGACAAAAATATTTGTAAAAACATAACACAATATGAGGAACATACGTATCACACAAAACTTTCTCTTTCTTTTTTTTGAAACAATTCCCAGAAAAACTCAGTTCAACTGTTCTACTAATTTCTTTTGAAGTTTTTTTTTGGGTTGAACAATTATTTAGGGGAGTGAAATCTGATATTCGGGGGTATGCTATTAATACCCTCCAAAAAATCTGTCCATGGTTAGTCTAGCGTTTTTGAAAGTATTAGACTGTTGTGAGTTTCATGATTACAATCTTGCATTTCTCGGTAATATTCTTCCTTTCTTGGCAACATTGCGATTTACATTATTTTTATTAGCAATCTTCATTCTCTCAGTGTTACTGTTTATGACAATAGTCTTGGCAAGTTAAACTACGGTGTGAATTTTTTGCCATTTTGTGCATTTTTTGGCTTAAGATATTATACTAAACGGTTGTCTTTCTACAAATTAAGTTTATATCTAAATCCTTTAGTGACAGCATGCTATCATATTTTTGTTGCAATACTTACGTGAAAAATCCCTCAGGATTTTGGCCAACTCAGACGTTGATCCGTAAATGTGAGAAGCGTCAATAAATGCAGTGTTGGCATTCATTTGTTCCCTAGTTCCAAGTTTAATTTTATTGCAAACAGCTGAACTTCTTGTAAAGTGGATGCATCTCGAAGATTTGTGTGACTGTATCGTAAAACATGGTGGCTCAAATTGTTTTGTTTCGTCACCACACCTGAGATGATAAAATTAAGATTTTCAACATTAAATACAGTTGGTTTTAGATGACACGAATACAGATACAGATACTGGACAAATTTTTACCTTTTTTTACGACATTTCTCTGCATCTTCGCTCTCTGGAGCTAAAGTAAAATCATGATCTATAAATTGACCCCACTGCATAGTGAAATGAGATTGATTGCTTGTTTTATGTCTCGATGGATAGTCTTGATTTACAACAAAATCATTTGTGACCATTTGTGGGTTAGGTACATCAGGAGCACAAGGCAATCCGGGTAACCCTAGTGGATCTTTAATACCATCAGGGTCATAGTATTTAGCAGGAACAACTCGTGTGAAAGCAGTTGACGATGAGCCATAATAAGGATATTTTATGTTATTACATGTTCCGTCAATTGAACGATATTTAACATCTGTTCTGCAAAATAATGCATTGATATTTCTTCTGGGACATCGAGAAATAGCAATTATTCTTTTCAAAAAAACTGTCGAGAATAAATGCTTTATTGATGCACTAATTTTCACCGTTGGAAAATATTCTAAAGACATTAAAAAAAATGTTTGGGAAATTCAGATTGTATAAACTATAAAAATGAGAATTAAATATTATATACTGAAATAAATATGACTATGGCAATGGAAAAATTAGTAACATTTATGGAGTTAATAATACAAGTCTGAGTCAATTAGCATAAATATTTTTTTAGAGATTAAACAGGTCTTTTTACTACGAACAAATATGGAATCATGCATAATAGGACAAAAAATATAAAATACCTGAAACCATATTTATCAAAAACCTTGAAAAAGCGGTAAAATTGAGCTTACTTTTAAAGTGAGATTGAAGAGACCACAAAAGTTTTGCTATTACATTGTCTACACGAACTTGAGATGAAGAGACTTTTGTAGAGAATGGACTTAACTTTGGTGAGATCCATCTAACAACACGATATAGATTGTAAGGAGAAGCGTTTCCTGACAACTGATTTACATGTGTAAGTCGTTTTCCGATAGAATTTATAACTCGATCACCGTGCTGTGGACGTAGGGCTATTATACGAACCCATGCATAAGCATTGCATTTTTTACAAAAAGAAAATCGACATCCTGCATTGGAAACTGAAGTTGTTGCTGCCACACGGAATGTCGTCATTTGACTCCGACGTGAAGAATAATAAGAAGAGCGAATAATTTCAATTGATCCATCTCTACGATGAATTTTTATAAATGGTTGAATGGAACAGAGCTTATAGGTTATTGGTTTGCCTGAAATGGAGCTCGCTTTAATTTTGCCAATCTTGCCAAATGTTCGACCATTTACAACGATAAACGAATAAACAATTTGCTGAACCTTCAGATCTGAATAAACAATTCAATAAATCATAATAAATAGCTTTTCAGTAAAACTACAATTAACAATATCAAATGAAATAAAAAATATAATTACTAAAAACAATAATATAAAAAATTATCAACACATGCACTGATTATTATTTTGTGATATGACATCGAAATCAAACCGATAGATTTTAATGCGTGCATGTTACTTAGGGTTACAAGTACGTCAAATCTCGTCTCGATAAATTTGCATTAGCGTTAGTCGTTTTTTAGACCACTGTACTATCAAGAACGTAAATTTGTCGTGCATGGGCATGTGTAGTTATAACAACCTTTTGCCGGTTATGGCCTTCCACTGAGTTTTACATTTTAAAAAATCCTGTAAACAGCTTGCTGTTTTTACAATTACATTTGTACGAAAAGACGTTTGTATCCAAAATGCTTCATGAAACTAGAAACATTATTCAGTATGTGTATGAAGTAAGAAAAGTGAGACAGGTCTTTTAAAATAAGTCACAATTACGTACTCAGTTTGAAAATATTACCGATATTACATGCCATCGATGACTTTGTGATAAATTGGCTAGCAATTATGGCGGGGAAAAGAAGTGTAAAGAACTAAACCACTACAACCAGAATGTGAAATATATTTTACTTTTTGATTTCTTACCTTTTTGACATCTTCTGTAGTGAAGAAAATATTTGTAGAACAAAAAATGTCGTGGTAAGTTTTCTTTTTTATATCTTTTGTAAATCAAATCACTGCTGTCAGACAAAGATTGTACACCAACAACAGCAATAATAAATGTTAAACATGTTAACCTCAGTGAGCTGGTCATTTTTTTCAGAAAAAAGTCCCGACAAATGAATTATTTGGCATCATTGGAAAGCTGCTTTATATCATAAGAATTTGTCTTTTTCTCTTTCACTGTAGCTACTCTTATGTCGTATTATACAATATAATCTTTAAAACTAACATGTGCAGCAAAAATTGTCATAGAAAATAATTATATTGATTTTCAAATTAACAAAGTTGACTTTCATGCAGCATTCAATAAAGTCATAGGATATCCGCTTCTTAAAATTTCATATTTCATTCATTTATCGACACATAATTTATGTCAGGATTGTAGACATATATATTACTCTCACACTTTTAAAGAATATTTTTCACTCAATCCCCAAATTGAAAAGATGGATAGTCACTTGTTCGCTAATTGTTTAAATGTTCCGTGGCTTTTTCGCAGAGAAAGGCTTTTTGATAACGGTATAGCAATATTAAAGGAAATATTTTTAATAATTAAAATTTTTCTCGCGAGCAAAAATCCTTGTTAATAATATTTACAATAAACTCTTTAACACCTGCCAAATCAATCATTGTCATCAAGTAAATGTCTTATTTTAGTTCATAGATTATCAGAAGCAATCGTGTTTCAAACATTGAATTTTACTCGAGAAATCCAAAAAAATCACGGATTCAACTTCTTTAGAACTTATATTTATTTACTACGCTCATTTGCGTTATTTTTACGTTTGATTATGGAAGCCAGATTGTTAGTTTCAGACTAAAGTAAAATTAACTTAAGTCGATAAGTATGCCAATATGACAAAACAAATGTCTTTGAACCGTCTTTGCATGTTTCGTTTATTTGTCTAAGGCTGCCACATTTTTGTTGTCAAGGAACGTGACAATAACGTCCCTTCAGAACTTTATCCAGTACTACCTACTAGCATAAATATAGGAGAAATTATGGGGAGGCAAAGAAGTGCTATGGAGGGAGTTTATTTTAGGTAATCAAATTTTGACTTGCAATTTGTCGGATAACCCTTTAGAGATGAGAATGGCTTCACTCAGACATTATTCTAAATCAATGGTTAGTCTTATCAAGTACAATCTTTTCCTTTCACTGCGTTTTCATTTTTAAATAAAACTATTGTTTTGAAAATTTTGAAAAACAATTTTGTTCTTACTAAAACTGGTGATTGAAATTATGGAATGATCAAAATCGACGCTTACATGACGTTTTTGCAACTTTTCACGTTAAAAGATGGCGACCATGAATGGAAAGAGCTGGCCAAATACTTTCAATGATTATGACCTTCAGGAAGTCATTGGTAAATCTCATGATATTTCTGCATTCTTTCTTTCTTCCTTTTATTTTTCCTTAATGTCTTCTTCTCTAGGATACGGAGCAACAGCTGTAGTTCAGGCGGCATTATGTAAACCACGCAATGAAAGAGTTGCTGTAAAAAGAATAGACCTTGAAAAATGTGGAGCAAGTATCGATGAAATGCAGGTAAATATGTAGTCAGACCTTATATGTGTACTTTTATGGCGTAATTTTGTTGCGAAGGTTTAAACAACATCAACTATGGTGTACAATAATTTCCTTTCTTTTCATAATACCAATGGACACCATTAACAGTTACATTTGTGTGTTGGCGAGACTGGAAGGTTGACAAAAGTAGGCATTTATGCGTGAAAATTTCAAATCTTGGGTGCGCAGACTACATGCTTTTCAATGTAGAGTCTTGGTTGTTATAACAGAATGAATAATTGATAGAAAGTTAACCATTTTTTACTACAATGCAAATATTTTTGTTCAGTTGCTGAAAAAAATGAACTAAGTTAATTTTCTAAAGAAATAAATAATAATATTGGTGAAAAATTTGCACTGTATGAATAAAGATCAGGTTGGCTTTACCATTGGTAATAAGCCAGATTAGAAAGTTTGTATACTGCACACTAATGTTCAATTTTACAAAAATTTTTGAATGCCTGACTTTCGTTTTGGTTGGTTTTTGCGTGCTTGAAATGCAAATTTTGCAATGTATTTTTGTTAAAATATCATACTTTCTCATGCATACTCTAATTAGCAAAAAAATAGCACACCCAAGATCTTAGGTGCGCAATACAAACTTTTCAAGCTCGCTACTATGGAATTTCATTTTTGATACAATATTATTTACTAAATATAATTCGTTTTGTTTTTGTTATATAAAAAATACTGACAGTTTTCTTGGTCTATAAGACTTTAGTTTGTGTTAGAAACATGGAATTTTCATCATTTTTTAAATTTCTAATAAAATTCATACATTTTATAAAGATAAAGCAAAGACTTATCTAGTTTGTCTTCAATATAATCTTGTTTGTTCATCATTTATAAGACATTATAAAGATGGAATGTGACTGTTGTAAAGTAATTGAAACATTTGATGTTTTTAGAAAGAAATTGCTGCAATGTCCCAATGCAACCATGAAAATGTTGTAAATTATTATACATCATTTATTGTTAAACAAGAACTTTGGATAGTAATGCGCTTGTTAGATGGAGGTAAATTTAAAATTAAAAAAAGCCTGTTTATTTTAGAAGTAGTATTTTACAGTACATCATTAAGAACATGACCAGTTGAGTTAGCAATAATCAATACATTTCTCATCAAGTTATATATTTTTTAAGGTATAAAGAATTGTGAATAAAAGAAAAATAACTGAAAAAAACAAATTTATTGAAAGTGATTCGTAACACATTGTTTGAAATACAAATTTGCTAAAATTGTATTTTTACCCCAGACTATATACCACTTTTAAGATTCTTACATTTCCAACTGTTTCAGGGCTAGTTCATAAATTTAGTAGTTTTTTTTCTTGTGTAATGAATATTATTAATGACAGGTCAAATGATTGAAGTTTTTAATATAGTTTTGTAAAATATGTAGGTTCTATGTTAGATGTGATCCGATATCAGATCAAGTTAGGCCGTAATCAGGGAGGTGTGTTGGATGAAACAATAATTGCAACAGTTCTTAAGGAGGTTCTTAAAGGATTGGATTACTTTCATAGCAATGGTCTTATTCATAGGTAATAAGACAGACAAACTTAGATAAAAATCAAAATTTTTTAATTAACATTTGTCTCACTAGAGATGTAAAAGCTGGTAATATTTTGCTTGCGACTGACGGAACTGTTCAAGTTGCAGGTAACATTGAGTTTTTAATAACTTCTAGTTTACCATTTATTAAAAAACTCAATAAAGGCTAGTGAGACACATATCCATCTTTATTGTTTTTTTATGTAATATTATAAAATTGTTATTTGCTATGTGTATTACTTGTCTTTCCATAACTATAGATCTAAACTCTAACCCCTTAACTCTACCAAATCACCAAAGACGGGAGGGGGAATTTTGGTGAATAATGATTTGAGTGAAAAATTTACCACACACTTCTTGTGACATCATGTGTAAAACGTTTGTTCATTACCTAAAGATTTTGGCGTCAGTTCCGCGTTATATTCCTATGGTGACCGTAGTCGACCAGAGAAAAGAACCACATTTGTTGGTACTCCATGTTGGATGGCACCTGAAGTCATGGAACAGGTATGGAAATGGAGATTGCTGAATTGGCAGACATTGTTATTGCACTGCAAATATAATTGTACATGTACGTAACTGCGTAAAAGCACTATTGATAATGTGCATTTAATGAAAACGGCAAGTTTATTTTTTAAATAAACGTGTTTCAACATCTCATGATGCCATCTTCAGTATAATAAAGAATATCATCAATATTTATCATATGCATAATACTCTTTATTATACTAAAAATGGCATCATGAGATGTTGAAACGTGTTTATTTTAAAAAAAGTTGTCGTTTTCATTATGTGCGAATTGTACACGTGACCGTTTACTTTATTTTTTTGTTTGTTTCCCAGTTATGGTGCATACTGACTTATAATCTAAGATAAAGTATTTACTGTATATGATAAAGACACTGCAATGAAAACATCTCAAAATATTTCATTGTCCATTCTCCATCTAGCTCGTGTATATAGGAAGTACAAGCTCCTAGTGCGCATGCCCACAGCCATTTTAGTGATGATATGTATTAATTGTATTTTATAATAGTTTGATTTCTCTCATTCACTGTGATTTAATTGTGAAAAGTTGAAAAGGTGAAGAAAGTAAAGGCTAGGCCTGCATGACGTGGTGAAAAAAATACTGAAAGCCAGAAGACTTGTTCATTTTACTACCACCAGCTCTTTATTCAGCTGCGCTTTCGTTTATATGTTCTATTTTATTGTGAGACGAGTTGAGTAGTTTAATGATGATCGTTCTCCATGCTTATACTTAGTATATAATGCGGAGTTTATCGTACAATCCTACTGAAAACTGCTCAAAAACAACGTGAAACTCAGCGATATAGTTGCTACCAATTTTTTTCATTAAATGGCGTGATTCAGTCTATCGTATTTCTTCCTTTTTTCTTAATTTTCCCAAGAACAATAAGCAAAAATAAAAATTAGATATACATTCTTACATTACAAGGTGAATGCCTACAACAACAAAGCAGATATATGGAGTTTTGGTATTACTGCCATCGAATTAGCAACCGGAACTGCACCATATGCCAAATTTCCCGCCATGAAGGTACTGGATGAATTTAATGTTTTAGTGACGGCATTACCTGCATTTCATGAATAAAATTTTATCCTCAAGGTTTTAATGTTAACTTTGCAAAATGATCCACCTACACTTGAAACAATATCTGAAAACAAAAATGATGACTATAAAAAATATTCTCGACAATTTCGTCGTATGATTAGTTTGTGTCTTAATAAAGATCCTCAGCAAAGGTAGGTATCCTTCCTTATAACTATTTACTTCATATGTGCATGTTTCCGTCGACTGCTGTGATGTTTATATTGTATCGTAAGCATGTTAATCTCTGTACTTTGTAAGTTTGCAAAGTTTGGTTGAGGCTCAGTTGTACAACCTAAACAAGAAGTGAAAAGTTTTTCCTGAAAGTAATAACCGGTGTTTTGATTAAAAGTTGTGTTCATCAAAAAACTTATTTACTGTGCAATGTTTGCTTGTTGCAAGTAAATATGATTCTTCTGATTATTTCCGTGGCATTCAACGAACCGGGTTGAATGTTATTTTTAAGCAGTACGTTTTGCAGATTGTTGTTTCATTCTATATTATTGAATCAGCATTACAAAAGATGATGTTAGCTTTATATGATTTAATGAACTGTATTTGTGTCATCGCTTGTGAAACATAGTTCAGTCTATTTGTAGACCTGACGCTTCTGAACTATTGAAAAATGCTTTTTTTAAACGAGCGAAGGTAAAAAATGTAGAAATTTTTATTTTTTTTATGTTTATATCAGCGATAGACAAGAGTGTTTTGTGATTTTTAGGGTAAAGCTTTTCTAAAGGAAACACTTTTACCACTTGCTCCTCCGCTTGGTGAAAGATCGCAGAAGGTACTGCATTTAAACGTCTCTTTTAACGTATGTTTGATTTTATTTTTTTAAAGAATAAAAGTATTTTCATGTTAAGGTTAAACGCGTTCCAGGCTCTAGTGGTCGTCTTCATAAAAATTCCGATGGCTTATGGGAATGGTCTGACGATGAGAGCTATGGTGGGCCTGGTAACGAGGTTATTTTGACAATTCTTAGCAACATTTACTCCGAAATTGTCATTAGAAAGTTTTTGAATTGCCATTGTCATCTTTAACTGTTTTTTCTTCCAGAATGAAAATAAAATTGATGCACCAAATGATAATAAAGGAGAGCAAACTCCAGGTTAGTTGTCGTCTTAGAAAGTTAAAACAGTATAATATTAGTATCAGTCATAAGATGATTACCGCTAAGGTTGTCGTAACGTCAGTCAACATCAACACCAACAGTCCTTCTCAGGACTATACTAACGTGGATCTACATCTACAAGCAGCAATAATCTGTGGATACAATATTTTAGAGGAAAACACTTCCTCTCTCTTTAAAAAATACAAATTTAATGCTTTGACGCTTTGGCAATTCAGTTATTGTGAAAACTTCAACGTTTAGAGAGTTTTGTTTTTTGTCATTTAAAGAATTTTAATTCTTTGATTCTTTCTTTCTGTCGTTAAACTTTATTTCTTTAGCTAAACATTTTCTTATCTCTTTTAATTTATTTAACGTATCAAAATCAACATATAAAACAGTTGAAGAAAGATTTTCTAGTTGTCTACGTGATAATATCGGAGGTAGAAAACATTTCTAGAACGGGTACTTTAAATGTTGTCATCTGTCTGGCGAGCACAGAGTTGTTTTTCCCAGAAGTCATTAGTTTACAGAAAGCAAATTCTAGTTCGCAACACATTAAATCAAAAATAAACTGAGAAACTTGATTGAAAAATTTTTCAGCAATCTTGATTGCCTGTTCTTTAAAAGCTTCATTTTCAGCGAATAAAAAAAGAATGAGTAAAAATGGCTTATGTACTTGGCTTTTCTTAAATTTCTTTAATTTATTTTCTTATTCAATCAAGTGAACATGCTGAAGGGAACTCTTTTTCAAATGTGAATTTAGTTTATAAGACAGATTCAGGTCTATATTGTTTTTACGTAGTTACTTCGATGACGAGTGATCAAAGCGATCAAGTTACTACACCAGCTACACAAGCCTGTGTTGTTTCTAAACCATCCAATGAAGAAACGAGTTCCTCTGATAAACCAGTCCTCAATCTCACTTTACGCTTGAGGTATTATTTTGTAGTATATGTATATCAGTGCCAGAGAAATGATTAAATCGACTTTACGAACATTTGGAATATATTTGATAGGTAGAAAATTTCATCTTCATGGTTTTTTGGGTCTAGAAAGAGAAGATGCTTTATTTATAAAGCATAATTATCATATAATAATATAAAGTTTTTGCGGGATATATCATCGGAGTGTTTAAAAATTTTCTTGTTTATTTGCTCTAACCACGTCGTCAAAGTATACACCTATGCCACCTCATGACTTTAGTCACTTACAGTTTTAGCCCAAATATCCTTTCATGAAAATACGATTTTCGTCTTATCAAATAAATTTTAAAGGGTTGTTAAAATCGATTTAATTTTCAAAACAAGTTATCTCCATTACCCAAATGAAGGCACTTGCAAATGTAAACAGTACTTACTAATGCTACAGAATAAAATATTTGCAGCATTTACGCAGTAGCTTGTATTTATAAGTAGGCATAGAGTAATTTTACTTGAAACATTTGTTCTATAAAGTGGAAAGACAAAACAAAAATTTAATTGTTTTAGTAAAATCATACTAGTAAAAAATTCATAAAGAAAATGATAGTTATAGTTTTACTTAATTTTTTATGCATTTGTTGGTGTTGTTTATATTACCTAAAAAGCGAACGACTCTCGCATGTTTCTTGTTATTTTACTTGAATTTTTGTTTATTTTGCCTTTTAATATCGTAACGTTGTATTTAGTATAGTAACTTTAGTCTTTTCTAAAATTGTTTTCGGTCCGAAACAATAAAGTTTATCGTTTGTCCATTGAAAAATAGTTAGCGTGTAGCGTAGTCAATCAAATTTAAGCATTTGCAATAGTTTACTAGTACGATTCTATTAATAATTAATAATATATTTTATCAATATAGAGACGAATAAAAGCAGTATAAACTTTATTCTTTTCTGAATTGTTTTCTAAAAACTTATCAGTTGTTTAATTTCTGTTTGCTTTTATAGAAATGCTAAAAATGAGCTGAACGATATTAGATTTGATTTTAAACACGGTGAAGGTAAGTTGATACAGAGATTTCTTCTGTTTGTCAGATATTTTTCCTTATTTTGTAACAAGAAAGATATTTATACAGTATACGTTCACTTGGTATTTTTTAGTCACTATTTTGTTGGTAGCTATGCTTGACAAGTTTTTATTCCATAGTTATTTGCATACTTGCTTAACTTTTCTAAATTAGTCTTTTTCTTAAAAAATAGTAGATGAAAAACATGTTTTCCCTATTTTATTTTTTTTAATAGACACACCGCAGGGCGTTGCTCAGGAACTTGTCAGTGCGGGACTTATTAATGGTGTTGATATGATATTAGGTATCTTAAATTGACAATTAAAACATTCATTATCTCTTGAGGTTTGTCGCATTTATTTTTTCGTGTATTTGTTTAGTGGCAGCAAATCTAGAAAAAGCTCTTGAGAATCCAGCTCTCTACCACCATCCGGAGTTTATGGTCTTTCAACTGGTTTGTTGACAGACTATCATTAATCTTAGTTGTTTTTTTGTTTTCATCGTTCAAAGAAGTTATACTCGTGTACCATGGCTTATATGTTTATCAACATTTTTGCTTTTTTATCGCCAGTGATGTGAGCTGTTAATTACACATGACTTTAATGACTTTAATGAAAAACAATAGGTACTCTCAATAGGTACTCCACATTTGGTTTCATGCATACATTTGCAAGTCAGGGAAGGGCGAATGGTCCCAGACTGGGAAATTTATGCATGAAACCAAATGTTTTTTGGTTTATTCAAAGATACAGACTTCAATAGCTAGTTGACGTCTCACATCACTCGCGATAAAAAAGCAAACATGTTGATAAACGTACAAACTTTTAACATTGACTGATAGAACCATACTAGTACTCGCTCTCTATTTCTGTGATGCGATAGTTGATTTAGGCTTTACCCTCTTAACTATAACCTCGTGGAAATCTCGAGCTCGTAATCTTATTGTTGAATGTATGAAAGTAGCAGTTCACATTAAAACATAACATTTATCAGCAACCATCAATTTTCTAATATCTCTGCATTTTAGAAAACATCCATTCCAGTTGGGATTATGAAAGATGAAAAATCATTAATTGGTTTTGCGCAATTGACGATAAATTAAATACTCGTTTTTTCAATGAATGAGACAAATTGTCTGATTTTAAAAGTACAGTGATCTTTGCTTCCCAAATAACAATCTATAGTTGTGTTGATAAATATCGTTTGATACACATATGGTTTGTCATTTCACTCTCAATCTAAAATATTTAAAGCCATTTGTGTAAACAGCTCACCATGAAATTTATCGATGAGAATTACTGAACATTTTCATACTAATGGTTAAAAACATTCGTAAAATTTATATGTTTCTCAACTCAGCTCTTTTTTTGAATTAGTTTCGTGTACTGCCGCCAGCTACTTTTTCGTAAAATTTTAGTCTAGAAACAGACGGTCCAAGTACAAAAAAACTGACTGTGATTGAAAATTTATGTCTACTTTATGTAAGTAAGAATATTTATGTTATTCTACATGTAATCACCTGTAAACCAGTATTTAAATTTCAAGAATCAGTATGTGTTATGTTGTGATGAAGAACAACGATCCAAATCAATTTCGCTTTGTGGAAGAAAGTAATGAGGACATTAGATTGTTAATGAAAGATATAAAGAAGAGATACAAGATTAGTTTAGACAAAAAAAATAAAGAACAAGAAGGAGAAGCTTTGAGTTATATTGCTTTATTGTACTATAAATTGGGTGAATATGATAAAGCATTGGATTATAATCAACAACATTTATCTCTGTCTGAAACAACCAATAACTTACGTGGCAAACGACGTTCACATTGTAACATTGGCTGCATTTATAAAGTAATGGGAGATTTGCCAATGGCTTTATTTCATTTGAAGAAAGCTTACAATATTAGTAAAGAACAAGACGCAAAGAAAGCTCTAGCAAGAATATGTAATAATATCGCCAATATATACGCTATGTTGATGGACCTGGATAAATGCATTGAATATCAAAATGAACGCCTCAGTTTGTCCACGACTTTAGAAGATTTTCATGGTCAGAGTAAAGCTTGTGTTAATCTCGCTGAAATTCATTTGGTAAACAAAGATTTTGATCAGAGCCTTTACTGTTATGAAAAATTGTTGGAAGTACTTCGCGCTAAATTACGTAAGTTGTTAAACAAATCCATAATTTGTTGCCCACAGTTCAATCGTTCAGTGATCAATAATCGACACACAGTTTATACTGTTGACCAGGCATTAAAATAAGTAAGTTGTTTACACACTTTGTGTCCTTGTAAATGAGAAATGTGTTTTTGTTAGTAGATTTAAGAGTCCTTTAGAAAAGAACTAAGATACATTCTATACTGAACACCAATTTGCTGCGATTTTGTCATTCTATTTTCGAAAAAAAAGCCATTTTCCAATAAAAAATATAAAAATCAGCTCAATTTGATCGTTCACATGGAATGTATAAAAGCAGAAAAATTAGGATAAAATACTTCAAATGAGCTGAAAGTGGTGTGACAAATGGTAAACAATAAGAAATATAATCGAAACAAGTAAAAAGAAATCTAAGATAAAATTGTGTCGCTGTGAAAAGTTCTTGTTTTAATGCCTACTGTTCACGTTAATGCATGAAATATGCTTGTATTGTGTTCATTCAGTAAATTATTTTTGTACTTTCAAGCGACTGATCTTGCCATTTGCCCAAATTGAGCAAATATGTCAGCAACCTATTGCCGTAAAAAGTTTTTTACAAATATTTCGTAAATATTATATATGTACTCATTATTTTTTTTGTTTTTGCTGGACAAACTTATGCTTATTCTGAAAAAATACGCTGTTCGAAGTATGGCTTAGAGAAAGCTGAAAGTATTGAATAAATAATATCAATGACGTATAGTCTTTAAGAAAAAGTAACAATCTATCCTATAGGAATACAAAATAAACTAGCGGATGATTTGTCAGATGAGGATGATGATGGATATATTGATTGGGATTATATTGCCATGGCCCGTACACTAATGTAAGTTGATGAAAATGATACGGTGACCTAAAAAATGACTGTTGTTAACTTGTTATATCACTTATGTTATATTAAAACATTTGAAGCACTGTTTACTAATATGTAGATTATATATATTCACTAGAACGTAGTTTAAGCGATTACGGACAACAACACTACATATCCCATGCATGAAAATATTTTGCTTTCTATTTTTTACTGTCCACCGGCTTTTTGTACATTTCGGTTATCGTGTAATAAAGTAAACTAAAGTTTTTATAGATTCTTTCATCTTTCAAAGATTCAAAGTCAAAAAAATACAATAATAGTTTTCAAATCAAAGATAAGGCACGTTCATAAGGCAACCTGGTAATGAAAGTTAAGTTACTCGTACTTATTGAAATGGTGTTTGCACTGGAGGCTTTTTTATAACTATCCATTTCAGCGAAACTTTATCTCAATATGATCACTACTTTACTCTATACATTAAGCTCCGTTAGTGACCATTGAATTAACTAATAATTATGGGAAAATTTTGTCTGGATCTCATTCTTGTGACATTTGAGAAAGAATTTAATTGTATTACATTGTTTTATAATATGGCAAGCGTCACTTCCGACAAAATGGCGCGCTTTGATTGGCTCAGAAACATTTTTGCCGGTCCATTATTTTCCATTTTCCCGTTATCGACCACGGTCCAAAACGCGTAATTTTACCGTCAAGTGTAAACAAACTTTGTAAAGCAAACAGCAAAACGCAAGAAAAACGAAAGAAAAAACCATTTACGAATGTGAGTCGAAGGAAAAACACATGGAAAACAGTCAACTTCCAGACGATACAATTTGAAACGATTTAACTTTTACTGACGAATAATAAATTTTGTATTCAAATCTTCAGTCTAAATAAGTCTTCTCTCTGTTAGTGCTGATGATGAGGATGGCAAAGAGCATGACGGTAAGATCACAAATACCTGCAACAACAAAGGTAAAACTTTCAAAACTCCTTTTAAGATGATAAGAAAAGGGAAAAAATGAAAGATAAGAAAAGGGTTGGACGTTTACAGGCCATAACTTCTTTATTCAAGTCAGAAAACCATACAAATATAGTTCGTTTCCATCAAAATTTCACTTCAAATATTTGGTATTTTTATCATACGATATTGAAACTCGTGTCATCCAGCAAATATAGCAAGCCAATTGTGATAATATGAACTTATTCTTTTGAGAAAAGTAAGATACTCTTTAAAATAGTGGGTATTTAGAAAATACACGAAAATGTAACGTTAAATTATTTACATTGTACGCTAACAAACCAATACACAAAATGGTAAAATACAAATATATAAGTAAAATAAAATAGACAAATATACGAAATATTTTGTCAACTATATATATAAATAAGCCAACTGCTGAACGACGGTAAAGAAGTTCCGGTTGGGGCGTAGCTTGCCTGCATATGTTTGGTCCCGTTTTCATAGAATTATCATTATTTAGTTCTTTAGGAACGCTGAAAATATTCAATAACAGGAGCAGATTTGTGGGATAGCAATATAATTTAACTTGCAAACTTGCCAGACGAGCAAGGGCGTGGAGTCGGTAGTCCCGCTAAAGTTGTCAAAAGGCCGGGTTTTAGGGCTGGAAAATGACAGAAATTTGGAAAAGCATAATGATGGAAGTCAATAAACTGGACCAATTGATCAAATCGCAAAACTTGCATGTGAATCAGTGATAGTGTGAGGGATGGTAGCGTTCGAAGACTAGAGCAGGCTTTGGCGTGCCTTTCCCCTCATATGAATCTGATTGTGAGTGATTATTTGATAAAACATAAGATGAATGCTGATGTTTATTTATAAAATAATTGCTGTGACATCCTCGTGTTATTCAAAATAAAAAATTTCAAGAGCGCGTCCTAGAAGATCGAGCTAGAAGATAGCAAACATGTGCCATTAATCACGCGAGAGTAGATTCTGTACGACATTAGCGTACTGGTGTCTTGTGTCCAGTTCAGTTGTCTTTCCTGCCCTCCCCCTCCCGCTGCCACTGAGATTAATATAAGTTTCAACTACATCTGCCTCGTTAAAATAGATAAAAAGGAAGCAGGGGGGTTAAGGCTTCCCATTTTTCCTAGGTGGGAGCAGTGCCCCCCATTTCCGTTCAAATACCAAAATTACAAAGAAATGGAATGTTTATTAATTGTCTGCGTTGTTTATAAGACATATGTATGTACAATGCAGTTTATAGTACTCTAAACAATTGTGCAGGAACTTTTGAAATTCTTTTATCTCATTAGTTAATTACATGCACTATTGGGCAACGGGCGTTGCTAAAATTCAAAATGGCGTTTACTTACCAACATCGTACTCATAATTTCTAAAATTTGCCCCTCAGAGACGTAGTGAGCGCGTAAGATGATATGGGTTTTTGTACCAAAACTGCCACAAAATTCCCGTCGTGTACACATCGAAGGCTGATGAATTTGGGCTAACCTACCAACACAACACCAGGTTTATACAGCTCAAGTGATCTCAAAATATTTTTAATATCGCAGCATTTCTTTGCATTAAAGGATTCCTTCGAAAAATAAACATAATTTGCAAGATAGCATTGGTTATTGATAAGCGATTATTGAAAATTGATTGCGAAAAAAATGCGAGCCATTGTTCGAGGTCCAAATGCCAAGTACAACTTTTAATCGATGTCCTAATTCAGTTGCGCAAACTTTCACCCCAGCTGAAACTGGCTTTTTCAGTTTCCGTTGCCCACACTCAGAGATAAAGGCTATTACCCCATAAATGGAAAAGCCTTTCTACATCAAGTTCGAGGTCAGTGGTCCTCTCGAATGGTTTTGAACATTCATTTTTGGACTGGTTGATTAAATGTAAATTGTTTCTAACTCGGTTTCTAATATTTAAAAGAGAACTAATGGTTTGATCAAACTTATTGCAATCCATCAGGAATTTTCCTTTTCTTGTCCATGTGTATGTGTATGTCGGGAATATTGTACAATAAAAATGACTGACTTTGACGTCAAATTTAGAAACGTATAGCAACAGTACGAACTATGAAGATAATGTCTCTACTAACACAAGTACAACTTGTAATCTTATTCTTATGCAAACGTACACATTTTAAGACTGCCAAATAATAAAGGCGTGGTTATTGACAGGAACATTCAATTTACTGGGTGAAAAAATCACTGTACAAACGCAACTCAGGAGAAGCAAAATAACTATAAGTTCATTACAATTGTTCTACAGTTATCATTTTACTATTTATGATTATTAAATATAATCTAAACAAAAGAAAGTTGTCCCCACAAAAAGAAAAACATTTGAAGTGGATAGGCTTGAGTTGATCCTATGTCGTGTTTTTTCATTCGCTCGTGCAGCTGGCGTGTAAATGGAAAGCTTTATTTTTAGGAAATGTGACAATGAAGTAAACAAACAGCCATAAACAATTTCACAAAGACTTTGAAGTCACTACTTTTTCCTTTCGCGATTGATTTGTTTTTCCAAATTTATATGCTTATCAAACGCACGTCGATTGGTCTAGCCGAGTTGTCGGGGCAATACTCATTTCCGGTCACGCGATGTCATTAAATGTACACGCGAGATTGACTGCTTGTGCGGGAATGAATTTCAAAGCATCGAAGCAAGGTGTCCGCCACTGCTTTCAAATTGTAATTTTGTTTGTGTCCCAGTTATCTGGAATGGACGGCACTGGCATTAAAAGAACCTCCTAAAACATCCACATTGATAAAGCGTAATGGAGAGCTGTGGAAACGAAAGTAGACCCTCTGAACTAATTATAGACGAAGACTTCGAAACAGACGAGGATCCTTCCCCATATGATAGCGATGATGAAGAGATAGATGTTGATTATTTTATCAGGAGCTTGCCTCGTCACATTAACGAGTGGAAACTTTATAAAACAGATTCTTGTACGTTGCAAAAAATAGGGGATGGCTTCTTCGGTGAAATATACAAGGTATAGTTGTTGACTGTCGTTTATAATTTATCTTCTGTAAAAGTTGTCGAAACATTTCATCGTTAAATTTAGTAAATTATAGCTTTATGCCGTAAGAAATGGTTCATTTTCATTAACTTAGTTCATGTGGATTGTAAATTTTCAAATAATCGTTATTTTCCCCATTAGTTGAAAAGAAAGGTCTGGCTAAGTTGTATATAGTATAATGACTCTGAAAGTCTGTCGCATGTTACTTAAAAATGAAATGTTTTAGTGAAGACAATATCGTTTGTTTTACAGATTGCGTTATATTAAATTTCCATTTTATCTGTAGGTTACCGATTGTCAATCTGGCAATGTTTTTGTAATGAAAACTATGAAAAAATTAACGAGAATGAAGGTGATGTGTGCAGAAATACGACTGATGGCCCGTCTTAAACATCCTAACATCTTAAGGTTTGTCTACCAACAACATATAAATCGATAAATGATATTGAATCGAGCGATATGTAATTTTCTAACTATTATGCTCGTTAAATTTCACTGTTACTTGTTTGTGCAGATAATGTACCTCTTAAAATTTACTGCTTCATTGGCTTTCCTTGTGTTTCTAGATTTCTTGGTGTTTGTATCGAAGGGAAAAGAATACATTTGCTTACAGAAGTAACAAAAAATTTTTATTATTTTTAAAATTATTAACATCTTACTTGTCGCGCAGTTTTCATATAAGGAATAAAATACTTGACGGGTTTGTTTATGCTTATAGCTGTTGTCTTTCTATAGTATATGGAAGTTGGTAATTTGGAGGAAGTTGTAGCTGACGATAAAGAACCATTACCTTGGAAATTACGAATGAAACTTGCCCACGATATCGCAGAAGGAATGGCTTATTTACACAGCGTCGGAGTCATTCATCGTGATTTAGCATCCAAGGTTTTTATTATAAACATTCTCATTATAAACAACTCAGTATGATCACAAATATACCACAATGTGTTTATTCAACCTAGGACAATGTTTCAATGTAAATGATAATTTGATTTATTTTCTTTTATAGAATATATTAATTTCAAATTGTATGAATGAAGACGGTTATACTGCTGTTATTGCTGATTTTGGTTTAGCTGCTAAGATTCCTTCAAGGTACGTTTAATTTTTCACACTTCAACACTTCAATAACGGAAAAGAATTACATTGTGTTTGAGGTGTTTATTTTGTGTAAGTTTGACCAGTCTTATAACTTGGCTTGACAAGGTTATTTAATTCCTTTATGTGGAGTTCATTTATTCTTACTTTTAGTGCATATTTTCCATAATGTGGTGAAGAATGATAAAACACAAGCATGTTGTTTGTCACACTTTGAAGTGGCTATGCACCTCATTATACTTGCATTAGCATTTTCTAACAATCAATATGACTAATTGCCAAATATAATTTACATATTTTGTCCAAATAGTTATTTTTCTTTGCAAGTGTTTTACAGGGTGTTTAGAAATTAGCTAATAGTTCACTTTACATGTGTGTTTAGTAATGTGCAGATTATACAGTTAGAAGTTATGTTAAATTCTCAGAAGCAGAAAGTTTTTGTGCTTTGTTTAATGATAGGGTATTGAAATTGTCATAATTTCTGAATGCCCTCTTTTTTTGACATATGTTGTATGTAACGCTCTGCTAGCAATCTGTCTTTACATACTAAAGTTCATTGACTAACTTTTTATAGTTTTCCTAGTGTCGGTAATTAAGCTATTTTATGTTGATGTAATTCTCATTTTCCAGGAAAACAAAACTAAGAGTTGTTGGTTCTCCATACTGGATGGCACCAGAAGTTTTAAGAAATGACCAATACAATGAAACTGTAAGACTTATTATCTTGTTATTTTTTTATTTTCATATTATTCACAAACAATATTTTATAAGTAAAATTAAATCATTGCTTGTCCTTGTTGTTATAAATATATAACTTATAGTAGTTAATCGCACCATAATGCAACAATAATTGTAAGATCATCTTTATGCAGGTCGACATATTTTCTTATGGTATCATTTTATGTGAGATTATTGGACGTGTTCATTCTAATCCGGATGAAATACCCAGAACAAATGTAAGTAAAATTAGCAAATGACTTTAGCAACAAACTGTAGTTGTTTGATTTTTTTGTTTTTAGCATTTTGGTTTAGATGTTGACAAGTTTTGTGAGCTGGTTCAGGGATGTCCCTTTGAATTTTTTCGACTTGCTGTTTGCTGTTGTCAGGTTTGTAGTGTATGTAAAATTTAAATTGTAAGTTAAATATGTTCTTCAAATACTTTACCACAGAGTTTATTTATTTTCACCTTATTCTCTAGGTTGACCCGCAATTAAGACCTCCATTTGAACTGACTGCAAAATACCTAGGGTATATTCGACAGTTTGTAATTGTAACAGGTTCCCCTTGTGTTTTAATTCAAGACACCTCACAACGTATGTCTGCCAATATTGAAGACTGGATAGAAGACTCAAAGAAAGGTTCAGATACATCAAGGAAATCACTCCCTGTATTCTATAAAGAATGCATGTTTGAAAACGAAACAGAAGTAAAATGTGAAAACGAAACAGAACTAGACCATAAAAACAACACAGAAATGAAACAAGAAATTGATACAGAACTTTGGTATGAAGAAGATTGTGTTAACGGGAACCACACAACCAATACAACTGTAATTGACGCTGTATCATCGTTTGAAGAAGAAGAAGAAGTTGAGAGATTAGATGATTTGGTCGATAATCGTAATAAAAGATACTCATTTTTCGCACGCTATTTCAGACAACAAGGTAAAACGGAAGATCTTGTCAAAAATACACCAAGTAGACTCGCTGGTTTCTTCAACAAAGTTTTACATGTTCAGAAAAAACATAAATTAAATGGACGTCATAAATCACGATCAAAAACAACTGTTCACGATGGTGTCGTTGGTCGTCCAAAATTAAAATCATTTCGTCAGTTAATGAACAACAAAACAAACACAGATACTCATTCAATTGAAAAAACGCACTCATACGCAAGACGTAGTTTAATACCAAAAAATATTTTTCCTATGGAAATTACTGAACAAAATAATGTCATAATACCACGTGATAAGGTTGAAGGTTCGTTCTTTGATCATGGTAGTGTGCCAGCTCTAAAGAAATCATCACATGAGTCTAAAGTAGTAGTTCGCGAAAATGAGGCTTGTTACAAGAATATAATTTTAGTGGATAGTTATGATGAAATACAAAACAACGAGCAGAATTCCCTCGCTTCATTTGAATGCAATGATTCACCATCAGACAACTTTGATGTTGATGAAACATATTTTAACACATGGTCCAAATCGAATTTAAACAAGTCCCGTCAATATCCAGCAAACTCACAACATCAATTACATTCAATTCCTCGATGTTTTTCTGAGTCTGACGTCGAAGTTTTGCGTGTGAAAGTCTCGAGTAACTGCTGGACAATGAGCCCACGACAATCTCAACATAAAAAGAAAGGAAAGAACTGGAATATTTTCAATTACATTCAACATAAATGGAAAGGATAAAGATGGTAAGGTTTGTTATTATTTTATATAGTTAAAATGTTACTGTTAAAACGTTTTGTTATCATGTTAACTTCTAATACTGCTGCAATATTTGTAATGTACAGCATTGTAGGTACGTACAGTCAATTTTTTACCTCAGATTTATCCTTGTTGTGACATTTGATTCAATTTAACACCAAGCAATAGACAATTAGTAAACCACACAAAATCTATCGCTTTCACTGAGTTTCACTCGTGATTGTGGGCGCTGACTGTTTCTTTCATTTTATTGCGGTGTTTTCTGTTTTTTTCTCTCACTATAATGTCATCTGCTCCAGTTATTGAACGTTTTCAAAAGCCATTTTCTAACATATTTACATATGCCGTATTTGTACGTATTCTTGATTATTTTATCTTGTAACAACATTGCTTTATCAACCGAATTGCGATATCTTTCATTAAATTGTTGAACATGTTGAATAACTGAAGCACGAAACATTAATGACGGAAACAGCAAAAAAGACGTATACGACAACAATCATGTGTGAAACTTTGTGAAAGCGATAGCACTTATGTGCTTTTCGTAATTATTGTTTGATGTTTTATTATAAAACACTTGTTCGTCTTTGGCAGTCTTGCAAAATGCTTGAATTAAATGGTTAATTTATAATGCCTATACCATTTAATACCTTTAACATGCTTTTCATCTTACTTGTTCGTTTTCAACTGCCTGACTGAAAAGTGCATGAGATAGAATTAAGCTTATTACGTAACCTTTTATTAATTTTCGTATTCAGTTGTCAAAAACAAGCTGCAATAACTCTCCAGGTACAGTAATTTTGCTGCCATTCAAAATAAAACATAAAATAAATATACAGTAGAACCTGTATTAAGCAGCATCGTATTAAGCGGTCACCCTGTGTTAAGCGGTCATATAGCAAAGTCCCGAAAATTTCATGGTGTAAATACTATTAAAGTGACCTTTATTAAACGGTCACCTCAATTAAGTGGACGCGGTCACCTTTTCCAATGTCCCAATCTTAATTTTTCATTGTTTTGAGACTGTATTAAACAGTCACAAGAAATCCCCAAAGGTAATGGCTTAATACAGGTTCCACTCTATTAACATAAATTGAAAACTTTTTACCCAACGAGAGTGTAATATTTTGGTGCTGGAACCTTGACCATTTTCTTCATTTAATGAGTTCCATAACGTCGGGATTCTCAATGATGTATATTGATTTAACAAAATTGTCGCAGTTCCATATTTACAATCAGTCATAATCATCACGATATTTTTATCCAATTTTTATTCTTTATAGCTAACAGGAAGTTTTTTTAATCTTTAGATTTATGCTGGAGTGAGTCACTTTGTTGTCCTAAAATCGTTTCACGATGTCTTTGAGTGTCAAAAAAGTTGGATTTATTCCTTATAATTAGGTAAATCGATTATTATTGAATTTTCATTAGAGCGCTTTTGAGTTTCAGTTGCTGCTTTTGGTGTGTTCATCTACCAAAGCTGTAATTTATCATTCTCAAATTTTTTATTTGACCTTAAACATTAAATGAAAGTTATCTTCATTGGCATTGCGGTGTAACGGAGAAAAAACATGCTGAATTATTAGAATATTTGAAAGTGTTAAACTGATCCTGTGCTGTATGAATTTTTTGTTCTAGTCTATGAAATAACTAATGTACAGATCACCAACCAAAGTTACTCAAATTTAGATGACATTATGCAATATAATGTCAATTGTTAACGATGTTATTTTTATACGTTAACTAAGAAAATAATCAGCATCAAGCTTCATTATTTTGGCGTCATTTAATAAATTTGGCCGATACGACGTCAGGATTATTTTAATTAACATTATCATCGTGAACGGACTGAACACAAAGTTGTGTGGAACTTCAAACTCCTTATAAATCTTTGCGTTGAGATAAACCTGATTCAAATGCATTCACTAACATCGCCTGTTTTTTGAATTTATAAACGAGAGATTTGCTGATCGTTTTCAGTAGCGATTATGTTTTTCTCTCGATGTTAAATGTGTCGTGTTAAGTCGCTTTTAGTTACTTATCTTTTCAATACGAGAAATATATTTTACTCGTTGAACATTTCCATCACCATAAGTATAATATTTTTTTATTTTTATTATGAAGCATTTCGATCACTTTAAAATGGCTGATATGTGTCTTGTTTGTTTTTGAAATTGGATTGTACTGTGTATAGAAAAGTTCACTCTCACTATGGTAACTATAGGTACTCTGTATAGAAAAGTTCACTCTCACTATGGTAACTATAGGTACTCTGCATAGAAAAGTTCATTCTCACTATGGTAACTATAGGTACTCTGTATAGAAAAGTTCACTCTCACTATGGTAACTATAGGTACTCTGTATAGAAAAGTTCACTCTCACTATGGTAACTATAGGTACTCTGTATAGAAAAGTTCACTCTCACTATGGTAGCTATAGGTACTCTGTATAGAAAAGTTCACTCTCACTATGGTAACTATAGCAAGTGCATCAATATGCTCAAAAACACAACTTTCGTTGTACATCTCTCAAACTAATAATTTCTTTCAAAAGAAAGTAATCAATGTGGCCCCAAGCCATAAGCGTGCTCAATGAGCAGAAATTTACGTTTTGTTAACGATGACTTCATCAATAATTATCAAATCCCCAAAAGTTTCAACGTTAAAAAAATTCTAAGTACCATTAGTTAGACTAGTATGGGATGTGTAAAAAAGTATATTACACCGTCTAAACGAATGGTTTTTACAATGACGCTGACTCAGCTTTTTAAGGTTTCACCTTGTTCATTTTTTTTGGAAACCGTAAACCTCAACGGCAAGCGAGAAGTCGAGGTTTGCCGTTTGTCGTAAACGCCAAACTAAAACTTTCAAATAAGCAGAAATTTACGTTTTATTCAGAATGACGTCATCAATAGATATTAAAACCAAAAAGTTTGCAAATTTAAAAAATTCTCGCTATGAGATAAGTAAAAAAATATATTGCAGCGTTTACTTTCTATGACTCGTTTATGACTCGTAAGTTATCAGATTGGTAGACCTGCCAACTTGCCCGGTTTTATCGGCTGTCACCTAAATCTTAAAACAAGTTTTTAGGTCACCATATTTGCAATCGCTTTCACTCGTTTTAAATTTTTGCTAAAGCATGTATTTAGTAAAGTAATTTTAAACGAATCAAGTCTGAGCGAGTGTTTGTTTAAAATTGTATTCAACGACATATTGACGAACAGAAGAACTCGGTGGAAGAGAATTGTCTTAAAAACATCAAACAAAAAAAAACGCTAGTGAATTTCTTGTTCGTAAAAAGTAAGTTCGTGGAAAATTTGAATGCATAACATTTAAAGTGGTTAATATTTATTGCAATTAATTATTCAGTGCGATATAATTAGTTGAAAATTATTTCACTTACTACATGTCGTTAAATAAAGGTAAAAATGTTCAAAAAATCTGGTGTTCTAAGGATTTGTTTTAAGATTTAGGTGACAGCTGATAAAATCAAGTAAGTCGTCAGGTCTGCCTGTGATACAAGAGAAGACCATTGAATCCTGAGTCAGCATCATTGTAAAAAAATCGTTGATACTTCGTAAACAAGACACAGAAAGTAAACGCTATAACAAACTTGCTTACTCATCTCATACCAGTCTATCCAATGGTACTGAGAATTTTTTAAATTTGCAAACTTTTTGGTTTTATTAACTATTGATGACGTCATCCTGAATAAAACGTAAATTTCTGCTTATTTGAAAGTTCTAGTTTGGCGTTTACGGCGACATACGGAAAACCTCGACTACCCGCTTGCCGTTGAAGTTTACAGTTTTACAAAAAATTTAAATTTAGTTTGCATATTTTGTCAGTGGCGTTTTGCATTTGTATTTTACAATTCGCATTGCCCTGAGCTAAATTTCATGTTTTGTTAAAGTTTTGTTGATGAAAAAGGAGTATTCATGTTTTGTTAAAGTTTTGTTGACGAAAAAGGAGTATTCATGTTGTATACTCACGTAAAAAAGTATAATATTAAGCCACAAACGTCACTTGGTTGTATAAAAAGTACTAAAAAGCTTGCCGTATGTCACCTACCGCAAGAAGCAAGAAGGGCCTCTTGCCTGCCGTTAAAACCTGACCCGCAAACTGCAACGTATACCGCAAACGCGACTTTTTGCGGTTTGTCTTTTGCCGTCAACGCCAAACTAAAACTCTCTAATGTGCACACTTATCGCTTGTGGCCACATTGATTACTTGCTTTTGCATTATTCTCTTTAACACTATAAAAGAAATTGTTACTTGTGCGAGGTGTGCAGCGAAAATCATTTTTTCAAGTATACTTTTACTGTCTGATCCACGGACTTCTACGATCTGAACACACTTTGCTTTCTCTTTTGACAATTTACATCGTTTTTAAATCGTTTAAAAAATTTAAATTTCATTTTGTGAACAAATACATTGCGAGAAAACAACACTTTTAGAACATGGTCAACATATGGTAAAGTGCTGCCCGTTGCTCAAGCCAATCAGATTGCAGGAAATTAAAAATACTCTGTAGTCATTGAATTGAATATAACCATAGGCGGCCCAGAAACTCGCCCCTCAAAATTACAGAACGTTAACACAATATACAAAACCCTAAATATATCATAAATGGCAAATAATGAAAAACAAATACAGTGCCTTAATAATGAATGTTACTAGTTAGTATTCAGCTTTTACACTCTCCTTGTCATTCGTCATATTTTTGAATGCTCGAAGGCATCGCTGATTGGCTGAATTTATTTTCGCATTAAATCAATTTGGCTATGATAGTTTTCAAATAAACTTAGCCCAATTGTGATGTATTCATCAAAACAATCATAGCGGTCCAGTTATATTCATTTCCATAGCTAATAGTATCACATGTTAGTGCAAAGTAGTATAGTTCTCTATATTATAGCAATGCTATATAGCTACTAACTCAACTGTGCATTGTGTTAAATAGAGTGTAGGGAGTAAAAGTAGGAAGTTAGGAAAATGTCAATAAATCGATCAGAGTGCATGGTTTGCTAAAAACGTTTGGTATAAATTTGTAGTTGTTTTTCCAATGGTTCATTAGGCAGTAAAATTTTCGCAAACAATAACCATTTACAATAAAAAGTTTTGTTACCCGAGAAGCTATCTTTACGTTGAGTCGGCTTCCAAAACGTTCCTCAATTCGTGTTTTTTGTTTGTTAATCCTTTGTTTATCGGCAAATTAATTGACGTTTTCCCAATCGTCAACATTTTTATACATATTTAGCAAGTTCTATAGTAATATATTATAAATCAACTGCATTTTTTTTTTACCATCGGTTTAATTACAACGGTCTTAAAAATACGTTGAAGTATGAACACTTAAGAAAAGGCGGCTGCTTTATTTGATTAACAGAAGAATATATCATCTTCATCATTCTTGAGCTTCAGCCACTACAACAAAAAAGCAAAAAAAATTACTTAGCTATTTAGCGTAACATAACCTGGAATATGTATTTTTTGTTTAGAATATATGGTAAAAGTAAACATTGACCAATGACATAACATCACCTAAATACTTCGTAATTACCTTCAGGAATATTAATTTTATTCAATGACAAAACGCTCGTCTGAATTGGAGTAAGATTGGTGTACAAGTCATCTGGATTTTTCTTAACAAAAAAAAATCATAAGAAATATGATAAAAGTTATGTCTATAACTAATCAAAATTCTTACCAGTAATTCTTCCTGAAATGTCTCCCCCAGAGATTCCTTTATTTTTTTATTTACAAATGAAAACGATTGCATAAAAAACTAGAAAAAATATGATTAATTATCGATATCAAATTATCATCGCGACACTTTGAGAAGATATAGATGTAAAAATTATGTCACTACGTATAAAAAATCCGCTTCTTGCTTGGCAAATACCTGACAATAATATTGCACACCCCTTTGGTGACAAGTTTTTAATTTACGTTAAAATATTATTCTTATGTTGTATTTTGAATGGCAGCAAAATTACTATACCTGGAGAGTTATCGCAGCTTGTTTTTGAGACTCCGAATTCTTGTTATTACCAAGTGCAACCAGGAGACTATGTATCACACGAAACTAAAACAAATAAGTTATAGATCTGGAAAACTCGAATTAAATTAATGCTTAAATTAATGAATGACAGCTTTGAACTGTATGATCACAACAAATTTGTTTGTTTATCGTTTACAAGATCCCTAAATCTAGTTCCTAATTCTTGGGCAATCCTCAAAACATTCTCATGAGTAAGTTTTTGCATAAAAATAAATGCAATTAATGTGATTAAGAACAATGATTACATATTATTGATAAACCAGACAAACCTGAATAAACGTTTCGGCCACATCAAGTGATTTTTGAGCCAGTACCCTTAGATAAATTTACAAAAAAGATGTCGGATTTGGGCTAACTAAATATGTTTGCTGCGATTGTCTATGGAAAAGTTTTAAAAACAGTGGAGAAAAATATTTCCATTTCAAACAACTGAAAAATATATTCTTCTATATAGGGACAAGTCACACTTGTAAATTTTATCTTAAGCCGAACTTCTTCCGCTTCATGGATTTAAAAGTTGTGTTTTTTTCTGCTAACTCAACTTTCTACACGTCAAAGCTTCATTTGATATTTAGTGTTGCTGACCTTATCATTTTACAGGCTGCTGCTTGTTGAACATAAACAAGCACTGATAGTCCAGTCTCTGACAGAAAAAGATCTAAATAAATAATATTATAATTGTTACAATAAATTTTTATTTTTCAACGCCTAAATTTCATTTTTATTGCGATTCATCGACAATTAGTAAGAAAACATGGAAAGTACGAGCTAAAAATCATCAAGCAAATTTTTACCTTACCATTGTGGATTTCATCAACGTGGACGTCTTTCATACAAGGTTTGAGTAAAGATATTAATCCTTTAATCAAAGGTAACTGAACATCATAATTTATAAGATCTTTAATAAGTTCTGACGCTTCATATTGCACTTCCAAATGAAAGGAGCGTAATAACATTAACACAGAGTCAACAATAGTTGGAGCGGTTGTTTTAACCATAGGCTAAACAATAAATTAAAATGTTAACTTTAACAAGTGAAACATTTTAATAAAATGATAGAGTTCAACCTAACAAAAAATTCAATTAAATTTTTATTTACGTTTTGTTAAGTAGAAAACATATAACTACAACTATATTTTTAACATGATATCAAGAGTAAAGTGCAATGTATTCTTGTACATACTTGAACTATTCTTAATATTTCTGCCGCTATTTGTTGAGCTTTAGGTGATGCAACGCGTAGTAAAGATATTAATGCTTTGTACAGTTGACCTTGAAACTTAGGATTCCCCTGAAATATATAAATTGTTTAAGAGTTGTTTAACTTGGTCAACACAGTCCAATGTTAACCTACAGAGTCAATGAGTTTTTTACTGTCATCAACAGATTTCAATGCTGACCAACAGAGTTAATGAGTGATTTAATGTACTCAACAGATGTCTACCAAGACGAACAGAGTCAATGAGTAATTTAATGTGATAACAGATTTCAATGCTGACCAACAGAGTTAATGAGTTAATTCATTTGATCAACAGATTTCAATGCTGACCATCATGGCCTACTGAGTGAATGAGTTACGTATTTACTATAATATCTACAGTCATTTCTTCTGCCTTTAAAGTATGTCACCAACCGTGGCTAGTTCTTGTATCAATAATTTAGCAGAGTCTTGAGTTTTTTCTGAAGTGGACTTTGCAAGACATTCTGCCACAGCCTGGATACCTATATCGTTTACACAGCACATAAAATTACAGGAAAAAGACTTGATAGAGGTAAAGTGTCATAATAAGAACAGTCATTAGCTTTATTTCAACAGTGTATGAATTGGTTGTCCTTAAAGTGGCCTTGAAAAATCACACAAAACTCTGATATGTCAAGCAAGATATTTATATAGTTGCTAAGTGAGGAAATTTCAATACAGAAGAAATCTCTAATAACAAGAAACTTACATTAGTATGTTTAAAAGCACAATATAGAACATTAACAAAAACATATTTGCACATCTCCAACATCTTGAAAATGTAGGAAAATTCTTTACTCAATAAAATTACCATAACTTTCACAAATTAATTCCTTAAAACGTCTTCCATCATCAGCAATATTTAAGAGAAGTTGCAAAGATTCAAATTTGTCTTCCTGTAAATGCATGATAATTATTCATGGCTATTAAAGTCCACATATCATTGGAAATGAATAACATTGCTAGCATTTGTTTCTTTTTATGTTGAATAAATAATACCTCTGTTGCTTGTTTTAAACCAAGGATTTCTAGTACTGTCAACACGCCTCCAATTTCCAAAAATTCAGTCAGAAATTTATGTCTATAGAATGACAAAGCATAAATTACTAGAGCGGCAATTTCATCACAGAAACAAAACCTTTAGAGTTTCCTTGAGGTAAGTGCAAATTTTAAGTTGCAGCATGACCAACCCACTTGAAGCCCCAACAAAGATTCTGATAGCTTTAAGCTGTAAACTGACATGTTTTTCAACCATGTATCTTTACATTGACATCAAGAATTCATAAACCTGATAACAATAACGCTAATCTAAATTTTATCAAGCTTTTCCACGTGAAACCAAAGTATAAATAAAGAAAGTCTGTTTCTCAGAATAAATATGCATTGTAGAATCTAATGAAGATCAAATCTACACCGACACATATTAAAAAGATACGTCATTCTCAACCAAGCAGTAAGTCTTGTAAGAAATAAACTAGCAGATTGAGCAAATTCACGGTCGAGTTCAGGACCAGTTTTATTTTCATTTTTACGAATAAAATCTTCCAGTATTGACATTCTTGTTTGCTTGTTGCCACCATCCCACTTCATAAGCAATTTACGAACTGCTGCAACATCTTTTTTTCCAGTTGGCATTCTTTACATACAATAAAATGCGTTTAAGTTTCGTGCTTCAGTTCTCATATTAAACATATATTTTAAAACATATATATCTTTATTGTAGCCAATAAATTGATAAGGAAATACGAACTTTTTTTAATTTAGCGTCGCAGCGTCTATCACCATAACGACAGTCGTACGCAACACTGACCCGTTAATGTAGTGGAATAAACTGGAATATAAAACAGCATTGCAAATTGTAAACATTGGTTATGTTTTTTCAAAAATTATTTTATCACGACATCTCGTGATTTATGAAGGCAGTTGGAATTCGTTCCCGAAATACTTTGGACTGAGATAGGAAGTGTGCATAGGCAATTAAGAGTTAGGATGTAAGTCAGGAAGGAGTGCAACTGTGAACTGTCAACTAACTGATGCTATTTTGGGGTTAAGAATGCTTTTAGAAAAGTGGAAATTTGTGATTGGTTGGAGTTTTACAAAGATATGTCAGAGTAATGCAATGGGTCAAGAATGCAATAAACAACAGGTAGATGTGAAACTATGATCCCAGAAGAACCGAGTGAAGTATTTAGCTGTAGGTAGGACTGCACCAAGGCTCCGTGCCTAGTCCTTTCTCATTTGAAAAAGATTTTGTTAAAGAGGTTGCCGACTTCTAGTGCTTGAGTTCAATGAGAGCGGTGTTTGCGGAAAAAGTGATAACAAAGTTATTGGGGTGCTGTATGATGAGAAACTAAATTAAAGTGAAATTTATTAAAATGTTGCTAGACAGGCAATTGCGTATAAATATTGTGGCAGAGACAACTAAACAAGTGGAAAGGCAGAAGTAGCAGACTTGAAAGTGGTCAAGTTGGCACTTCGTGGTTGTAGTGGTTTCTCTTCACTGAAAATGATATTTCACTGAAATGACATTTTCATTTTCACACACTTTCACACCAAAGACTGTGTCTATGCATTTTCACACACTTTTACGCCAAATACTATAGTTTTTGTGTTTTCACACACTTTCATGCAAAAAATTATAGTCTTTGCATTTTCACACACATTCACACCAATAACCATAGTCTTTCCATTTTCACACATTGTAACACCAAAGACTATACTCTTCGTATTTTCACACGCTATCACAACAAAGACTATACCCTTTGCATTTTCACACACTTTCACACCAAAGACTGTGTCTTTGCATTTTCACACACTTTTACGCCAAATACTATAGTTTTTGTGTTTTCACACACTTTCATGCAAAAGATTATAGTCTGCATTTTCAAACACATTCACACCAATAACTATAGTCTTTGCATTTTCACACATTGTAACACCAAAGACTATACTCTTCGTATTTTCACACGCTATCACAACAAAGACTATAGTCTGCATTTTCACACACTTTCACACCAAAGAGTATAGTCTTTGCATTTTTACACACTTTCACACCAAAGACTATAGTTCATGCATTTTGACACATTTTCATGCCAAAGAATATAGTTCATGCATTTTTACACATTTTCATGCCAAAGACTATAGTTCATGATTTTCACGCGTTTTCATGCCAAAGACTATAGATCATGCATTTTTACACATTTTCATGCCAAAGACTATAGATCATGGATTTTGACACATTTTCATGCCAAAGACTATAGTTCATGCATTTTTAAACATTTTCATGCCAAAGACTATAGTTCATGCATTTTTACACATTTTCATGCCAAAGACTATAGTTCATGATTTTCACGCATTTTCATGCCAAAACTATAGTTCATGAATTTCACGCATTTTCATGCCAAAGACTATAGTTCATGCATTTTTACACAATTTTATGCCAAAGACTATAGTTCCTGCATTTTTACACATTTTCATGCCAAAGACTATAGTTCATGGATTTTGACACATTTTCATGCCAAAGACTATAGTTCATGCATTTTACAAATTTTCATGCCAAAGACTATAGTTCATGCTTTTCACTCGTTTTCATGCCAAAGACTATAGTTGATGCATTTTGACACATTTTCATGCCAAAGACTATAGTTGATGCATTTTGACACATTTTCATGCCAAAGACTATAGTTCATGCATTTTGACACATTTTCATGCCAAAGACTATAGTTGATGCATTTTGACACATTTTCATGCCAAAGACTATAGTTCATGGATTTTGACAAATTTTCATGCCAAAGTCTATAGTTCATGCATTTTTACACATTTTCATGCCAAAGACTATAGTTCATGGATTTTGACACATTTTCATGCCAAAGACTATAGTTCATGGATTTTGACACATTTTCATGCCAAAGACTACAGTTCATGCATTTTCACACATTTCTATGCCAAAGACTATAGTTCATGGATTTTGACACATTTTAATGCCAAAGTCTATAGTTCATGCATTTTTACACATTTTCATGCCAAAGACTATAGTTCATGGATTTTGACAAATTTTCATGCCAAAGAATATAGTTCATGGATTTTGACACATTTTCATGCCAAAGACATATTTTTACATTTTTGATGCATTTTTACACATTTTCATGCCAAAGTCTATAGTTCATGCATTTTTACACATTTTTATGCCAAAGACTATAGTTCATGCATTTTTACACATTTTCATAACAAAGACTATAGTTCATGATTTTAACTCATTTCCATGCCAAAAATATAGTTCATGCATTTTTACACATTTTCATGCCAAATATTATAGTTCATGATTTTCACGCATTTTCATGCCAAAGACTATAGTTCATGCATTTTGACACATTTTCATGCCAAAGACTATAGTTCATGATTTCCACGCATTTCCATGTCAAAACTATAGTTCATGGATTTTTACACATTTTCATGCCAAATACTATAGTTCATGATTTTCACGTATTTTTTTTGCAAAGACTATAGTTCATGCATTTTTACACATTTTTATGCCGAAGACTATAGTTCATGCATTTTTACACATTTTCATGCCAAAGACTATAGTTCATGGATTTTGACACATTTTCTTACCAAAGACTATAGTTCATGGATTTTGACACATTTTCATGCCAAAGACTATAGTTCATGATTTTCACGCATTTTCATGCCAAAGACTATAGTTCATGCATTTTTACACATTTTTATGCCAAAGACTATAATTCATGCATTTTTCCACATTTTCATCCCAAAGACTATTGTTCATGATTTTCACGCATTTCCATGCCAAAACTATAGTTCATGCATTTTCACGCATTTTCATGCCAAAGACTATAGTTCATGGATTTTGACACATTTTCATGCCAAAGACTATAGTTCATGCATTTTCACACATTTCTATGCCAAAGACTATAGTTCATGGATTTTGACACATTTTCATGCCAAAGACTATAGTTCATGCATTTTTACACATTTTCATGCCAAAGACTATAGTTCATGCATTTTACACATTTTCATGCCAAAGACTATAGTTCATGCATTTTTACACATTTTCATGCCAAAGACTATAGTTCATGGATTTTGACACATTTTCATGCCAAAGACTATAGTTCATGATTTTCAAGCATTTTCATGCCAAAGACTATAGTTCATGGATTTTGACACATTTTCATGCCAAAGACTATAGTTCATGATTTTCACGCATTTTCATGCCAAAGACTATAGTTCATGCATTTTTACACATTTTTATGCCAAAGACTATAGTTCATGCATTTTTACACATTTTCATAACAAAGACTATAGTTCATGATTTTAACGCATTTCCATGCCAAAAATATAGTTCATGCATTTTTACACATTTTCATGCCAAATATTATAGTTCATGATTTTCACGCATTTTCATGCCAAAGACTATAGTTCATGCATTTTGACACATTTTCATGCCAAAGACTATAGTTCATGGATTTTGACACATTTTCATGCCAAAGACTATAGTTCATGCATTTTTACACATTTTCATGCCAAAGACTATAGTTCATGCATTTTTACACATTTTCATGCCAAAGACTATAGTTCATGCATTTTTACACATTTTCATGCCAAAGAATATAGCTCATGGATTTTGACTCATTTTCATGCCAAAGACTATAGTTCATGATTTTCAAGCATTTTCATGCCAAAGACTATAGTTCATGGATTTTGACACATTTTCATGCCAAAGACTATAGTTCATGATTTTCACGCATTTTCATGCCAAAGACTATAGTTCATGCATTTTTACACATTTTTATGCCAAAGACTATAATTCATGCATTTTTACACATTTTCATTCCAAAGACTATAGTTCATGATTTTCACACATTTCCATGCCAAAACTATAGTTCATGCATTTTTACACATTTTCATGCCAAATACTATAGTTCATGATTTTCACGCATTTTCATGCCAAAGACTATAGTTCATGCATTTTCACACATTTCTATGCCAAAGACTATAGTTCATGGATTTTGACACACTTTCATGCCAAAGACTATAGTTCATGCATTTTACACATTTTCATGCCAAAGACTATAGTTCATGATTTTCACTCGTTTTCATGCCAAAGACTATAGTTGATGCATTTTGGCACATTTTTATTCCAAAGACTATTGTTTATGGATTTTGACACATTTTCATGCCAAAGACTATATATCATGATTTTCACGCATTTTCATGCCAAAGACTATACTTCATGCATTTTTACACATTTTTATGCCAAAGACTATAATTCATGCATTTTTACACATTTTCATACCAAAACTATAGTTCATGCATTTTTACACATTTTCATGCCAAAGACTATAGTTCATGCATTTTTACACATTTTCATGCCAAAGACTATAGTTCATGATTTTCACGCATTTCATGCCAAAGACTATAGTTCATGCATTTTACATTTTCATGCCAAAGACTATAGTTCATGATTTTCACACATTTTCATGCCAAAGACTATAGTTCATGCATTTTACACATTTTCATGCCAAAGACTATAGTTCATGCATTTTACACATTTTCATGCCAAAGACTATAGTTCATGATTTTCACACATTTTCATGCCAAAACTATAGTTCATGCATTTTACACATTTTCATGCCAAAGACTATAGTTCATGATTTTCACATTTTCATGCCAAAGACTATAGTTCATGCATTTTACATTTTCATGCCAAAGACTATAGTTCATGCATTTTACACATTTTCATGCCAAAGACTATAGTTCATGATTTTGACACATTTTC